GCAATAAGGCTCAAGAATTCGCCATGAAAGGAGAACAAGAAAAAAAGAAGAAAAGCTTTGAGGAGCTCGTACCAAAACACCTCCATGATTTCCGAGATGTTTTCGCCAAAGACGGCCTAAACAAACTCCCTCCATCTCGACCAGGAGTCGACCACCGCATTGAAACAAAGCCGGGATACATTCCCAAATCCGCCCGAAACTACCCACTCTCTCCGAAAGAAACCGAAGCTGCCAAAGCTTTCATCAATGAACATCTCGCCAAAGATTTCATTGAACCATCGAAGTCGCCTCAAGCAAGCGGCTTCTTCTTCGTAGGAAAGAAAGACAGATCCCTGAGACCCTGCCAAGACTACCGTTACATCAATGAATGGACGGTTAAGAATGCATACCCGCTCCCCCTCATCCCTCCCTTGATCGCGAAACTTCGAAACGCGAAATACTTCACAAAGATGGATGTCCGCTCCGGATACAACAACATCCTGATTCACCCTGAAGATCGCCACAAAGCCGCTTTCACGACCTCCTTCGGACTCTTCGAGCCGAAAGTCATGTTCTTTGGACTTTGCAACTCGCCAGCAATGTTCCAAGCATATATGAACCAGACATTCAGGCATCAGATCGACGAAGGCTGGATGATCGTCTACATGGACGACATCCTGATATTCTCCGATACCATTGAAGAAAACCAAACTCGCGCTAGGATAGTGCTAGAGATTCTCCGAAAAGAGACCCTATTCCTGAAACCCGAAAAGTGTGCATTTGACACACAAGAAATCGAATACCTCGGCATGATCATTCGCCCTGGACAAGTCGCGATGGACACCGCCAAGTTGAAAGGCATTAGCGATTGGACGGCACCCACCAAAGTTAAAGAAGTCTGATCATTCCTCGGCTTCTGCAATTTCTACCGCCATTTCATCTCTCACTACTCCGATATCGCACGACCCCTCCTCGATTTGACGAAGAAAGACGTCCCCTTCCAGTGGACTGACGGATGCGAAGCCGCATTCCAAAAGTTGAAAGAATGCTTTGTCTCTGAGCCAGTACTCAAGAACCCCGACCCCACCAAGCAGTTTGCATTAGCAACTGACGCCTCGCTCTTCGCAACAGGAGCAGTTCTCCTCCAGACTGATGAAAACGGATTGTATCATCCATGCGGATATCTCTCCCAATCCCTGAACGCAGCAGAAAGGAACTATCAGATCTACGATCGTGAACTCCTCGCTGTGATCCGCGCCCTCCAAGCATGGAGACACTTCCTCGAAGGAAACCCACACCCTGTGATTATATTCACCGATCACAAAAACCTCCTCTACTTCCGATCCGCACAGAAGTTGACCAGACGCCAAGCCCGCTGGCAACTCACCCTCGCCACCTTTGACTTCGAATTCCATCATGTCGCTGGAAGCAAACTCATCGCTCCTGACGCTCTCTCCAGACGACCCGACCACTCCAACGGCGAACCGGATAACGAAGATATGACCCTCCTCCCTGATAACCTATTTGTGAACCTCCTTGATGCTTCACTAGCAGACGCTTTCCGTGAAGCAAGCAACCCTGACTCTGACCCGATCATTGACACTGCAACTAAGGCGTTAGATGGCACTTGTGCCCCGCCTATGAAGTCTGCACTCTCTGACTGGAAGTTAGACAGCGGTGTGCTGTTCTACAAAGACCGTGCATACACTCCCCCTGTACTCCGACCCAAGATCCTTACCCTCCATCATGACCATGCAACAGCAGGTCATCCGGGACGGTTCAAGACTGAAGAACTAGTTAAACGTAACCACTGGTGGCCCGGAATGGGCACCTATATCCGAAAATACGTAGAAGGCTGCGCCACATGCCAGCAAATGAAGTCTGACACCCATCCAACGACCCCTCCCTTGCACCCGATTCCCTCGACATCGACCCATCCCTTCTCTCAGGTCTCTGTTGACCTCATCACCGACCTCCCCGAGTCCAACGGCTATGACTCAGTCATGGTCGTGGTAGACCATGGTCTTACGAAGGGGGTAATTTTAGCTCCCTGCAACAAAACGATCACCGCAGAAGGAGTAGCTCAGCTATTCTTCGAGAAAGTTTTCCTCCGATTTGGACTTTACGACAAGATTATCTCTGATAGAGGCCCCCAGTTTGCCTCAAAACTCGCAAAAGAACTTGGACGACTCCTTGATTACGATATCGCCCTCTCCACCGCATATCATCCTCAGACAGACGGACAGACAGAACGACTGAACCAGGAACTAGAAACCTATTTGCGCATCTATTGCCGCAACACTCCGACTGAATGGGCCAAACATCTTCCTATGGCAGAGTTTGTCCACAACCACCGCAAGCATGACGCCCGCAACGCATCACCATTTTTCCTCATGATGGGCTTTGAACCACGCGGTATCCCTTATGCATTCCCCGAATCTACCATCCCAACCGCAGAAGAACGATTGACTAGACTTCAGAAAGCTAGAGAAGAAGCCCTCGCCTGCCACAACCTTGCAATGCAGCGCATGGCTGAAAGATCACACGGACAGAAGTATGAACCCTGGAAACGTGGAGACAAGGTTTGGCTATCTGCCTCACACCTTATTACCCATCTCCCTTCCAAGAAGCTCGCTCCGAAACGACACGGCCCCTTCGAAATCATCGACGTCTTATCCCCCATCACGTTCAAACTCCGATTACCTCCATCATGGAGAGTTCACCCCGTCTTCCACGCCTCCGAACTATCATCCTATCGAGAGACAGAGATCCACGGCCCGAACTTCACTGAACCACCCCCTGAACTGATTAATGACGAAGAAGAATACGAAATCGAAGCCATTCTAGCTCATAAAGGACAGAAGGGACGCCGCAAATTCCTTGTATCATGGAAAGGCTATCCAAGCTCCGAAAACTCGTGGCTCCCTGAAGTTGAACTTACGAATGCAGCCGACACCCTCCAAGGCTATAAAGAACGACTTCGACTTTCCCGTCTTCTAGCAGCAGAAACATCATGAATCCCCTCCACCAGAACAATATCCCATTCACGACTCGCATCATTCCCTATATGCACGAAAACTACCACCAATACCTCCTCGACCCTCTTGCCCTAGAGGCATTGAAAGAGACACTCCACGACTCCCCCATGCTTGATGCTCTCTGGAACGCCTATGTGCAGAATGCCAGAATCACTTGCGCTCTCCTGAACAATAACATCCCCACCCACGTCTCAAATGACATCCTCCTGATGTTGAACACCCAAGCAGAGTTCTTGATGAACGCACTTGATGAAGGAGATTTCCATGATAGATTGGTTGAAGTTGGTCGAGCCCTAGCTCCCACTAGACCTTCCACCCCCATTGTTGAAGTAGAACCATCTAGACGATGCCGACTCTGCGGCCACTTGAACGGCCATCATACGAACACCTGCACCTCCTACGTTTGCCTTGCCTGTCGAGCCTCTGCTCCAGGACACTTCTCAGAAACGTGCCCCCTTGCCGGACAATTTTGATTTGTGGAAGTCGGTGACTTCACATCTTGAAATGGAGCTAATGTTACAGTAACATGAATCCCCTATCTTTTTCTGACCCTTCACCTCGTCACAACGTCACACCTTCACCTCTTCACGATTCACCATGCTGCTTGACGCACTTCCTGATCCCCGCCGACCCTGACCTTCTGTGACAGAAGCTAGACGCTTCCATTCTTGACCCTTGATCTATGGCCTCATGGCCTAACTTCCTTTTCCCTTGATATTCCCACAGAAACCTATCCCTGACCTCATGGCCTCCTGCCTGAACCTGCCTTCCTGATATATCATTTCTTGACCATTGTACGATTACCAGACCTGCCCTGAACACTGAGATCCTTACCTATATATAGTCGATCCACTTGTACTATTATTCCTTAACTTGATTCTACTGGGTTTTACCTTGACTTGTATATTCTCTTGAGTTAACTCTCTTGAGTCTGATCATGAAACCTCTATACTCTTGGATCGCTATCCTTGAGTCCGATACATCTTCTCTTAGACCGTTTGTCTTTGAGTCGATACCGATCCCTCGTCTAGACTTAACCGTCGAACACGAAACCCTTCTTCGGCCGCTGCCTTAGAAGCTTACCTCCTCTTCCGTTCTGTCATAACCTGACGGCTTAGGCTACCAGGTATATTGACGTTCAAACGATACACAATACGATAGCTTAGGACCGTCGTCCTTCGCTTACCCATCCCAGTCCGACTACGACCGTTGTCGTAACACTGTTCTGCCGGTTCTGCCGGTTAAGCCGGCACTACTAATCCCAAGTAGTTCTGCCCACAACACTATGCCTGCGCTTCGTTGTTGAATGGTCACCGCCGAACCCATTAACTTTAGGGTCTGGAGATACAGTGTAAGTCTTTGTCTGTCTAACAGTGACAATCCAATTGACTTAGGGTTGGGAGATACAGTCACCTGCGTCTTCCGCTTACCGCTTCCTGGACCAGTGCAACATCGGCAACCATGACTGCAGCAGCAGATGGTGGCGGTCCTCCCTCCTTAATATCTGCTTTCAGGCGTCCAATCCATGTTGTTTCTTGCCCATCGCTTGGTAACACTAGTAAACTCATCAATGCGGTGTCAGGTTCAGCCTGCAGGTAATGTAGTCATCAATTTGTCACATAGACTGTTTCATTACTGATATCAACACTCGTGCAGCTACTGTAACATTAATATATCTTCCGCAATGCTCGTCAGTGCTCCGCCTTTGAACTGGACCCGTCTGAATCCGCATTATGACTACAGAGTATGTACCAATAAAGGAGAAATTTGATGTGAATGGGCCTCGATGCATAGGTGAGTTTAGTCACCGCACTTCAGTATTGTGTCATTATAATGACTTACCATAATTCTAGGCGGCGGTGCATCAATAGCCGAGATGGAGCCATCTCCTTATAATCAGCGCCTTCAGGCTCGTTGCTTTCTTGTGTACCATCACCCATCCTCACTTGATAGCTCGTTACTGCCTTATTCAGTTTAAAAGAGATGCCTCGTAGAGACTCTGACAGCGAGGACTTTGAGGCTGAGCTCGATGCTGAAGGCTCGAGTGATGATGATCTGGAAACATTAAGGACGATCCTATCTGTTCCTCAACCTGATGCACCAATGCACGAAGTTCACAAGGTAAATCCATCTATTCTGCTATTCTCTCTTTGTACTGACATAATTGTGTATCTAATAGGCTCTTGAAACTACTCAACAAGCATACAATACACTACGGGTAGATTTTCGGTCTCTGAAGAAAGACTACCTTACACTTTCAGCCTCGGTTCCCGCACGCAGCCGCAACCGCACACTCAAGAAGACGTCTGAGCTTGACACCAAGATCACTGCGGAAGGGAAGAAGTATACATTATTTCATCATTTCTGGCTTATCCCTGGCGTCTTCCCAACGACTCCTCAGCCTAACGTCGACCCACATAGTCCTACACGTTGGGCTTCTCCTGAGGCCAGGCTCAGTGGCACTATGGCGGAATTGTATCAGTGTATGCCCAAGGATCTCCACAAGTCCATGGAAAGATATACAGCATTTGATTCACTGGTACGTACTTTCACACTTTCTATCTTATTAGTGCAACTTACTTATATGCTCATTATTACTAGTTTCATGCTGCAGTCAGCGCAGAGCGTTCGAACATCATTCACGCTATCAAGAGCTGCGCTGGCATCATTTTCTCAGCACTTGAGCTCGACCCAACGCTCTTCGTATCTCAGACGGATGTTAGAAAGCGGGACAACAAAACCCTCCTTTGCTTGCTGAAGAAAAATGGCGAGGGAGAATATATTCGCTTGGCACCTGTACTATTCGTGAGGCCTGATGCAATGACAGCCGATGTGTTCCTCAAGAACCCCGTCCTCGTCAAAGTAAGTACCAATGCAGTTACCGTATAAATTGACATACTAACGACTCACACCAGATTGTTTGTGTCGAGATATACGGAAAGAAGGTCCTTTCTGGGAAGATCAAAGGCCAGAAGGCCAGGGGACAGCGCTTCAATGTGCAGTGTGTAACTGAAGGACTGATTGTGGGCGCCGCTGTTATGGTGAGTCGGTACTTTACCTTTCGTTCAGCTTATAAATTCTCATTGACGATTCCAGGCACATTTTTTGTTGACGCACGATCCTGAATTCACAGCGACTGGTGCAGAGACCAAGATTAACTACCAAGCCGACTACAACTTCCACCTAGAGCGCCTATTCAAGCGCACGCCGTGGGCACGTAGTGTCATGGACTACTTCAACAGGGAGGTTTTTGATGTCACTCAACAGTCTCGGGTACAAGCCTCCGATGACTCTCCTTTCATCTCTCAACCTCGAACATGGGAGGATGATCTTCTTGATGAGCTTGACGCTCCTACTCAGACATTGACTCTCACTTCCTTACCTTCCGCTAGCTCGATAGCGGTCGACGTCACCTCCAGCTACCACAGCTCCATGTCTGTCCACCAAGGACAATCCGTGTCTGCAACTGGGCAGCTACAACTCGGCGTCAGTCAGTTATCACTGGAGAAAGTACCGCCTGCATCAACAACTCACAGCGCATCTTCTCGCCAACTTCGAGTGCCAGTTACTGAGCCACCTTTTGTGCCCGAGCCCGAAGAAACCACGCGTGTCACCCGCCATGGTGGCACCAGAGCAGTTGCTCCTAGTAGGGCCGGAAGGGGGAGGGGGAAGGGGAAGGGGAAGCAATTATGATCAGATCTTCGGTATTTTCTATCCTGCTCATATATTGTCATGTATCACATTCCTAGATCCATCTATCCAATACCTTTGCTCCTGTTGCTAATACACCGTGTTTGCTCCGGACACCATGTCCAATTCTTCCCGAAGAACAGGTGTGTCGCTCAACTACTACTACCTCCGCATCCACTTGATTATTGAACATATATCTGGGAACGAAGCAGACAGGTCTGGGAACTGCCCCGCAGGATTCGTCGCTGACCAGGGAGTGGGTAATCCCGTAGTTGACAATTTTTACTTGCAGTCACACGGAGGTCTCCTCAGAAGTTTGTTCATCACCATCGTTCATTATATTAATCACTAATTGTTTGTATACTAGCTAGCGGAACCAAGTCATTACATCACGCTAAGATAACATATACAAGAACAGCATGGAAAAGTAAGTCTGCAGCCCAGAATAATCCTCTTAAGCTGCACCTATGTATGTACGAATGATAGTTGGATTGTATTATATACATGATGGTGCAATGTGTTGTTTTGATTATGGAAACCAATGAACTTTTTCTCCCTCAATGCTATACTGTTTATTGTTACACTCCGGTATATCCTTATAAGGTACTCAAAGACATGATATATTAAACCAGGTTATAGAGATACCTAAGGCCTAATAACGTAGCAAAAACTATGCCAGTGAGTACTACCAATTACAATAACAAACAAAGTTGAAAATGCTAATGATGAGTGTTCAAATCCCCCCAAGTGCAAATAAAATGCTAGTACTAGAATTACAATAATGATAAGATAGCAGTAGGATTACAATAATGATAAGATAGCATTAGATGGCATTAAAATAGCGAGTTAGCATTAAGTACAATCACCAGGTCCTTAGAAATCTATTTTTATCTTCCAAATCACGCCGACCCTTTTCAGGCCTTACAATGCTTACATGATCTGGTCTGTGACTCGCACCATTGCGAAGGCATTGTAATGTGGGAATAATTTCCTTTTAAGACGCCTTGAAAGATTATCTCCATCATTGCTGAGTCTTAAAAGGCTGTGTGTGAAAACTATGCCTTAAAATGTATTACAAGGCCTTAAAATAATGTCTAGGAATTTCCGACAAAGTGCACACCAATGAGACTCGCAGTTTTTCTTCAATCCACGGTTGATGCCATCCTTTTTCACCTGTTCTTTCAGCTGACCACCCCAGTAGTGGGACCCATTGAAGAATGTCACTACCCAAGTAGCTTTTGTCACATGCCGCTTCATAAACAGGTGTGCACAAATTTCTCCGATGATTGTATTGAGGCCGTGGAGAAAGCATGGGAAGGTCTAGACTCGTCATTTCATTGGAATACTTTGACTAAAGGGGGAAAGATCTTCTTATGAGAACCCAGTAAAATTTCTCTTGGAACTTCCGTCGGAATGCTTTCATCACGGTGGGATTGTCAGTCGTTGCCGCAATTATGTTACGTCCATCTCCAATCTCCATTCTTTCCAAAGCTTTCACCGAGACTTCAAGGAGTTTGTCTGCAGAACCTCGGTGCCCCGTCATGTCCTCAAGGTTCAACACAATTGGAGGCTGGTTAACTTCAGCAGCCAAAGACCCATATAAGCTTCGTCTTATTTTATCCTCCCACCTGTCAAGCAAGTATGTAAGCTTTTTGCGTTCCTTGAGACATGCAATGTCCTCAATTTGGACGCGCACGACTTCGCTATCCATAATTGAATGTGATAGCACATAACGTGATGGTGCTTGATACGAGGGCCAAATTTCATCAAGAAAGTTATGGAAAAACCAGTTCTCCGCAACCAAGAAAGGTATATTAGCATGAACAATGAATCTGTGGGTTTAATATTCACGCAGTCAGAACACCTGAGTCAATGATTTGTGACACTTGAACTCACCGAAACAATTTGAAATTTGCACGTATTGCTTGCTCTGGAGTGACTGGAAGATCCACGAATCCAAAGAGGTTCTTCCGTTTCTGTGGAGCTTTAGCCATGTCTCCTGATGGGGATGAAGAAGAATCTGCATCCACGATAGGTGGGAGTAGTAGTGCTTTATTTCTGTTCTTCGTGGTGAGATAGTTACAGTCTGTACAGACATCTGTGCGAGCATGATCCGGAGCCGTAGGGCAAGTATTTCGGTCAAGAATATGCTTGAGAGGTTTGTTGTCGCGACCTTCTACAGACGTTGAACAGTAGTTGCATTTGTAAAAATAACGATTGGATGAATTTTGGACTTTTTGATCTTGGATAAAGTGGTTGGTGATGATTTTTCGAGTAGGGTGGCCCATAGACTTTTTCGAGGACATTTTGGCGTGCACGGAGGCTCAGATACACTAATTCGAATATCAAACATATGCTATTTGATGATAGTAGAAATAAGATTCCCATTGACTTCTGCTGACCTCTGCCCAACGCCCTCGACCTACTGCCGGTAATTACCACTTGGCAATTGCCATTGGCAGAACAGCAGACTTCTGCCAACAACACTAGCAACATCCAGTTCTCAGCAACGGATGCATGTGATATTTCTGCATATGTTGCTAATGCGCCTGTGCTGGAACAGGTCATGAGGCTCCTTGGTGTGTCTTACTAGTGTAACTTACTTGTACCTGCCAGGCTTTTTCAGCTTTTTTACTTGCAATTGAACAAGTGTACTTTTGCACTCTTTTCATCATGTGCTTCAACTTGCCGCCTTTTCCAGCGCCTGTGTGTCATGTGGTTTCTTTGTGTACTTGTGAAATCCAGGGCACAAGTGAGTAAGTGTACATAAGTCAAATAAAGGTGGAAATAAAAGTTAGTTTTTGAAGCAAGCAAGCACCAAGGAATGTGTGAATTTACTGATGTGCCTCCGCCACCTGAACTTTCAGGTGGTTTCAGAGCCGTTTGAAGGCCCAATATGCACAACTTCATGTACTGTAGCAATCAACTCAATTCGACGGTCACGCGTCACAGTCGGTGGTGTCGGTGTCGAAATTAGGTAGTTGTCACATGTAACATCGGCTTGTGTCGAAACCATTTGACATCACAAAAAAATCAAATTTTGCTTCCGTGGCGACCCCAGATTTGCGCGTAGTACACGACTCTGGATTCGTGCTGTATCTGTGCGCCGCACCAAATGTTTTGGCTACTTACAAAATTTAGCTCTTGTCATCATGATGGCGCCAGTAACATTGTCGAAAATTTTCGGCATGTCACACATCACAGGCCTAAGTGTCGGAATGTCGAATCGACCTGGCATGTCACGGTCACATGGGGGTGTCGAATTGAGTTGATTCCTACAGTATTACTAGTATACTTACATGACAATGTAAAAATGTTCTCTGATGGCACTTAAACTCATTCGCGTGTCTTACACTACAATATCCACTTGAACTGTGTTTGCAGAAAGTGGTACCAGCAGGATTAGCAAATGTCAGAGGTTTGCTTAATATACTTAGCGACTTTTTCAGGTGAGTAATACAAACAAGACGGAAAAGGAAATGTGAGATTTTGCTGATGTTGCTGATGCTCGAGAGTGGGGGGGGGTACCATTCAGCGACTCGTATAACATGGACTATATAGTGCTAGCCTCACTTTTCCTGATGCCAACAGGCTTAGGCTACTAGTTGCAATACAGCAGGAAAATATGTGAATGAAAAAGCTTCATCGAATCCATCATGCGTCTGAGTGCGAACGTGTCTCAAGTTCAAAATGTGTCAATTGAGAGTATGATGTCATTGCAGACTCAGATAAATCGCAAACTTGACTGGTGCTGCAAAACTGCAGGTGCATCCGAGTAACGACGATCGAATGCATGACGATTTGAAACGTCCCGAACATATTTGAGTAGTTGTACTACGTAAGGAATGATCAGGACACTCGGCTGATATTGAGTTAAATAGATTTGTGCGCACCGACAGGTACTGTTGGGCCAAAATATTGAATGCCGACAGTGCTAGGATTGAAAAATTAATTATATTTTGACAGCCATAAAAGTAATACTTGCTTAGCCCAGTTCCGAAGTAAAAAATGTTGTGTTGTAGAAGGATATCAAGCAACCGACACCCTCTTTCGCGGTATGCCCAATATACACGAATCATGGTAAGTACTATGATCTCTGAGGCAAAAAGTGAGCACTCGACTATATTTATAGCTAAGAGATCTCACCAAGCTCGAATGCTACCAGAAGTGCCCAAGGAACTCCTTCCAACTTGTTGTGGGACAGTGAGTAACAACCCCCACCCCCGCTTGATAGTTGGACTGTTGTCGACCCATACTGAGTTATTTGAAGATGGCTCTTCTTGGAGACACTCACATTCCAACCGGCTCGAAATTGCCGTCGTCATTACCACATCCGAGATCGCCAGGCACTGAGGGATCAAACAAGAGAGGCGTGTCAAAGTACGGAATGCAGGATCACAACTGTATGCGCACGAGTACCGTTGACAACATAAGGGCCAGAATAGATTTCTTGTTTCCCCATAATGCATAAGTGCGAAGGACGAAGATACCTGAAGGTCCTATAAGTGTTCTGCATGGATGCACTAGAAAATTCGTAAAACCTTCTGCACCAGCTATGCAGAGTGCGGCAGGAACTGAAGGACGAGCTTGAAGTAAAATAAGCAATCACACTACCATCACTTACCATACCACATCGAACGCAGGGATTTACAAGTCTACATCGGCGAATCCTCAGTGCGGACATCAATTTTCAACAATTGCTTACCACAAAATGTTCATTCTGGAGATGGTTCACTTCCATATCATGGTTAGTTTCGAATTGACGATAGAGTATACTATTTGGACCCACTGTATATGTGTATACAGAGCAAGAAGGCTGGCAAGTATCTCGTCGTGACATAAAGAATGCGTCCTTTCTTCCACGGGGGCCTATGAATCAAAGATATCTATACATGCCAGTTAGCCTGTCGATCGACAGGCTACATCTCGCAAAGATGAAATTACCTCCTGGTCCAAGGTCAGGAAACAGTCGTAGACCTGTGACCATTTGTTCATGAAGGTTGGCTGAACAAATCGCAAGAGTGCGCACCCAAAAAACCGCTAGTGATACTAGCAAGAGCCCTGTTAGCTACGAGACAAATCATTGTGGGAGAAATGATAGCACCGAAAAAATACTGTCAGCGCCAGGATTACAGATTAGTGAAGCGCAGATGTCAACAAGTATTTATCGCTCACATCTCGGAACTGTAGGGTGATTGAGAGGTCAATGGAGGTTTGTGAATCCATGCTTAAGAAAGAGCCCAAAGGAGAGAAGCACTAGTGTCGCCGAGCATGGTTAGGTTGAATATATAACAACCCATAATTCCAACCAGGGGCATTATGTCAAGCGTTTTTGGTTTGACATGCCAACCACGATAAGTAACATGCCATCAAGCCAAGCAAGGGTCAACCTCTTGATCAACGTTGGTTCACTTTTAAGTTTTGTGAGCATCACGATAGAGCGCACCGAGTATCACACGCGCCACTGACCTTGTACTCAAGGCTGTCGTAATCATATCGTACGTTTCAAATGCTGGTGGTCGACTTGTGAAAGTTTGGTGAAAATAAACGAGATCGGTCAATTGATCTATTACCTGTGGCAGTTCACTGCAGGCTGTGGACACTCACTTCAGGTACCTGACAAGGAGGGTTTAAACCTGCCAAAAGCCGTTCGTCTTGCGCGAGCTTTAACAAGTGATGCATATGGCAAAAGTATTTTGAAGGACAGCAAATCTAAAACGAACCAATCTACTAGCTCTCAACAAATGCCTTGCCTTTCTCAATGTTCTTCTTGAGTTCAGGCAAGCAGGCCTCCATCAGCTTCTCTTCTTCAGCAGAAAGAGGCCCAAGAGAGTAAATTTTCTCGACACCATTGATCTATAGAATATTTGAGTACGAACCAACTGAATGGCTTGCTTCTGTCACTTACACCAAGTTCCACATTGGACGAGAAAAAGTCGATACCCTGGTCCTTGTAAAGAGGGCTCTCAACGAAGGTGGGCGTGATGACACCTTTCTCGCCGTTCAAACCTCGTAACAGAGAGTTGGTGAACTTGGCACCAGCATATGCCATCGAAAGGGTGGCGCTACCAGCACCATCTTTAGCCTTCACGACCTCATCACCACCAAACTGAATGCGGTGGACAAGAGCCTTGTAAACATCGCCTATGATAGCTTTTCCGTGTGCATTCTGTGATAGCAAAGGGACAATAGTCGCGCCACTGTGACCACCGACAACAGTTATGGGAGTGTCCGCGGGCTTAACACCTGCAATACCAGCGGTGAAGCGAGCAGCACGGACAACATCAAGGGTCGTGACACCGAATAAGCGTGCAGGGTTGTAAACGCCAGCCTTCTGGAGGGTGGAGGCAACTATAGGGACGGTGGAGTTGACAGGATTTGAAATGACAAGAATGTGGGCAGTAGGTGCGACACGGCCAATTGCTGCTGCGAGGTCGCGGACGATGGAAGCGTTGGTCTTCCAAGATAGGCTTAGCAGGAGCTAATGTTGTAGAGGGCATGTATAACTTACATTAAATAGATCGTCACGAGTCATCTGGCGAAGGAATTAGAACGGAGGAACAAATGAGGTGTAAGACTTACACCGGGCTGAAAGGCAGGGTCAGGATTATGCAACAAGGCATGAGAATAGGGAGAGAAAACGCACCTTTCTTGGGACACCAGCAGGGATAACAACCACTTGGACGCCATCAAGGGCCTCGTCGAGCTTGTCAGCGGGGTAACCATAGACCTTGAAAGTTGATTGAACTAACTCATGGTCACCGTATGTAGCAAATAACGACGTACCTCACTATGAGCATCAACATGGCTTACATCAGCTGCAACGCCGGGTGCGCCACGGATATCATAAAGGCTGAGAGAGGTGACAAGGGGGTCAGTCTTGAGGAGGAGTGACAACGGTTGTCCAATGCCTCCGCCAGCGCCAAGGACGGCAACTTTCGTCTGCCTTGTAGCGGACGAAGAAAAAGTGCGGGAGTTGGCGGAAAATGCACGGACTGCAGAGCGGGCAAGCATGATGGACGTCGCTGTCGTAGTCGTCGAGCTGGACGTTGAGGAAAGACGGGGGAGCAATGAACAGAATTAGCTCTGTTCGAATTTATGCGGAAATACCGCGAGATGCCGAGCGGCTCGGAACGGCTCGGACGCGAACGTCACGAGTGGAGCGTCCCAGACCATCCCGTCACAGTACTATCCGTTATTCGTGTAGCTGATTTCCGAAACTCATTCGAGTCAAGTAATATAAGTTGTCTGGTTTTCAGTTGTGACGCTTAAACTTTAGCCCTAGCTAGCGCCTTCTCTCAAAGTTGAATCGAAAGATCCCGCGCGCAAGGCCTGTGGGGTCTCCCGCCGCACCTGGCAGGGTGAAATCGTGCGTGTTACCGCTTCACCGAGTCACTGTTCGGCTTCGCTAAGGTCAACCTTCCGTGACGATGCGAATTGTAGTTCGTTCCTTGCAGGTGGCTTTATCGGCCATCGCGAAATGATAATGCACCAGTCAGTAGCAGGTATCGACAACTATGTCATTAGTACATCATCTCGCAGCGCCTCTAATGCTCTCAACACCCCGCGCGCTATATCTTCGCTCCTCTTCTCCAGCGCTTTGCCCCTTTCCCTTCCGCCATCTTGCTCTCGTCCCCCACCACGCCGTCCATCCGCATCTGGAGCCACATCTACATCCACACCCACAATATCGCCCTCGCTACTGAGCTCACCCTCGAGATCGTCATACAGCGCCAAAAAGTCTCGCACGTCTCTGATGAGTGTCTCGAGAAGGACGTCGCCAAATATCAGTGATCGGTTGTTGGGTAGCACTGTGATTTCGCGTGGGGCTGTGGATGTACAGAGGAGGCCGAGCAGGACAGCGGTGTACCCTGCCAGGAAAGTGAATTCGGGAGATTGAGACATGCTGAATGTGTTCAATGTGGGCTGGGAGGAAGGGATTTTACGTCTAGGAGAGGTGGAAGGGCTCGCAGAAGGAGAATTTTGCTTCTGGCGCGCAGATGGCGGCTTTCGACCGACATCCAAGCTTGGTTTGCGCTCACGGCCAGATGCGATTTTTAGTTTCCGCGATAAATAATCAGTCGATGCGAATACTGAACCGCAATATGCCTGATACACAGATACCAAACACGAAAGCAGCGGTATCTGGGAGGACGGAGTGCATGAACAGGTGCGAACGCAGCTGCGAGTTGCAGAACAGGCGGGATTGAGAACTATGCGAGAAATATCAGTGATGAGGAAAAGCGTCGTCGAAAACAAGTCAACAGCGGGGGAGAGAGATACTCACGAATGCGTCCCATCCCCTCACACACCCCTTTGCCTTCAACACCTCCGGACGCCCAGTTCAAAAGCAACCCAAGCGCAAGACAAAGCAAGTCGAAGGACTCAACACGTGTGAGGGGATACATCGGGACTGATATGGCCTTCTTTTTCCCTTTACTCGGCGTACCGTTTCCATTCGACGTACCCTGTCTGCGAAGTTTACTTGGTGTAGTTATTTTGCTCGCAGAAACCGGTTTATGCGTAGATTTGGACAGCGAAGGAACAGGAAACAGCGCCTGTTTTCGAGGCGAACGCGTGGATTCACGTCGGGAGCCAGGTGGAGGTGGAGATGAAGTATCTGTGTCCTCTAGTTGCTCCGATTTTACCACATGATCTTCATCCCCTTGCATTGGTTCTTCCCCTGCCCCTTTGACCCCATCACCGCTAAGAGACTCGACCCATCCAGCTTGTGCACGTAACACCACGCGAGTAACAAGGGATAGGGCTGTGCCGCTTGGTGTCCAGTCAGGAGAGAGTGTATCAGAATATGTCGGAGACGAGTGAGTGTATGAGGATGAAGGGCGGGAATGGGCGGAATTGGAGGACGGGAGTAGCGTAAGGATACGCAGGGTCGAGAAGAGGGTCTTGCGTGCTGTTTGAAAAGGAACATTAGTCTACCGTTCGTTACGATTTATATCCATGGGGAAATGTGTGCAAGTATCGGCAATGTGGGATAATGGTTTGGGGAAGAGTTCAGGAACCGAGGCAGGGAAGCGAAGCAGGGAACCAAAAACATACCAAGCTCACCCTGACCATCCTCTGCATCCGCATCTACAGCATCAGCCCCTTCTTTGTTCATCATATCCAAATCCCGTACACAATCTCGCATAAGGATCTCAGCAGCAACGCACAACTCCACGAGTTCGTCTATAAGTGCCGGGTCCGCCAGCGCACGGTGAATTTCTGATTCTTCTTGTCCAGTCCCATTTAAACCATTGCTTGTGACACCAGAACGAGACGGAACGTGGTTCGTCCACTCTTCCAAGAGGTAGGCATCTACGAGCCGGAGACAAGCGTGGATGTGAGCGAGGGAGGGAGTAGCGATTTCTATCGGAGGATCTGAATGTTTACGTATTTCTTTTCCTTTCCCATTTTTCCCAAGTGTTATATCCAAGCGTGTAAAACCAGGGAACAGTTCCAGTCCCCTCTCCCAAGCGTTGACGCGTGGAGGCACAAGTAGGAGCTCGGCATGGAGGGAATTGAGGATCGATGGGAGGGTATGAAATGCAGGCGGAAGGAGGGAAGGCGGCAAGGACGAGAGTGTAGTGCTAAGCAGGGTGCGAGTGGAGAGCTGTGGTGTTCACGACGAGTTCAGCAGAGATATCGAACATTCGTAGCAACAAAGGCACAGCACGGGTCGCGTATGAATAAAATGAAGAACAATGAACGAGGGCAACAAAATCAAAGGAACGAGAGTGTGACGTACCCCACGTATATCCTTCATCACTCCTGATTTGGTGATCAGGTCTGCAAGAGCTTTGAGCTACCGCCGATAGTCAACATGACGTGATTAATGCAATACAATGCCACGCAACCCCAAGCAAAAGAATAAAACCAATTATCGCATCATTCCTGACAGCTGCCGCAAAACTTACTCACCGGCGCCACGTCTGTGCGGATTATGCCTGATGTTCTCAGGCCCGTTGCATCCATCCCCGACAGGGCGAGTGCAAGGATGTCTTTCTTCAGACCTGGATAGTTTGTCAGCGGGTGATCACATCGACAAATATCAAGCAAATTCTGTCGGAGAAGTTCATGGAGATATTGCAATGTATATGACATACCCTGATTTAGCCCATCACCCTTCATGTCAGAGGTGGGAGTGACAGAGCGCAGGATCTCGAGGAGAGTGGGGACGAGTTCAGGTTTATGAGCAACTTCGGAAAGGGTTTGGGGGTCGCGGGTAGAAAGGAACGCAAAGAAGGATAAGGTGACATCAAGAATCTGGGGAGGGTTGAGTTCATGTTTCGTAGCAAGTGATATTAAAAAGGTCAACAGGCATGAAATAACAAAAGGAACACACCTTGTCCGGACCTTCCTCACGGGCCTTGACGAACACATCCCAAGTGCGAGCATAAAAATCAGATGTTTTCGCACGACGGTTGAATTCCGGGTCGCATAGTTTAGTAACGATTTCCAAGACACTGTTCACGGCGAGAGTGAGCTTGTGGATTCCTTCACGTAACAGTACGGACCTGGCTCTGCGGAGCGCAATGGCACAACCACTCTCTATGCCTTCAAACAAATACCCTACCTCGTCAAGAAATCGTCTGCTCTCTCCCTTGCTCCGCAACTCCGTAATACTCTTGAGATCATTCATCATTCCATTCGCTAGCACCCGCGAACCCACACTGGATGTCCTCTTCAGTGTCCGGTTATCATCGTCGAAAGGACGTGGATCGTCCTCGGAGTTGTCGACACCCCACCGGGACCGCAAGTCGGCATAAGATTCACGCGAGTCATCTGGCTCTGCGAGATCTGCTGCCGGAAGCGCAATACGGTAAGAACGTGACGCGCCAGCATACGTCCGTGTATGCTTTGTCGGTAGGGGTTCGCCCCGTGTTGGGGAGGGTGAGCGCGAGGAACTTATCTTCGGTGGAGAATGATGAACAGGAAGTGTGTTAGACGATGCTAGGGGATGCAATATTGGCGACTAAACTCAGTAGTGTGACTAATACGCACGGTTTGATGAGCAGACATTCTGTCCGGCATCGCGATCAATGGACGACTCTGTGCGTGAGCGTGACAACATGCGCTTCACCACTCCGAGCGACCTTCCTGGTGAGTTCGGCGTCCGATGCGGAGAAGCGGGGAACAATGTGCTCAGATCCCGCGCTGGTTTAGTCGGCGTACGTATGTTCGGCGGCGTGCTCGAGATTGAGCCCACGTCAGGCATCGTTGTACTTCTTCGGATAGGACTAGTTACTTTGGGTGGTGATAAATGCACATTGGACGGTGGTTGCACGATCTCAACCTCGATTCTGGGTCGTTTCCGTGGTGGCGAAAGCATGACCTCCACGTCTGGTGAGTCTGGTTGCGCACGGCGCGAGTTCTTACGTCCGTATGTCCTTTTCATCGTCGTTGCCGTGGTTGTCGTTAGAATATAGTTGTGGATCGTGGTAGACAGCGAGCTCTTGTCGGAATTCGGCCGGGTGTATCGGCGCGCGCATGCAAATGCACGTGACCATCTCAAACCTTGATCTCTCTCCAAGACCACGACCGCGATGGAAAGCCTTCAAGCACGCATAGACTCCTTTCTCAAATCCAAGCGCGTAAAAAGGAGTTCAAAGTCCAACTCCACTTCTTCAACCGTGAAATGGCCTCATCCTGCCTCTTTCAACGCCAACCCGAATACTCTTGCCGAAGCGGGCTTCTACTGGGTGCCAAGCTGGGAAGACAGGGATAGCGTCGCTTGCTTTCTCTGCCATAAAGAGCTGAGCGACTGGGATGAGGAGGATGACCCTTTCCAGATCCATTGGAAGAAGTGTGGCGGTACTTGTGCATGGGCAATAGCTCGGTGCGGACTCAGTGAGGATATTGCAGATGATGGAAGGTGCGTTCACGCGTCTTATGAGCACGTGTGATGTTTATAGGAAAGCCAGCTTTGTATTCTTGAACAAGAAACGCTTGCCAACGAGTAAGGCGATGGAGAAAGCACGTCTTCAGACATTCGGCGAAGACTTGTGGCCTCATGATGGGCAAGATGACCACGGCGCTAGCTCAAAGAAGGTGCGTCCCCACGCTCATTTGCGCCGTACTTTAAATCTCATTCATCATCTTTAGATGGCTCAAGGAGGGTTCGTGTACACCCCTCAAACAAAGGGTGATGATACCGTGACTTGCTTGTATTGCAACCTCTCACTGGGTGGCTGGGACACGGACGATGATCCGATGTACGTATATGAAGTTCTCCCCTTGGAGACATAAGATGACCCAACCACGATAGAGGAGAACATAAGAAACGCGACACTAAATCCGGCACGCGGTGCCCATTTTTCAGCGCATCAGGTAGCAAACCTCGCACTACTTCAAGAGCAAGGCAAAAGAAAGGGGTTGTTGAAGTGCCGCCCGATTCCAAGCCTGACCAGTCCGACTCGGGCGATGAACTTGCGAAGGCAGAGATTGTCGAGGAAGTGCAAGCACCCAAGACAAGACGAAAGGGGCGTACTGTCTCGACATCTAAGCCACCCGCCAAAGCTGCATCAACTAAAGCGACTGGGAAAAAGGCCCTGGTGAGATCGTCCAAGTCAACACTGGCAAACCTGTCCGAGGCTGAGGTGGTAGCCTCAGAATCTGAGACGGATCCTGTTATATCAGAAACAGAAATTGTCAAGTTGGAAGCAAAGGTCGACGTGCCTACGAGAGTGGATCATACTCCTGTACCACGAGTACGCATCCAGGACGATCTTCATAGCGACCAATATCCGAGCGATGTAGATGTGGACAACCTTAGAGATACGCCTCGTCCTCCGCCGCGACTGGAAACACCTGATGGCAATGACGCACCTATGGTTGTTGATGAGACGCCACAACCATACGAACCTCCCCTTTCCAGTCCACCCCATCCTCCGTCGTCACTTCCACCATCTGAATCTCCAGAACTTGCAGCCATTCCTTCGCTACGGCCAGAAACGCTCACCCCTGAAGAGCGATGCCTTACGGTCGAGCAATGGATAAGACGGGAGATCGAAAATAGCTATGAGCAACTGATGCAGGACGGGAAGAAGCAAATCTCATTATTCGCGGGGAGGGCAAGAGAAGTCCGGCAGATAATTGAAGCACTATGATTGAGTTGTTGGTCATGTCCGTAGGATAGCTTTCTGGGTTGTCCGTTATTTATTTAACCTCGGTCCGCAGTGAAAAAGTGAGCACAGGGTCAAGGCATGCAGCGACCCCTCGTATGAAACAAGTCCCGACGACGTTCAAACAGCGTGGTACACCGACGTGATACAAAGCTCGAGTACGCAAGCAGAAATGGTTTTCCCCAGGTCGATCTTAAACACCTGCCTAATTTGGAAATTGGCAGGACCACCATTCAATAGAAAACTAGAGTTGACAGGCAAGTGTCTTATAATTATAAAGTTTATAATTAAGGCAGCTTGAATATTGACTTTTACCTCAAATGATCAAACGCTCAGACGGATCAATGATCGGCAATTAACTGGAAACAAAGAGCGTGCGTTGACATTTTGCTAATAGGGAACCTCTGAAGACCGAGTAAAACTATAACAAACTGATAGCGACTGTGTCCAAAACTAGCGCTTATCCCTCATCGCAAGCGCGCTCCGCTGCCTTCAAAGCTCAGACTATGTTGATGGGCGTGCAGCCGATGTTGATGACACCGTCCTACAAAAGTAACGTTTAATAAAATCAAAGAGATGACGGAGGCTGAATACTTACGTATGTCTCATTGCTGCAGCAGACGGGCTGCTGGAAACAATTAGCACCGCTAGCGAAGAGGCCGATGATGGTGATTGGGGTGCAGTCGATACCAACGTCACCGAGAACGTCAGCGGCGATGGGGATCCCCCCAAACATCGTCGCATTGTTGTTGTACTGATCGACCTAATATCGATATATAAGTACGAGTTATAGAGACAATGCGCTATACATTAAACTCACTGGTTGAGTCCTGTCGCAACATTGGATGTTGCCAGTGTCGCACTGGCTGGAGTCGCGCAGAGAGAGGGGCGTGGCGATGGCCAGGAGAGCGAGGGACGTGATAGACAGGATACGAACAAACATTTTTATAAGACTGGAGTATTGATTTTTGGATGGCTTTTGAAAGAGCGTTGAAGTTATGTGGCTGAAGGGCGATTTGAACTGAAGAATAATCGAGCAAACCCGCCAGACTTTATACCTGCGGAGAGGCCTTGTCACTTCGGGATCTTATCGCAGTGACCGAATCCCCGCCGTGTCGGCATAGTACTTTGGCTCGATGCCGACAATATACATAGGTGCCAGTCTTCTAAGTTGCCATCTGGAATCTTGGTGAATCACTTCTCATTGGTTGGTAATCACGTGATACCGACGTCTCCTGACAGCTTTGCAATTCCCCGAGTTCTCCGCTCCACAGTGTTGAAAGCAAGCCGAGAGGGGTACCCGACGCTGTTCTCGCCAAACTAGTACCACACTTTGGAACAACTTATGTCCTTCTTCGATGGGTTCCTCTAGGAGACCATGCCGGCTCTGTTACAAGATGCGGTGACTGCACTTCAAAATTGAACGTACTGCAGATTGACTTCCGACGACGTCCAGAGCATTTTCTACATATTCCGATACATGCCATTGGCATCTCTTCTTTGATGATTCTCTACAGGAATTCAGGACAGTTATGGAATTCCCCTCTCCGCACCACGGCGTTGAAAGAAACCCGAGGGACCGTCTCTGCAACGGAAGGCCCAAATATTACCGCGCTTACATACTTGCTGCGAAGGAACGAAGCGATTATTGCCTTCCTTCCACAATCCTTCCATTATAAAGTCTGTATAAGGAAGACTACTCGGCGGTCAGTCTACGTCTTGAGGGTAACCTTGCCGAAGCAGCAGTCAAATTTCAACGTACTGAACAACGTTAACACGGGCTCGAGTTTATGGAGCTCCGCATCGAGCTATATATGTGCCAAGCACGATTCTCAGTTCCGCTACTATAGGAGAAACGAGGAAGACCGGTCCACTCACCTTTCATTCAGGTTGTAAGTAACCCATACTAGTGTATGCACGCATATGCATGTTATGCGCGGTATAATTTGTGGGTTGGCACGTTCAAATTAAACGCCCGTTGAGAACGGTTGACCCTACAGTAAGTCTGCACTCTAAACCTCAGAACCGTCATTGCGTTGTGCGTACTCCGTCTTACTCCAAGTCTCTGTCCTTGTGTATTTTATAGTAACTCCTTGCATGCGTCTGGGGCACGCTAGCGACGCTGGTCGACGCCACAACGGTGGCACAACCTTGACCTGGAATGTCCTAAATTTTGCCTTTCCCTACCTTTGCTGCACAAGACGTATACTAATTGGTGCCGAGGGCCTGGCTCAATGTTCAACACTGATTGTGACTTTAGGTTCGTTTGAATTTTATTGTGGCGTCCAAGTTCGAACGTGCACTCGCTGTCAGCGCTGATGTCTCTGATTATAGATATCCAGTTCCTCTCGGTCGGTGATCATGATGGTGAACTCTACCATCTGCCAACCAATATGATATTAAAGATCGCACTGGTTAATGTATGTATCCACCCTTCCAACGCGCTGATGGTTGACTGCCACTGCCACACTCGAGCTGCGGTGCGAAGCTGATGTCTCGATGCGATCATAGCGCGAGTTATCGAAATGGGCTCGTAGTGTCTTTCCAGTCACCCATCACCACCGAGCAAGAGGACATGGAATGCAGCGGATGCAGCGGATGCTTTTTCAGATAAGACGCATCACCCGATTCAAAAGTCTGTCAGACGAGGACCGTCAACACAGAATATATCAACATTAAGGACTATATGCAATTGTCGCAGAGAATATTAAGGAAGCATTTTTCTAAGCTACAGAAAGACTCCGGCGATGCTGTGAAAGCTTGATATGATGTCGTTTCCACCTTAGGCCTCATACTTTGCCGTTGTATTTTGATAACAATTCAAATTGATTGACGATCAGTCTATCTCACTGCGCTTTGTCCAGCCTACTAAGCTGATATTCGTTAACATAGCTAAGCAAATTGCTGCACAGGTACTTGAGACGAGGCTTGACACTAACACGCAGTCGTCGTCGAGCTCTCTCGGAGATCTATTACTTACTTACCGGTTACCGGTCACGTTTTTATACCCGGTCAATTTGGATTAGTAATTACAGTGCTTGTACAAGCTGTAAGTAGTACCTATCAGTTGTCTAACCAACAACTTGCTCGCAATTGCTCAGACTTGTCTAGAGCCTGGTCAGGCTCTGTTGTCTTCACTGCTCTAAAATATCTAAAGGTTCGATATCTTTTTTTGTTACACTGCTGACGAGGCCAGGACACAACCGAGCTGTCAGTGGCAGATTCATACGTCATGTCTCTCATCAGTGACCCAGGGTACGCCTGGTAAGGTCTGGATGATCCTAATGGTGCACTCATGCCTTTGATGCACAGATACTTAGTTCACAGTCTAAGACTGTCCTACCTGCGCAACGTCGATGACCCATATGGCGCACGTACAATCTCCCTGAGCCCATCCTACACATCAAACCCTTATATCCTCGCAGCCTCACTCGCCGATGTTCATCGTTGGCCAGAACTCGAATATCCCTCCAGTCCGCCTATATCAGACGATGAATCAGAGGCTCCTGATAAGTCCTCGTCGGGTTTCCCTGGGGCGACTGGTCTTAAGCACCACCAAACTATCATGGGCAACAGATCGGGAGCGTTTGGCTTGAGAGTATCAGGTCGACGCGCTTCTACGTCGAAAAGAGCCTCTCTCATAGCAAAGAGAGCCAATATGCATAACGAAGCAGCGGATGCTCCCGCTGCCCTGCCGCGCGTCAACTTCATCAATGCTGCTAGTGACGTTGATACGTGTCCGATCACTTCAGAACAGGGTGATGTCACACAACCTCTACCCCTACAACATCAACCTGCGCTTAAGAAAGACGACCCCCCTCTTGAGCCACCCCCGAGGGATGTTCCATTTGTGCCAAAATTCAAAGGTGCGGCCGAAATGGAGGCCAGGCGCAGGTTAAGAATGATGGCGCGCCGCGGTGTACCAGCCTCCATGCCAAAAGTTCCCTCTGTACCGACACGTGGCCTCAATCCCGATTTCTCTTCATCTGATGACGAGGATGGGATGTTGGAGGATGATAACGATGACGACTATGATTTGGTAGCTCCAGGAGACGACAATATGGATGAAGCAGACGAATTTGATCCGTACGGTGTTGTATACACTGCTTGATTAGAAAGCTCACCGCCTTATATATAGAGATTTTGCTGCTACCCGAGGCGCGCACTCGGACAGCGCATCTGATGGGGTCTCCATTCTATCAGGGACTGCCTCAGTGTTGTCTGGGTCCAATATTTCCACGCTTGGAACATCGCCATTCGTTGCCCCCTACACCCGGGCACGCTCACGACTCAGCCCCGTGTCTGAACATCGTGCTGCGGACGAAGTTCACGAGGGGTCTCTTCCAACCATTCACTCCAAGCCCATTGAGACTTACTTCGAGATGATCAGTCCAATCCCAAAGCCAGATCAGCGATCTGAACCAGCGCCTCAAAAACAAGAAACGCGAAGAAGAGGTGTCTCAATCTCACTACCTGTCATTGACGCTCCGTCCGACATGACATTCACACGCAAGCCTGTTGTACCAGCGCGCCAGCATGCATCTGCTCTCACTGCTATCCTTGCTTCGTCGGGCGGTCCCGCCAACCCATTCAGTGAACTATATGGTGCCATATCTGGACGGGGAGAGACAGCCTCAGTGGACGTCAAGGTTTACTTTCCGCATGCAAAAGAACCTCACGGTGAACATCTGACTCTGAATGTGCGGAAAGATGCAACTATGGAGGAAGTCATTGGTTTTGCCTTATGGACGTACTGGGACGAGCGATGGCTGCCCGAACTGAATGCGGGTGTTAAGGATGATGACCCGAAGCTCTCTGCAATAGGTTGGATCATGCGCATTGCAGAGGATGATGGCGAGGTTGATGAGGATTTCCCGCGTATGTCCCCAGTTTTTCGCTCGGCGTAAGAGAATATTTATACTCTTCTTCACAGCGCCCGACCGCACGGGCAAGATATCGAAGTTCGGATTTGACGCATTCGCTATTCTGGCTGCTACTCCACTGCAAAGTACGGCACCTTTTCTTTGTTTGTCAGACCGCTAATTATCCTCCTCAGTACAACAAAATGAACAACTGGAGACCAAGATACAGCGACGGCCCTCGAGAGTCATGGCAGCGCCTAAGAAACAGGATTCAGGACCTCCAGGTGGCTTAACCTTGCCATCCGTCTCCGGCCCTACAAGCGCGAACTTCGGTACAACTCCAATCTTATCATCTTCTTTGGGCCCTTCGTCAAGCCATGGGCCCCAGCTATTCTTGCGTATTCGCGTTGCAGACACCGCTGATGCAGTCCATATATCTACCACCATCCCAGTGTAAGTTGAATTTGCCATGTTGCCCTCTACCCCCCTCACCACTGAGCACAGGTCAGCGGGTATGTACATGCAGGAGGTGCTTGAATTAGTTTGCCGGAAGCGCAAATTGGCAAACCTCAAGGACTATGCTCTGGTCGTCAACGAACTCACCATGTTGGCATACCTCGACCGTACAGTTGCCAGTCTCGGCGGTAGACGCGAGCTGACGCTGGTCAAAAGATCCACGCTGCCTCAACTGGGCATCGAGCCTGAAAGCAGATCAGCACGCACCACTGACCCGAATGGTACTAGTGAACACCTCATGCTCAGCACAGCTGCTAAATATTTCTTTCCCCAGCTTCCATTTCCAAACGGATATCGGATGTCCCAGAGATGCAGTTAAGCTCTGCGGCTGACTACGCAACAGCATACAAGGTTTGCTATCCTTTTCCGATGGGGTTTCCTCGCGGTTCTGATTTTTGATAAAGAAATATACCATTTACCGCAAGATGCCTATGCTAGCTCGTCAGGAACGTACTTTGGCTATTGATGGTGTTTATCTACATGTACGATTCTCCACCATCACAAAAGCTCGGTAATGACAGTCTTCATCCAGATCATGCCATCCACAAACCGAGCCAAAGCGGTCTTTGACAGTGGAAAGACAGTGTCATTCCATATCAAGAGCATCATTCAATGCCAACAGTCCGCCAAATCGTCAACACTCTTCAAGATCATCGTACAACGGGACAGCGGGAGCAAGCGCTACGACTTCGAGGCGGATACGCCGAAGCTTGCGGGTGAGTTGAGGCATTCGTCATCATTGTCGTACCGAGCTGATGGTGGTGACAGGTGAGATCGTGCAGACTTTACGGATGTTGAAATCCCACTTGGACCGTTCCAGTACTGTTAACCGCTCGCGGCGCAGCAGACATGTTGTATAAACAATTCTCCTCGTTTTGTATCGCTGTATTATCGCAAGTGTAAAATCCACTTCCCAGGGCTTCTTCCCTGCCGAAGAACCCATGAAACCCGCGTCAAGGTTGAAGGAAGCCTTGTCGACTGACAAGTGAGCGCTGAATGATAACACCAGAAGGCACGCGATTCCTGGGACAGCGGAAACTACAGGCATGATCATTAAACGAGACAACACAATGCACGAAGCAACTGGAAAGGATGCTATGTTCCATTTAGGAGGTAACTTGTGTAATTTTTGACTCTCCAACGAACCATGATCGGGATGGGGAGCACCGTGTGGGCAACAGTTTTGCATTGGGCACGATGCATGTGCATGACCGTTCCTGCTATGCTATCGGAGTGTAGAGCGTGGATCAAAGTCTTGCGCTAAAAGCCCCTGTCTCGTGGTCCTGTTGAGCACGCAAAAATACCGCGCAAACAAAGTTCTATCACGAATCATGACAGCCTAAGTCGACGGTAGCAATGAATCATTTTTGCATCCCGAAGAACTATCTATGATGATTCAAGAGACGAAAAGAGATATGGAGGCGCTTTTATATGGATCTGTCACGAGGATGTTAACGTTTATGTAAATGATATATGGTCCCTGGCAAGTACTTGGTCAATAACAAGCAGTATTTAATTGCAGACTGACAATGCAAAGCTTGTTGATATCGGGGCATCACTGTCATCTCGAAGAAAATTTTTGATCCTTGAATTTGCCTGGAGTCAATGCTTTCCAGCCGCGGCACGTACGCGCGTTGATGAGGACTTGGATTCAACTGTAATAGGCACCATATATTAGTACGTACATGCAATATGTATTACACCACTGTCACCACACATGGAAATATCGTTCATGACGACGCAAAAACTCTCAATGGTAATTCAACAATGAAAGGCAATCCTCATACTTATCCTTTAGCACAAGGGCCCACAAAAATGGACGGATGTTAGGCGATATTAACGGACATGGCCAAAGTTCGTGGAGATGAAGCAACAGTATCATGAATATGCACTCAAGCTCCACTTGAAGAAGATTTTACCAGGCGCTTGAGGAAGTTTATGGGCTGTTTATGCATGTACAAGTACTATCCTTCGAAACGGTGAATCGTGCGATGCGCTGGTCAAAGAAATGAGTAATACTTGCAACTTATGAGTCCAGGACATGAGAGCGTCATCGTAGTTGCGGCCTTAGATGGTGCTAGGTCGGGTGTCGGCAAATGCGCCGACGATGGTCTGCGGTAGGTTGGACTTCGCGAAGAAATAACGGACTTCTACAGCCCATAGACACAACGTCAAATAATGGGAATATATAAATGAGCAGGATGCATGGAGGTCAATTAGCTTCAAGTCCACCCGTTGTGTACATACCAACATTACCAGTCAACCCAACACAACATGTTGAAACATATCATCACTCTCTTATCCTTCACAATCCTTGTCGTAGCCGGCTCCTCACAGTGTGATACAGGAACGATTATGTGCTGTGACAATGACCCGGTACATCACCAAAATATTGCTTGGCAAAATGAATACTCACTTCCATTCTACAACAGTCCTCAGACGCAGCAGAATACTTCGCGCAGGGGGGAATCGTTAAGCGTCGGGCAAAGAACGAGTGCTCCGCGTTTAACGTTATAGGCACCTCCCAAGCTTGCGATGCGAACCAGGAGCCCATGTGCTGCGAAGAAAACAAAACCGTGAGTCATGAAACTTGTCAAAGTACCCGAATTGACGTCCTTTCAGAATAGCCTGGTTGGTCTTAGTTGTTCACCTATTGACGTCACTGCGTGATCCATCAATCATTGGAAAGTAAGAATCTCGTATGTCAGAGTGCGGGCGGACCCCCGCAGCTGTATTAACGAGGGCACTATAGCATTGTCCGTAGTATAGACAGATCCGGGCCCAGTGGGTGTAGAGATATATTGAAAATTGAAGTTTATTAGATGTCATACAGATCCTCAGTGGCAAGTGCTCACCAAGCAACGCCCCACTTGTCTATACTGTGAAGAGTCAAGAAGCTAGACAAAACGAGGCACCATGAATCTTCCGTTACATTGATCTGATGCAGATGTTGGGCGCAAAAGGCGGTCCTCTTGAAACAATATTTAGGATGAAAGGTTGAACATGTAGAGTAAGTACCCCGAGGATCTCCTAGGTTCGGGTAGCGAATACGACAATCACGGCCACGTGACTGTCGCGTCTTCATTATAACGTAGCATCGAGTCTAGACTCTAGAGTTAGGCCATCAATATAGACTCGGACATGAGTTCGGGCAGTGAATACCATCGCGGTCAGGTGACGGTCGCGTCCTCATCATAACGTAGCATCGAATGATTCGAATCTAGACTCTAGGTACTGAGCAAAAAAAATCAGTCATTGCCGGGTGCTTCTCGAGAGTACTTACGTATGGATACTACGATCAATCCCCGTGTCCCAATAAAACGGGAGTTAAGCATCACAAGCACAAAAGGTGCCCATCCTGGAGAACACATAAATAGCCCGAGCACAAGGCTTGCATGCAGCATATCAACTCTTGAGCCATCAACATGATCGCCAGCATCCTCGCACTCTTCCCTATCATTGCTCTGGCAGTTGCGCAGCAGTGCAACACAGGCGATATCGTCTGTTGCAACAGTACCTCAACTGCGAGTTTAAATTTCTCGGAATCACATACGATAGACGTGCTAACCTGATGTCTTCGAACAGTATTCCAATGCTGCCTCCTACTTGGAGTAAGAGGGAATTGTAAGCGTCTTCGCTGACGTCGATGCTTTGGTTGGCCTCTCGTGCTCTGGCATTATGTGGGCACTTCTTCGGGATGTAACGCCAATCAGGAGCCCCTTTGCTGCGAGGACAATACCTATGTCAGTGATACTCACATGGAAGCCAATGGCCAGTGCGGCTAATAGCATCTCGCAATCAACAGAATGGTCTGGTCAGCATCGGCTGCACACCCATTAATGTGATCATTTAGGTGGTATCGGAGAAATTGTTTGAGGACGGCGTGTGTAGACTCAGTAGGCATGGCTGGAGTCTGGATTGATACCCCTGCATTATTTGCATTATGTAAGTACACAGACAACATGTATTACGCTTCCAAACCGGGATTATTAGCCACTTGAACGTGTCAATCATCGATAACATACAGAGTCTTAATATAACAATCGAACAGGCTGTAACTTACAGCCTGGGGTCAGCGCTGCAAACGCCGACCTGCAAACTCCGACCCGAACAAACCAGGATGATAAAATTTTGATAATGGAAATCAACCCACGAATGTAACGCTGACGAGAACATCTTAGCGTCCAATCAGCATTTGGAATAACCATGCCATCAACCATGCCATCAGGAATGGCAGCGCAATAAACCCCGCACACCCGGATCAGAATCTAGAAGAGTCTTTAGCGGAACTCCTGGTGGGTGAATGACACTCGAAGCAAAGATGCGACTCCGTATGGAGGAATATTCGTTGTATGTCGTGTTCTCTAACGCGAGTCGGCCGATCAGGATTCGAAGAAGACGATAGAAATTCTCTCACCTCTGGATTTTTAGTGAGAGATCCCGTAAACCATTGACACGACAGAGAATTCTTAAAAGTAGGGCAAAAAAATGAAAGTAACCTCATCTCCCATCTCTGCCCACCAAGTATCATTCCTGATCACCCTCTCTCAGCAAAAATGATCTTCAGCATCTTCGCTCTCCTTCCGTTTGCCCTCCTTACTGCTGCTCAAAGCCAGTGCGACACTGGTGTCATCGAGTGCTGTAACAAGGACACCCTCGTGAGCTCAATCCAATTACAAGTATGCAATGATGTCCTAATCGAAAATTTGTAGTATTCGCAAACAGAGCCTATCCTGACCGAGTTTGGCCTGGTTGACGTCGCTGCGGTTGTGGACGCCTTCGTGGGTCTTGAATGCTCCGGCATCAACGTTGTCGGTACTTCCACTGGTTGCTTGGCAAACCAGCAGCCCGTTTGCTGCGAGAATCAGAAATACGTGAGTACTAGATCCACAAGTTAATAATTTAACCAATGTACCCTCTCTAGAATGGTATTGTCAGCATTGGCTGTACTCCCATCAATGTCAACCTTTAAAAACGGATGACGGTCTATGGATGGAGTTGAGGGTTTCTGTGGGATATTACCTTATTTTGATGACTATTACTCTCCTATCACCACGTTCCTTGTTTGTAAATTCATCAGTACAAGTACCATGATACCTGCCTCTACCAATGGAACTATTGCTGTCTTCTGTTTCTTGTGGTCAAAATAGTAGCCTGGCCTATACACCACAGCGTCAAGCACTTACCAGCACTTAGTCCAGACTGGGTTATGAGTCTACAGGAAGAGCGCGATGATCAGCACACATGTTGTTAAGCGAAGATGCATTCCGTATGGACCCGGGGATATTCGTGTTCACTAGCGCAAAATCGACCGATCAGAATTCGAAGAAGACAATGGAAATTTTCACCTCTGAATCTTTAGTAAGTTTCCGTAAACTACGGTTAACGAGAATGCATAAAAGCGAGGCAAGAAAACGAAGGTACCTCCATCTCCCATTTCTGCCCACCGAGTATCATTCTTGATCACCTTCTCTCAACAAACATGATCTTCAACATCTTCGCTCTCCTTCCGTTTGCCCTCCTTGCTGCTGCCCAAGCCAGCCAATGCGACACTGGTGCTATCCAGTGCTGTGAAAAAGACAGCATGGTGAGCACAATTCAATTGAAAGCATGCAAATAATGTTCTAATTGAAATCTTGTAGTATTCGCAAACGCAGCCCAATCTGACCGAGCTCGGCCTGGTTGACGTCGCTGTGGTAGTGGACGCATTTGTGGCTCTCACGTGCTCCGGTATCAACGTTGTCGGTACTTCTACCGGCTGTTCCGCTAACCAGGAGCCTGTTTGCTGCGAGAACGAGAAATACGTGAGTACCAGATCCACAAGTTTAGGATTTAACCAATGCAATGTACCCTCCCCAGAATGGCGGCGTCAGCATTGGCTGCACTCCCATCAACATCAGCCTTTGAACGACGAATGGCATGTGTATGGAGGGGTTGAGGGTCTCTGTGGTCTCCGTGGGACATTACCTTATTTTGCTGCATATTACTCTCCTGTCACCACGCTCCTTGTTGTGAACACGTCGGTACAAGTACCATGATACCTGCCATTTACCAATGGAACTATTGCTGTCTTCCGTTCTGGCGTGTGATCAAAATAGTAGCCTGGTCTTATTCACCACAGCGTCAGGCACTTAGCCCAGACAAGTCACGAAAGAGCGCATCAGCACACAAGTTCTGAAGCGAAGATGCACTCCGTATTGAGGGATATTCGTTACATATCGTGTTCACTAGCGCCGGTTGACCGATCAGAATTCGAAGAGGACAGTGGAAATTTTCACCTGAATTTTTAGTAAGTTTCCGTAAACCATGAACGAGAATGCATAAAAGCGACGCAAAAAAATGGAAATAACCCCATCTCCCATCTCTGCCCACCGAGTATCATTCTTAATCGCCCTCTCTCAACAAAAATGATCTTCAGCATCTTCGCTCTCCTTCCGTTTGCCCTCTTTGCTGCTGCGCAAAGCCAGTGCGACACCGGGTACATCAAGTGCTGTAACGGCAACAACATTGTGAGCTCGATCCAATTATAAGCATGCAATGATGTCCTAATTGAAAATTTTGTAGTATTCGCAAACGGAGCCTAACCTGTACGAGCTTGGCCTGGTTGACGTTGCTGCGGCAGTAGACGCATTCGTGGCTCTCGAGTGCTCTGGGGTCAGCGTTGTCGGTACTTCCTCTGGCTGTACAGCCAACCAGCAGCCCCTTTGCTGTGAGAATGAGAAATACGTGAGTACTAGATCCACAAGTTAATAATTTAACCAATGTACCCTCTCTAGAATGGTATTGTCAGCATTGGCTGTACTCCCATCGGCGTCGGCCTTTGAATGACGGATGGCGCGTATGGATAAAATTGAGGGTTTCTGTGGTCTCCGAATTATTACCTTATTTTGATGGATATATTACTCTCCTGTCACCACCACGCTCCTTGTTTGTAAACTCATCAGTACAAGTACCATGATACCTGCCTGTCTACGATGGAACTATTACTGTCTTTTTTTCTCATGATCCAAAAGAGCCTATCAGTACGCAAGCTTTCCGACATGTGTGACATTGGGACTACAGACGTGCCTTCTAGAGACAAATTCGTAGTGTACCTTTGTCAACGGCGTGATCATTAAGACAATTAGGTCAGGGCTGAGGACATCGACTCCCCAGCATTGCGAGGGTGCTGAGTATCGAAAATTGCACATCCCTCATATGATTGCCGAGAGGTGGACACGTCTATATGATATGTAAGACAGAACTAGAGAGCGAATTCAGCTTCAACGGGGGAACAAACCACGAATCCTGATGCGCACCAATAAAAGACCGTCGACAGGGTCAACGGGCCCGACAAATCACCTCCCCGTCCAAATTCAACTGCAAAGCCTCTCGCGCCTCCAACCATTCATGCTCCTTGCTTTTTGTCCGCACCACAGCAATTTCACCCATGCCTAACGGTTTAATCGTCTGTGCCCGGCGTCCGGAGCAAATGCGACGCAACTCCCCGATGTCCATAAAAATGCGTCTACTGGGTCTACTAATGAGCTCCATATCCGAAAGGACAGGCCGGTCGTCGCGGTATTTAAGCTCAGCCCATATACGGCGCTGGGCTTCGCCAACGCGGAGAAAGTCGGTGGGAGAGGGTGACTCGATGGTTCCGCGCGTGACGTTGGAGATGAAGCCGGTCCGCAGGAGGATGCTCAGGATCCCGAGGTTTTGCGTTGTGTGGTCCACCGCTATTTTGTGGTGTCGGGCTCGAAAAGCGTTTTGGACGCGAGCGCATAGGTCATATGGTAGAGGCATTGAAACTGTGTCAAATCTGTCAGCAGAATATATGCGGGGCGCAATTGAACGCACGAGACGTATAGACCTTGACTGAGTGTGGATGCAAGGCTTTCAAGTTGCAGTCACGGTATGCACTCAAAACGAGAAGTAAATGATTAGGTAATATCCCCGGGGGGTCAATTAAGAGGGGGGTCGCATATTGGCGAGTTGTGAACTAGCTACCACAAAGCTACCAGACATTTATATCTGACATGCACCCCCGAACACGAAGAATTTATAGAAACTCCATGCCAATGCCAACTTGGAACCCCTTCCGCACACCATCGCTCTTGCTTGCAACAAGCGGCACCCCAAAGTTCACCTCTACTCTCACAGGATCGAATCGGTATATAAGGCCAACTCCCGCGGATATCGAGGGTCTTCGTAGGCACCCTATTAAATTCTCGCCTAGTCCTTTCGCTGTCATAAGCAAAGAACAAAGTGGAATCAGTATCTTGCTAGAGGGGCAAGGATCGGGTGTTTACGCACTTTCGTCCATTGCATCCAACCTTCCAGCGTTCACAAATACGTGCGACTTGATGGGCCAATGCGGTTTCCGCGGGATATCGGACACCAAAGAAAGGCCTGTCGACCAGTAAAGGTCACCGCCAAGTGAATCGCCTAGCGCAGTCAATTTTAGCAAATGCCCTTTCTACGTGAATTTTTTTAGAAATACCTCCATCTCGAGGGCCCATGCTGTTCGCCCTGAACGACCTTAAATTCAGTGGTCCGCCGAGCTGGAACCTATCAGCGAAATGGCTATGGCCGGTGAGAGCCTTTAAGAAGCCAGACCGTGCAGCCAATGAGATGCTCTGCATGTTCAACATGAAGTTAAGTCATACCAGCCAACCAGTAGCACGAATCTCACCATGCCTGGAACGAGGCGTCGGGAAATTTGACTTTCAACCTCAGCCTTGTAAAATGACACGTCCCCTGACAGTCCAGCTAATTCTTGGAAAAATTTGCCATAGTAGCCACGCGACGCTGCGAGCTTATCGTCTCTAGTATCCTTTGTCCATGAATGAGATATCGATGACTTGATAGTTTGACCAGCATGTTCGCGAATGCTGCATAATCCTTAAAAAAACAGACGCGATAATATGACGTATTCAGCCTGACCTTATTGATGCACTTGGTGCTAAATTGTTGATATGCCTCAAAACGGCCTGATATGCGACTTCGTGGACACCATGAACTCCCCAGTTGCTCTTCAGGAGCGCATATTCAGTATATTTGACATTGCACAAGACAACAAACTTACATTTATTGCAACCTTTAAACCATGTGAGATCTCCGAACAACTTGCAAAAGAAGAGAGATCTCGTTCCAGGCTGAACAGCGAAAGTTGCCCCGTTGTGCGCAGAGACGGTGAAAGGGGAAGCGAGAGAAGCCCATGGAAAGAACGACGCGTTTTTGTGCCTGCGGAGTAGTGACCTTCCAAGAATTCAGCTCCACCGAATATGTTGCGCACTCTGCCCGTGACGCTCTGCGATAGTGGTGTTATGTGAAGGTGTCATATCATTACTAGTAAAACGCGAGGCTCACAACGCTACCCTCGTTATTACCGAATTCCGTTGCAGTTTTCAAGTAGAACCGGCCTTTTTCACGTGTGTTGACAACAATGTCGACGTCCCCTTCTTTGGCAAGGTGGTCTCGACTCCTCTGAATTTTCGCATCAACAGAGTGAAACAGGTCTGTCTCTTGCAGAATGTGACTTATGCCCCTTGCAGTATACAACGCTCCTTGCAGGGTGTTCGATTTGCTTGCCCGGTCGTCCGTATGCCGTGCAAGCCACGGCTGGATCAACCAGCTTAAGAAAGACTTCCTGGTATTTGATGCGCCATCTACACGGACTGATGTGACTGATATTGAGGTCTCGAGATTTTGATTGACCTATTGAGACCCTTTCAGAGGTTATGTGAATGCGAACGAAGGTGACACTTACAAGTTCTGCAAGGTTAAAAATAGCAGATTCATACTCTCCACGGAGTTTCCGTTCGAGGCGTGCTTCCTGCCACTCCTTGATTTTTTCGAGATCATCGACCTTGGAATGCGCGGTGCGCTGCAGCGGAGGATGGGATTTCTCGGCCATTCAAGAAAGACAATTATCTCTCGTGCATTTGCCCAAACAAGTGCTTACTAAGCAAGTGAGTTTGTGATGTACACTAGATCTTATTCCGCTGGGTCGTGTTCGCCACAACCTTTGTTCTAGTCTCCACCAAGTTATCAACTTTCTTCAGGCGCGTCCCCCAGTATTGCACGCAGAACGAAGACCATTCCGAAATCAGTATCTTGCAAAGTGCTAGTATCATGGCGAGGTGGGACGCGAATAAGTATTTCCTGCGATTGAAGCGCAACCGACTGGCACTGGGTCTTCGGCAACGCACCGAACAGCGGGCGCTGTCAAACGGAATGAAGACTAGACTGAGTGGAGTGGTATCGGACGCGAGTACTATCTGCCACAATCCACAATTTCAATTTGTTTTTGCGGGCGGATCAACGCTACAGATATTAAGCACTTTGCTAATTTCGTACAAGTAGGCCCGTATATCGCTTCAATTTGGACGGCCGAGATCATCACCTGGAGCTCGTCATTTTCTCTTCTAATTTCCTCTTACCTAATAGTTCATACACGTGGTGCACTTGGTATATAATCTCGCGTCGTCTCCGTTCCTCATACTCAGTTCTGTTCTCTAACGCTTAGAGGTAAGTATGTGCTTTCATCTCGCCAACTTTCTCTTACATAATTCTTCTTATAGCGTCTTTCACTTCTAGGTACTACATATATTATTTAGCTGTTGTTCTCCAACGCTGAGCATGTTCACTTCTAGCTTTCAACAGCGTGTTCCGACGAGAATAGCATATCTGCGTTTTAAAGTGGCAGTACTTGGTTTTGTTGAACCGGAATCCTGCTAAGTCTCTCCATGTCCTCGCCCTGTGACTACGCGTTTCTTGCTCAGTTTGCGGCGGCCTCCACGGGGCATGACGTTGAAGGGCAAACGCAGAAAAAGCTCCTGAACGGAAACGAGGATGCTATAACACGAACTGCGTGCGGGGCAGCCCCACAACCCAACACTTTCTTCATCTCCCCAACGCCAACAGCAATGGTCTATCGGCCGACGGAGAATACTCCTCTACTGTCGCCGCCGAATCCTCGTATAGAAGAGGATGTGGACTGTTCGAACGAAAGGAATGGTCCCAGTACCTGGGTGATGTTCCAGGAGGAACTTGGTGTCCTCGCAAAATATACGCTTCCCATTTTTGCGTTCGTAGAATCGCCACCCTCCCGTGTAACTTTCACTAATTTTCTACTAATGTAGAACTCACGTGTTCGAGTATAGTTTGAATATGGCTTCCGTAGTGGCTATCGGGCACATATCCACGATAGCACTTGCTGCTGCAACATTAGGTTTTATGACCGCCAGTGTGTCGGGCTACGCCATCGTGCAAGGACTAGCATCTGCTCTCGACACACTTCTCCCTGCGGCATGGACATCTAATCATCCGCAACTGGTCGGCTTATGGAGTCAACGCATGCGTAAGTAATACTCTTATGCATGCCCCTACATCTAATCATTTCTGCAGTTGTTGTGACGGCTGCAACCCTTATCGTATGTGTGTCACCCCTCCTACTATTCTTTTATTAACACGATTCAGCCGGTTCTTATGATTTGGTTCAACGCTGAATCCATTTTACTCCTGCTCAGACAGGATCCTGAGGTTGCACACCTAGCCGGCGTCTACTTAAAATGGAGCTCTTTAGGGCTTCCGGCATATGCTTTCAACTGCATTTCTCGGTACGATAGTATACACATTACCGGCATAGTTAATGCTGACTTCCTGAGGTTACAGCCGCTACTTTCAATCTCAAGGTAATGGATGACATCACTAGGAGGGTTACATACTGATCGTCAATGCTTCTTAAGGACTCTTCTCTGTACCGACCAAGATCATCCTGTTCATAGCTCCGATCAACGCCCTCTTGAATTACGTTTTTGGTGATCATCTTGACTTTTTTTACTGTTTCAATCAAAAGCTCATCCAGTCTTCCAGTGTGGGGTCCTGAGCCCCTCAGGATTGGTTTTATTGGAGCTCCAATTGCGACTTCCATATCTCTCAATCTTATTTCAATCTCGTCAGTAATATATGGCATTTTTTATGTCGAGAGGACCGCCTGGCATCCTATCTCGTGGCGGAGCTTTACTGGCTTGAGCTGTCTCGTCAAGCTGGGACTCGCTGGCGTTGGCCAGACCGCGTCTGAATGGTGGTCATGGGAGCTTAATAACTGTGCGTATTTTGCTTCCAACTCAAATATTTAGATGCTGATCTGCGTTTTGACAGTGGCCGCCAGTTTGTATGGAACCAACCCCATAAGTTGCCAACCTCGCTGACGTTCATTCACAGGCTCGGTCCTGCTGCCCTAGCTGCCCAATCCGTTCTGCTTATCTCAAGCTCCTGCACATTCCAAGCTCCCTTTGCCCTCTCCTTAGCAACGTCTGTGCGGTATGTCACGTTGAACTTGACTGAAATCTTGGCTAAATTTCAGTAGGATTGGGAACCTTCTAGGAGAGAAAAAGGCGAGGCGCGCCGGTGTCTCTGCGTACGCCTCGATTGCTCTTTCAGTTGGCATTGCCTTAGTATGGAGGTACATATGCACCGGTTTCAGGTTAAGCAGTGCTAACATATAAACAAACTTCTCAGCACTCTATTTATGACGTTCAGGCAGTCATGGGCTTATATCGTTAACAATGACCCCGGTAAGATGATCAGTGTTGTGTGTTTTCCGATACTCATTTGGTCTCAGAGGTTGTAACACTGGTGGCATCGATTCTCCCCCTTGTTGCTGTATATCAGGTCTTCGATGGAATCACCGCTGTTACTGGTGGTATTTTGCGAGCACGAGGCAAACAAGTAAGTACTACGTTATTTCGTCATGCTTTTTGATTTAGTTTTCTTGCAGTTCATAGGCGCACTTCTTAATCTCAGGTAAGATCGATGCGCACAAGCCACGATTCCCCCCATAACGTCTTTTTTGCAGTGCTTACTACGTCATCGGCATTCCCTTTGGTGTTTGGTTGACTTTTAAGATGAACATGGGACTAGTGGGGCTATGGGTGGGAATCACAGTTTCCCTCATTTATTGCTCTTTCTGGGGCACCTATCTGTGTATCACAGCCGACTGGCAGAAAGATGTGCAGAAGGTTTTGGATAGGCTTGCTGTTGAGAGCAAGAACGTACACTAGATTAAGGAACATACAAAATCACGCTTCTAATATCTATCAAAGACTTTCATACCATATTGTACAATATAATTGATACCTGCTTGTTCCTATATCCATCGTGCTGCGGTTTTCGACAACATGCTAGTCAAAGGCTGTGAAATCTGTAGCTGCTCTTAGCGTAGGTAGTGATGGCAAGTACTTTACAGACGGAATCTCTAGACTCCATTGTCGTTCACCTAACGACCCAGAGCGGCGTTTCGGATGTCTTTCGTTTACTCAGCTGCGACCTGCAAGTGCAAATCCATCGACAAATCACACGCACATGTCCCCGGGGGTATGCCAAGCGACAGGAGGTGCAAGGGGAGCGCGCCCGTCACTTCTAGCATCGCTTCCTTCTCAAAACCTGGGACACGCCTTCTTCAGGGCGGTGTGATGTGCTCCACGTCCGTGTCATGATGTCATACAGCTCATTGCGCCTTCAACGCGTTACCCTGCAACACTAAGTTGGGATACCAACCAAACAGCCGATCTTCGAGGACGTAGCCGGGAATGAATAACTCTGCATTCAAATTAGCACATTGGTCAAACCTGGGAGAGACTTTGGAGGCAGATACTCGTTTTTCTTGTCGCCCACGTATTCAGTGGCCTTCGGGCTGCAGTGCCAGGAGCATATTCGGGTACCATGGACGAATAAGGACGTGAAGGAGCGTGCTCTGTCAACAATTACAGTGTGCAACAGCATGACCGGCCAATTATTTATTCATGCGAGATTGTTGGTCGGACTTGCTGTCCTAACCGCCAAGTACAAATATTTGCGTATTGGAAAAGTGTGATTCATGGACGCAAGTGAAAAATCAGCGCCGGTTGTCACAGTCAGTGAAGTGAAGGTGTGAATGGATGATGGATACATGAATGATGGGTGATGGATGCCGGGTAAGACGATTCGTGATGGAATGTGTGTCATACGTCCATAGAGTCTTGTAAGCCGAGAACTACATTAAGATTCCTCACAGTGCGCCGCTGGACCAGGCTGATATCATGTCAGGATTAAGAATGTTATGGAGAACACATCACGCACCGTTGGAACAGATCAAGGGGGCTGTCGTGACCTTCACTATTGGAAAGTTCCGAGCGCTCTGTGATCGCCTTGTTGGGTATCCAACAGCTCAAGGGACTGGTTCCCTCCTCATAGCTTGCGTGAGACAGATACAATAATAACCCATCGGAATCCACGCGCGCAATGAATGACGCAGTAGATCGTGAGGGTACAGAATCATGAGTGCCATCGACGGCCATCTCATGCGAAGTGAATTCTGGTGTTGAGACTTGCACAGGAATATCGACACTAATTTCTCGTGTTGATCGCGCCATTGGGATGATAAACGAAGACAGGGAGGTCAATGTCGTGTCAGTGTGATATGGTATTGGGACAAAAGATGTTGGATATGGAAAGCGGTAGCGTTCACGCTCAGAAGTAGGCGTATGTGAAAGTGACCCGGCGTTTTGAGATGAGGTGTCCGCTGTCGTGTGAGGGGCTGTAAATGTAAAACTTCCGGATGGTAAAGGGGGCTTTGGAAGTTCCGCTAAGCGTGTATCTCTCCACCAAAACCTACGCATAGAATGTCAGTAAATAGATCGTTCGCATGTAATGCATGCCCACCTGAAAGGAGTCTCGCAGTCACCGACATCTTGACCCTTCCACTTGAGCACGTCCAGGACATGAATGATGCCGTTGTCTTTCCAATTAGCATCGAGAATACAATCGAGCACTGTAAGAGGTGGAAGGGAGGATGGAAATCGGGGAAGGAGCATCTTGCCCAAAACTCGAGATCGAAGAGTCGTATTTGGCGCTATCAGAATATGATCAGTTTTGAATTTGTCAAAGAAGTTATTGCATACATATGCCAACTACTCCAGCTGCCTGATGAGTAACAGCCAAGCATCGTTTCCCAGCAGGAACTGGTGCCACCGCCACCCAGGCTGCCTCTAGATCGCGTGGAAGACCATCGATCACATCATCGGATTGATTGTCCCACAAGAGAGCTTCTTCATTCATCTCCAGGAGCTCAGCGTACATGCATTTATCGGCCCATTTGGACGGTTTGGCTTTGATACGTTTACGCCGATTTTTCCCTCGTCGCTTCCCCGGCTGCACTGTTTCATGATTGTGCGCATCGGAAGACAAAGACGGGGTCTCCACAGGTTGTGACACCATCTGCACAAACCCGGAGACGCCTTCACGTATTATCTCTGGCTCATCCTCGAGGTCAACATCATCATCATCAGAGTTCCCGAGGTTAAGATCGGCGAAAGAATCGAGTTGTCTGGAGGATTCAAACTTTTGTGCTCGTCTCTGTAAGAGGAGATTAAATATTCAAGAACAAATGCGCGAATATCCATCACACACACGCGTTTCTGTTCTTCCAAAGCCTAACAACACGCGTTCTTAGACAAGGATGGTCAGAGATAATATTGAGTCTTTTGCTCACCTTGGATCGACGCGCCTCCTGTGAGATAAGCTTGTCTGTGAAAACAGTTGGTGGAGACTTGAACAGAGCTTTTCTGTCGGTTTTGGCGAACATCGCCTTGGCAGCGTTATGAGCGTTGGGTCTAAGTCAAGTGGCTCTTGCCAAAAATAGTTTGTGTCATCCATAGTCTATAGACGGCTTAGCTTCGGTCTCGGTTTTTAAACGGGAACTTGCAACTCTTTCAGTACTATAGCCATGCACAGGTCGACGCCTTCCACCACGCCTCCTCGCCAATGCGGTTTAAAACGTTCAATGACACTGTATGATCATTGATGCCATCCGCCACCGGGATGTACTAGTACTAGTGAAGGCTATTGTCCATTGGTGCTGCATCATGAAACTCCTGATCATCATGATAGCGCTCGGCCGCGACAGCCCCCGACACTCACAGGCGATTTCGACTCTCGGTGCTGCCGCGATCTGTTGGTCAATATAGGTCACGAGTGAACTCTCGATGGCTACTCTTGGCCTGCGCCAAAATATAAGATGTAGGGCCAGGCAAAGCTGCGGCGCTATCTGTTGCTAAAGTGACATAGCGCTCAATGCATACCACGTAGAAACCCGTCTATTGCCTAAATATCTTCTTGCGGTTCAGCGTATAGGTGCCTGCATGCATTCAACAAAACCCTCTTAGTAGTACCCTCTCCCCAGCCAACCGAAATTCTGCCGTAACAGTCACCCGCTCCCCTTGAAGCAGCCTGTACAACTAGCAACGGTCACTTGATACGGTACACTCTGGTATATATCAGGAATAAAGAGCTCTAAAAGTTGTACCTGAACAAGGCAGTGTCACTAACGTATTCTAGCAGGATGGAGTTGACTAAAATAAAGGACAGGATGCGCAGCTCAGCACACAGCCGAGGCAACAAGTGGGCGATATGTCAGAGGATTCAAGCTAAGTCGAAGTACGAGGCTCATTCGTGACTGAATAGTACTGAATACCAACTTGAATGACTAGAAAGGAAATTTATTACAAGGCGAGTGACGAAACATTCCCCCTATGTTTGATACTGATGGCGGCGGCGATGCTGCCAACTTGTTTGAACAGCACTGACAATCTATTACATTCTATTTTTTATTCTCCCCATCCACTCTAATTCACGCGAAAGCTACAGTTTAGCCTACTACAATGAAGCGACACAGTCGTCCATGTCTTTCCGTTCCGGCATTCATCGGCGTGCTAATTGTCTTCAGTATCCTGGCGGGCCTAGCACTGAAGACGCTGAGTATCACATCACATCCAGATCTATTCCTACCTACCACATTGGACGACTCGCAGTCCCCCCTCAACGTCACCTCAGAACAGGGCGGGTCTCCAGGGGTCGATCCCGAGCTCGACGCTCTCCATCATATTGTGTCTCGAACAAAAGGGTTTTATGCACGCGACTACAGCCTTTGGTTAGGCTGGAATAATGTCCGTCCCAGATTCTTTTCCAAATGGTACAAGTTGTGACTTAATCTCGATAGATGCGATATATCATTGAGGCAGCTGTACTCCACGGACGCATTCTAAACCGGACAACAATCATACCCACTTACGTTTACGCTCGTGCCTGCGAATTCGACAAGTACGTGCCATCCTTCTATCAGCCCCCACATTTTGCTGACTTTCATAGCTCCGTATGTGCTGCGTATGCCACTATGGTCAATAGGGGGGACGCAACTGGCTCAGATGAATGGCGCCAACTCCCCATAGAACAGCAAATGGCCTGGAAAACGCCCGTGTCTCTCATGTTCAACTTGACCCATCTGCGTGAGACACACGCAGTCATCACAGTATCTGAATATCTCCGCTTGCATAACATATCTGCAGATGTGGAAACCACTGACGGACACTGGGACACCGATTTATATCACCGCGGCGTTGATATCTTCTCTGATAGCGGAGTGGAACCCAGCCTCTACGCCATCGAGAATGGGTGGTATGACGCTGATGTTGTTCGGGTTGATCAGCTGCCACACACTATGCGGGAGAGAGGGGGTTGGAACGTCACTCATGGACAAGTTGGGTCCTGGACTAATATCACGGAAGAAACCCCTTTATCATTGGCGTTGCACGATGTGATGGCATCCGGCGCATCGGTTCTCGATTGGGACACCGTCCTCAGTGTTGTGGGAGATGACACTGACCCGATTGAAATTGAATCTCGGTCAGATGGCGGCATCGCAAGTACTTTGGAAGGGAATGGCTGGGAAGTACTTTACACTTACGGCGGCGTGTAAGTTCATTCACTTCTTAGGCCGGCTCCGAGAATAAGCCCATTTTTTCTAGCTCTGGCTCAGACGCAACGAAAGATGTCGCGGTTCCGATCCGACAAGCAGCCCCACGAAACTCATTGCGTGGACTGTACGAAGACTTTGGGTCCATAGAGCAGGATGTACTGTTGCTAAAGGGTGAGGTTCATTTGGGACGGAAACCGGTAATTTCTTTTGTCTTCCTTTACAAGACGCTTTAATCACACCCAATGACACCAGGGTGCCCTCAAGTTCACCACCCTCGAAAGTCAAGAGAGATACACGCAGACAGTCCTGTACGACTTTCGTCTTACAGACAGCGTGGTTGAGCTGGCGGATCAGCTGTCTAAGCGTATGGTCGAGAAGGTCGGCGGACGAATGTGGATGGGAGGTCACATGCGACGGGGGGACTGTCAGTTCATATATTTGCTCGACTATCTTGGTGCTCACGACAGGTAATCTAGTTGCAACGTTAAAGTGGACCATGGAACCGAGCATCGAAGCTCATCTCGCACGGATCAAGCGCCATCTACGCGACGGACGTGATATCCTACACTCTGTGCATCGCGGGCCTCTCCACACCTACAAGGTTCCTTTTGGTCAAGCTGATCCCACGCCTCTACTTCTAGATCCTCCTGCGCTTCATGACCAGTAAGACATCTAGCTTGCTTTGATAAGGAAAGAATTCACACTATATTTCTGCAGATTCTACATAGCCACTGACGAACGAGATCCTGCAAACCTCACATACCTACGTGATCAAGGTGCCGTATTGATTTCGGACCTGCTAACGATAGACGATCGCCGAACCTTTGGATGGCCTCTGATGCTCACCGACGTTCTCAGTCTGGTCGAGCAGGCAACACTGGCTCATGCATCGTACTTCTATGCTCATGCGCATAGTTCGGTCGCCGGTGGTGTCGTGAATCTTCGTGCTTCTCATGGAGCTGATCCAAGAACTGCCTTACTGGAATATTAATATTGACAAGCTTGCAGTTTTCAACACATTAGACCACATATAATGTATTTGTAATGATTCAAGTAATGCGTTGGAGTTGTAACGTCGAGGACGAACTATAACCAAATGAACAGGCAGCCATGATCGGTACAAGTGCTGTATCGACTGTCAAATAGTTGTGTTTGTTCTAGTGTCGATGGTCAACTCTTTAGCAGGGATAATATTGGACATGGTCACAATGATAATCCGCTGGTATTTGATTGGACGCTATCAGTAGAACACGAACGATATTCGCTACTCATTTCAAGAGTTACGTGGACAACAGCCTATAAGCTAGTCAAATTCCCGTTGGCAAAAGGTGCTAGTGTTCACTTTGGTGTAGCAGGTGATATTTTCAGCCATCAGTTTGATCTAAGCATATATACCGTACAATGTATGAAGGATGACAAACTGACACATAATGCATAGTTTTCACCCAGTAAAAGCAAGCACTCAAGGGCATCAAAGGGACAGGGCTTGTCCTCAGTCGTTAGTGCGGTGAGATCGTACCTGCGGCGGAGATCAAGAAGTCGATACTCGCAGAAGGACGAAGATCAACCCGAGAGAAAGGACGAGGAAGTAAGGCTCGGCATATGTCCATCCTACCCTAGAAAGACGTGATGCAACTGTCAATTCAAGGTTGAACGACCTGATAACTCCGCTGTCAAACTCAGTCCGCAGTTATTATTATTTTGTCTTGACTTTTTGACGCTTTTTGACCGGAGTTGTCCATGATGTTCGATTCGAGATACGCGAGTTTCTGACCGGAAGGTTCGATGGAAAAGTAAGGACCTTCATTCACAGCCTGAGCGGAAATGAGGGAGGTAGGCACGATGGGCGAAAGAGTACTGGCATACTCTTCTCATTCCGCATAGTTCCGTTGGTGTAAAGGACATAGAGACGTCATTGAGGAACTTGCCACGACGAAAAAGACACCAAACAAGGTTATCCCAGCGCACAAATAAGGTTCCTGGAAGTAATCACTTGGGAGGACGTTGCCATTTGGAGTCGATTGATGTTATTCAAGCCGTAAGCCAAGAGAGGTACCTGCGTCGCGCCAGATAGTGGGCAAAGTCATCCTGTCACAACTGAGCAAGGCGCTGTAAGATCGCAACAAAAAAAGGTTCTCAAATAGCGTACACTTGATCAGCATGCGGAAATAAATTCTGCAAGGGGAATCCAAACCTGTGGATTTGAAGTTGTGCAACGGAACTTGTCCTCGGGCGACTGATAAGAGTAATGACCTAATATTCACGGGCCTACGCGATTGAGGTACCGTGTAGGTGAGCGACATCAATAGCCCATCGAGTGTAACATTTCCTTCATTGGTTCAATCTGAGCGAGCCCGGATTGGCAGTAGTATATGCGCAAGCCATCGGCACGAGAAACCGAAGGCGGGTATTAGTCCGCGTGTGAGAGTAAATTGTGGAGGGCGTTGCTCAGTGGAGGGCGATAAGGAAAAGGCTCCCGAATTATGTTCTGGTTGGACAAGAATGCCTTGGAAAGGAGTCTATCAGAAGTAAGCCCGCCAAAAGATGGCCTCGAATGCTGCGATCGGCGGTCATTACAAACACCATAACCAAACCTCTATCGTACTAACCAGGGGGTTCCAGCGCCCTCAAGCGCTGAGCTGCGAGCGAGCGCGCGAACTGTCCAAGAAGACATCAAAGCTTGTCGAGAAATTGATATGCCCGTTCCGAACAGTGTCATACCAAGTCCAACTCTGCCGCCGTAAGCAAGTCCCAATAGAATGGTCTGACGTTGATTTGAAGATCAGTAGTGTTATGGAATTGATTGTGGAAGGAAATGGTAAATGGTAAGAATCTCTGATCATGACGTTCAGCACAAATAATAGACGCTTGATATGAAGCCGCCATCATCGTGGCACAACCGGATATATATAGGCTGATTCTATATAGATAAGCGGTAAGGCTTGCTGCCAGGTCCTGTTCAAAGGGTCAGTCCAGACTCCAAAGCAGATCTAGGCGTAGTTGCTCGACTGCGAGGTGAGATGAAGCCATCGGATCCATGTGGTATGTAGCAAGTGTCAGCTGCCAATCAGCCAAATTGTCGTGCCTCTCTCCTGGAACGAATTCGCGTGCCTTGCGGTCGACCAATCACGAATCGCCTCCAATTGAAGCATAGTTGGTATTTGAGACTCCTGGCATTGATAGGCTTTGATGCAGTCGGGATCAATCCATCGAATGGTCCAACACATTTCCGCCGACTCGCAGCTAGCGCCGCGAGCACTGCACCTAGGGTTTTCGGGACGGTGAGCCATGAATTTGAAAACGTACTTATGGTTCATGGTAAAGAGCTGAATCTTGATGAAATGAGTACATCAAATTTCAGTCTGTGACGGAATACCTTATTGTCCGGAGTTGTAGCGGTCTTCCCCCTGACGGAAGTCCGCAGGAGCAGCACCTTGAAGCAATGAATTTCCCCCGCCCGAGAATGTGCGCATCCAAATACGTATCCCTCCAAGCCAAATGAACTCGAACTTTGTTTATATTTCATCTTCTTCCTTCCATCCCCCGTTCTACAAATGCAGCGTTGAGTAAGCGATATGCAAGTAAATGTAAATGTACGTGTATGAAAGATGCGGTATGCCCTGGGTACAATTGCTATCTATGCGCGAAAAGATTGGGATGTTGCGGTCGAGCGGGTCTCAAAGTATAAACAAGAATAAGAAATCACGAGAATAATGACGTATAAACAAGATGCAGGCGGAGCACGAGGGTATTAGGGCTGTAACGCAAGGGGACCAGCGAGACGAGAGTACTTGGCACGATGACAGAGTTTGAATGCGACAGGAAAGGCAAGGAGCGTGTGTACATGTATAATTCCACAACAAATAGTGCAGATGGATGACGTGGAGGATGAGATCAACCACAAACGAGCGGAATTCCAGAGGAACCATACGAAAACTGGCGAGGCAAAGCAAGGAAAGCAGCGAGCGAGCGTGATGGTTGAGTAATGACCGAGGTGTACAATTCAATAACGAGCGTGGTAGACTGAGAATAACCAATAGATAGTATTATGAGATTGACGAAATCGCGCGCCGGCGTTTGGAGCAGAAAAAAGCGACCCATTCCGCGTCCTGATGTCCATGGTCCACTATGTTTAACTGTCAAAACCATGTTAGGGTCCAGGAAGATGATTGAACCAAGTTCGCTTACCTAAATGGCACCTATTGTGCCCTGCGCCAAAAGCCCATCACGGTAGTAGTGCGGGAGGCCTTCATCGCCGAAGGCAATGGAAGTTTCGAAACCAGTGCAGTTGGTCCATCAATTGACATAGGCGACTTCGGTTCCATAGTCGAAGGGTTCGCTTGTGGGAGAGATGACGTCCGAGGAGTCGGCACAACATGTTTTGGCGGTGGAGCAATCTTCAACGGCGGAAGTGGAAGTTTAGATGTTGGTGGTGGTGCGTTAGGAGATGTTGGATGAGGAAGTCGCGACGAAGACTGCGAAGCAAGCATTGACGCTAATTTTGATGGGGGTGTGAAAGTTGTTGGTGGTGGTGGGATCTTCGACGCAGTTGGACTTGCCCCATTAGAGATATTAGAAGACGAGACAGATACCGTCCGGGGAAGAGGAAGCTTTGAAGGAGTTGCCATGGCCCGAACCTTGGGTGTTTTTGGTCGCGAAGATAGTTTGAAGATTGACTTGGCTCTACTGGGAGTCGAACTCGGTAGGGGGTGAATGGAGATGGGTGCGTCCAATGTGGCGGAGGACACCACCGAGTTCCTAGAAGATCCAGCTGCCAATAATAGAGACAACCTTGACGCACTATGACTTGCGGTGGGCGACGGAAACAAGGAGAGCTGTGATGCTGAAGCCGAAGGAGGGGTATAAGTCTGCAGAGAAACCAAAGACGCACTCCGGAAGGATGTAATAGTTGAAGCAGACTGGGGAATAGGCGGCAAGACATCATCAAACGCGGTGGCGCGGGAAGGGATTCTCGATAAGGAGATGGTCGGCACCGGTGGTACTGCCTCCCCACTGCCCATCACACCATCGGCTGCGAAAGACATACGCGATGCGCCGAATGACGTACGCGTAGGCGACACTGGAAGCGGAGGTACCTCCACCAAAGACACTGGTGGACGCTGAGATGCGAAAGAGGCACGAGATAAAGAGAACGAAGCCCGCAAACTGGCTAGGGAAGATTTCTTTCCGATGGTTTTTGCAGGTTTGACAACTCTCTCGTCTGTATCCGACTCATTAGAGAAGTCATAGTCGGTAGAGGCTGCAACATTGCTGTCTGAACGACCCGGGGAAAGTTTCGAAATGAAACTAATAAGGCGGGTGCGCTTGCGCGGGGTTTTCACCTCTTTTGATACTTCTTTGTCCTTTTTGCCTCTCGAAGGAGTCCTGGACCTCATGAATGTACCCGACGGCATTGGATCGGGTGGTGGCGGAGTTAGTGATGCTGTCGTTGCAACTGACCACCGGCTTTGAAGGTCTCCCGAACTGTTAGTGGAAGTGCGTAACCGGTGGGATTGTGCGGGATCATCATTTACACAATCTTTGGAGTCAGAAGGGAAGTGACACGATGAAGGGGTGGCGGGATCAATTGTCAAAGCAGGCGATAATGCAAGTTCGGGCGCAGAAGCGGGAAATATGGTGGTACTTGGTGATATGGGGAATGCAGTCGTCGATGGCGATACGGGAAGCGCCGTGTCAGATGGAGATGTCGGAAATGAATCATTACCGCGATCCTCGGATGAAAGAGGCACCTCCGGGAAGCGGTCAGCTTCAGGGGATGCTGGCAGTGCGATATTTTCCGGTAAGCAAGGAGCAAAAGTCGCACTCGCAGGCGAAGTCGGAAAACTGGTGCAGGGACTCGTAAGCGCGGTTTCACGCGATGGGGCGTACGAGAAATTGGAGAGCGTAGGAGACGGGTATCCTGAGTCACGATCATCTTGGATTGGTGAGAGGAGAGAAAGCTCTTGTTCATCCTGCTCGTTCAAATTTAAAGATTCCATGCGTCGGAGGAACATTGGGTCAGAACGCTTGAAGTCAGAAATGAGTTCGTGTTGAGTGTCTCCATGCACAATTACGGATACGGGCATTGGCGGAGTGAAGATGTCTTGTGTTTGGCTCTGATCAGATGACAACGTGCTTGTGAAGGAAGGTAGCCGTGACATGCGCATCGATGAAGAACGTGAACGCATGACACGTGACGAAGTGGACTGCGTAGTGGATGTCGCCGGAGAAGGTGGCGGAGGACAAGGTAAAGGCTAAATGACTGAATTTTAGCTCCATGAATAGCGGATCATAAAAGGAAATACCTTGTCCATGTTCTTGCGCGGAGTGGAAGGACTGGACTGCATTTTCCAGTGTGACATTTCCTGCACGAGGAAACGAAGGGCGCGCTCGCGTTCGCGCTCTTCCCTCACCTCATCCTCAGCAAAAGTCTGAGAAGGAGAGACAGGGAAAAATAGAGCATCGTAAGAGGGACAAGACTCTGATCGTGTAGAGCAATCTACCGATGACCTCGGTAGGAGCGGAGAGTCGGGTCTGTCAGAAGAGAATGTACGGTGCGCTCCCAAAGAGGAGGACGGGGAAGGTGAAGGAGCCCGGGAACAGCCGGAAGCGACATCTTCGTTGAGGGGGGTGTCTGACTCTGAGAGAGCAAAATCATACTGGTGCTCTATCCAAGAGTGCACACGAGCATTGCGTGTGGATGAGTTGTCAGATAATAATTGGCGGAGGAGGGCAGTGTAAGCAACGTCGTCTTCAGACATGCTGGCAGCCATCATGACCTGGGGACGAAAATGAAAAAATGAAAAGCGGGTAGGGTCATTTTATTACGGGTGCGGCAACTTGCAGGGCGAAGATTTGGTTAGGAAAATCACATAAAAGTTTCGTTGAGAAAAACGTGAGTTAGCTAAGATTGACCTTCCGATCTTTTTACAGATCTCTGTCTTGCACCAATATTTTGGCTTCTAGACTTTCCATTTTTGGATATTGGGTTCCGTTGCTAACATAAGCGTGACCCCCGGGTGCAGTGGATCATCCCTGTACTAGCCCTGGAAGAAACTAAAAAGGTCCTGAGCGTTGGCAACGTGTAGCATTTCTCCTGAACTTCTTTCCTCGTCGAGGGCGTGCCACAAGTCGACAGAACCTGCCATGAAAACGAGCTAAGACAGAATATATTTTGCCGAGGATATCACCATACCAGATTAAATCTTCACCCTCTAACGAGCGCTTGTCACGACTGTCGGGTGCGATAAGTTAATTGATGCAGACAACGTCAACTGGCAACAGTTCCACACTACAATTTGTTACACGGCATAAAATATTTTGCTGCGGCTCGTTGACCTCGGGGTTTCACTGTAATATCACACAACTGCAGCCGACAGGCTACCATCGCTGAGCCAGTCTTGTACCTTTTTCAAGTCTGGTCTTCGACCCACTTCTTCGACTTCTGATAGACACGCGGTCACAGCTGCAGTGGGCAAATCAACGCCTGCCCTGACTATCTATCTATTTAGTTTCGGCCTCACAAACAGCGGTGACTTCTATGTCACGGCGTCCCTCAGATCACTTATTTGCACCTCGAAAGTTTTTAAGCTCACGGCCTCAGACGGCATACCAAGGTTGCATTGTAATTTGTCCCCACAGCAATTGTGGGGTCCTACTATACCTAAGACATACAAACCCGTTCCTTGCAAGCTCCACCAATGACAGCTCTTGGTGCTGGGGAAAGCCCTGTAAACTTGTTTGAAAGCTTCAAGTTCAGGCATGAATCTACGTAAACCACTCGCTTCTCGTAGATGCCGTCCGGCCGGATCCGTGAGCGTGTGCTGGTTTTAGCGAAAAACATACGTTAACATTGATGGTCCAAAATTATATATCTAGCTAGTGCCCGGTGCCGCCTGCTGCTAGTAAAATGCATCTCGTGATCGCCGTTTCGCGCTGCTTAATGTTGATGTTGATTGCATTTTGACGCATCCTTGGAGATCCTTGGTCGTGCGTTCAACACCCCTTGGGAACCCGTGCACTCAGGTCAGTCAAAAATTGTTGGTGAATACGTTAAAAAGGCATTATCAAGCCGTTGTCTGCATCATTACAGGTACTTTAATTAAGAACCACCACAAAATTGCTACTACTACAGGCAAGCGCCCATTCCATTCCAAAAAACTTCAAAGTGACATGTATGTATTGATAGGCTGTCGGCTGGAACCCTCAAAATTTAAAACTAACTTAGGTCCACTCTGACATGTCATTGCAAGTATGCCATCATGTTGCCATGAAATAATCATTCTCCCGAGTCCCAACCCGTATCTTGTTGCTGATCAGGTCGCGATTTTCCATTCCCGCCTGTCACGAACGGTCAAAGTAAGCATATCTACAACGCTATCATCTACCCTGACAAGCTTTTCATTAGTAGGACCATGTGATGCTCTACGTTGCTTTTTACAACGCTTGCTCAGGACATGAAGTATTATTAATGCAGACACACAGCTATGGCGACCAAGCATGCTCCGAAACTCGGTAGGCATGCGAATTTTATTGCACGTCCAGTAGAATCGCAGCTTGGGCACTTGAAGAACATGCCTAGTTCTTCGCTTCGGTAGCAAATTTGGCATCAAGGCAGTCACTATATGGTCCTGTGCATATAGAACATTGTACACTTTTCAGTGCTCGACGTCACCCATATCGGGTCCCCGTAATGAAGCTTGAATGGGGATGGTTAACATTCCAATGCAATTCTGCTCTGCTCTTTCACATCCATATCTCGACAGTCTTGACTAGACAGGATGGCGCTACATACGTGATTGCAATATTGTCTTTCCTATCGCATATGTACATGGTCCATATAAGCTCACACGCTAATCGCGGCTGCAATGCACGTCGCGTCAGGAAATGCTGTGATGTTGCTGGTGCCCTGCTAGAACCGGCCTCCCGACTTCGTCAGAGACTCTTATGCTAAAGACCTAAGATGACAGAGCAGCACAGTAGGCGACAGTTCGATCTCGGGTGGTGCCACACGCCGCCCGGGATCTATTGCGGTCTGGGTGAAACGTCCCAAACCAACATACCGCGGACCTACTTTTCGGGGTAGACAATTTGTGTAAGCCGTTTATCCAGGAAATTAATAAGGCCTGGCTGCGCATGGGCCCGCCACGCTAGAGCTCTCGCTTATTAGCGCTGCGATAGTCGCGGGACGAGTGTACTATGTAATCACAAACATAAGCGCATGGCTGAGGCACAGTAGGGCACAAGTTGCAAGTCTAGAGCCCCCTCTTACATAGTACTTTAGGATTAGACGAGATCCGCCGCGCCGCGGGACCACTTGATGCATATGCATGTTAGTAAGTACTAATCATAATGTAATCATGAAAAAGTTAGCTGAGGCACCGATACCAGCCGTATACCTCGTTGATTACTCTGGCCGGGACAAGAACACCAAAATGGTGCAGTCCCCGAAGGAAAATTTCTTTCTGCGTTGGCTTCTACCCGAGAAGCAAACCGGATTGCTGAAATTCGCCAGAGATCTAAGACAGAGTTGGCACTGATGGACCTGGTTGCAGACGCGGCGCTGCCAGAACCCAGATTGGCAAACAGTGCCTCGCGGAGAACTCAGAATTCACGAGTCTCGGACTGTCTCGGATCTACGACTGAGGGTTCCGACGTTGCAACAGCCACTATCTCTGACGAGTCTATTACACTTCCCTCGGAGTCGGGCTCCATAGGGTTCCATGCGACGTGTCAGTCCGAAAATAGCGACCAGCAGCTCACTTAGAGAAGGAGCGCATCGAAGCCAACGCCGACCTTGCCGCAAATTCGGTGGTCCTCGGTACGTCATCATACGAGGCTCGGTGCACTCAAGCTAAATCAGATCATGAGACCACTGGCAGTAAACTTGAGAAACCTTCTTGAACCTTCCGCATCTGATGTTGACGATACTGTTCCATTGGTTTAGGTTGAGTGGAAGTAAGCCGAGAATCAGTAGAAACTGTGGACAGGTAATAAAGAAGGGACGACAGTCTTCTTCGCGTGGTCTGCCTAGCTGGGAGACTAGGTTCCCTCCGGAACATACAAGGTTTGTGAGCACAATGTACATCACACCGATGCAATGGCGGACTTTCGCGACGGCGAAGTCCTCATGCGGCAGAAATGGGGTTGTAAATGCAAATCAAGCATCCTTCAGTAAACTGTTCTGTTCGGCGCTGCACGTTAGGTTTGTGCACCTGGCGCGAACACCAGTGCGTGCCTTCTTCATCTAAGCACTAGTGTCGCACTCCTCCGAACCTATTCACTGAGCCTTCAATGAAAATGAAATCACGAATATTGCCAAGACTCACCGGCATCTGATGGTGCTTGCGAAGAGAAATTGTATACATAGCATATCCAATTGTTGTGCCCTGATTCAGAATTGGAATATGGGCGGCTGTTGGGTACTGTCTGATTAGATATTGCTGGTGGAGTCCTATTCGTGCAGCATCGCATTGGCTCTGTCAGACTCTGTGATACGGATAGATATCAAGAGCTTTATCGTGCTTGCCACTGCTTGGGCACAACCCCGTGACGTTGGTGACGGGCCACTGACGGACCGACGAAGGCCGTGGGACGAGTATGATACTAATGGATCAAGCGCAAATCTCCGGGTAGATTAGTAGTGGTCTTCCCCTTGTCTTCCCCAGTTCATCGAAGGAAAACAGTAGTAACCCACCCTGCCAGACCCTGCTATGTAGTCACGGTTAACATAAAATCAAGCATGTGCAGGTACGTAGTTTAGGACTAGATGCGCTATTAATGCGGCTTATCTTTTTACTGCTCTCTCTTAGAATGAATATTGCAGCTTCGCAAGCTATCATGATCTTAGTCGGGACAGTGTTTGCATCACACAGTATTTTGTCCCTAGGGAGGTCCTGTTGTCAAGTGAAAAAGCATGTCCGCTCAATACGAGATCAAACCTTTACTGACTGCGTTCAAAAACTCTAAAACGTGTTTTTCAGGATCCAGTGCTGTCGATATAGTGTCAACTCCATGGTCGTACGACTCAGGAACTGGCTACGTCTCTCTGTCTCGATCGACATGTCTTGCTGTGTCAAATTCTATCAACCCCATGGAACGGCAGCACCTTAGGGTTTACCGAAGGTGAGCTCACACCCCATGAAGACTTTCTTCTCCACATCATCTCTCCGTATATCGTTATTGCAGTATGTAAACGTTTCGGTTCTTTCCCGTATCGCGATGCCACGACGGGATATCCCTTTAGTGTCGAAGCCGACCTTGCACTGATTGAGAGCCACTCCAATGCCAATACCTCGTAAAGCGTAACATGAATGGTGACGTCCATGATTACTTCTCTGTTTCAGCTCTGCCAGCTAATTGAAGTCACGTCTTGAGCTAGAAACCACACCTTTTACCATAATCTACTGCTTAACTCTATTTCTTGCGAGATCATTTCTCGCTCCTCGGTAGGAACCTCGAACCGAAGAATCATGCAGTATTAGGCGCCCATTAATTATGTCGACAATCAGCAAGACCTACCGAGCTCCCATTTTTCGATTTCTTTGATTCCTAGAGTGTCAGTGTGTCACCCCACCAACTTGACTCATCCATATGACCGTTTCTTGACAATGTTCAGCACATATGATGTTCAGTAATCGGTCTCGCTTGTTCAGTGACTATACTTCCCCGCGGAAGGGTCTACTTCGTTTGATTCAGTCAATAATAACGTGTTTGTGAGCGTTCAACGTTCAAAACTATATCTGACAACTGAACAGCTTTATGACGTGCACGTCCTCGCCTAATGGTTTTGCATGATCCAACAAGCTCTGCCACTTCACTGCATCCGGCCGCGTCAGTGTATTGCAGAAACAAAAAGACAGGATGGGGTATTTTTTCCCTTCCGTTCCGCAGATGGGGCCAGCCCTCACGTATGCTTCTGCTTCTTCATATCTGCCAGGAAGGCCTTCAATGCCAAGGTCGCAATTAATTATGTTCAGCGCAAGCGCTCGCAGTCGTGATTGACAGGAACCTTATCGCTCTTCGCTTCCCTGAGACTTTACGGTGCTCTCCCAGATACTTACGATTATCTGTTCGTCATTGCCGGCACCGACCCGCATCGTGGTTGGATATAGTGTCATGCCATGAAAGCTTTCGAGATACTTATCTCACCCAAGGGGTAATCCTACGTATACCGAATGAAAACTTTGTTCTTGTCATGGTCACAAGCAATATTGCCAGATCGAGTTCTGCAAAGTTCAGCGGGGGAGTTTACATTCATAAGTATTCAACTCAACTTGGGTCAACCCTAAGATGCATTGGTAGCAAGGTCATCAAGCGTACTGGTTATCTTATCCTGTAGTCGTCAAGGAAAAGCCATCAACTTACTATTGTCGTGATTCATTCGTCTTAGCGTCTGGGCCGAAGAGCACGATCGACCGAACTAGCTCTGCATGACAAGTGTTTCATGAAGGTGGTGGTATTCATAGAATTATGCCTATCATTGATGACACGGGTAGTGATTGCCAACGCAAGTTCTCCTGCGGCAGCCCCTAGTCCACAATTCGCATAACCTCGATACCAATAATCTTGACATGACACTGATGGTACTAGACGGGGGCCTGACCGAGAAGCGGCTTTGCACGCGCGACGTCTGGGTTTGATTGTAGATCAGTGTACAATATCCGCGGCTACAAGGAAACAAAAAAAAATACAACGACAGGATTTCAAATCCTATACCCGGGCGAACGGATAACCACGCACTTGCAAGCTGCTGCGCGCGCTTCCAAGGATCAAAAAAAATCAGAGGAAGGTTCGAAACAAAACCATGAGTTTGAAATAAAGACGCCTTAGAGCGCCTGGATGTGAACCGAAGCCCTCCGGGATTTTGGACCGAGTCCCTCGCGAGTCGATCTAGAAAAAGTTCGGAAAATATATGAGCCGCATCATGGGCTGCGCATGGACTCCATGGTCACTCCACTCTGGCGCTTCTGGCTGGGCGCTTCCTGGCGCTTCGCAGCCACGGTACCGTGGCGGTAATGCAAATCGATCGAGATGTGATAGGATGTGATAGAATGTGGTGATCCTTGATATAGGTGACCTGCCACGTTGCGATCGTTGTTCGTCGTTGTTCCCCACGGGGCACGCGGTACGACAACCCAATCATATCATGTCGCAAACATATTTTGATCTAGACAATAGCGCATAATCGCATTTCATGTATTAGTCTCGAGGGACCAGGCGTAGCTTACCAGGGCCAACTCTTGTCTGATCAACTTGGTGAAATTTTGAAAGGTGGGTCCATGATGGTCCAGGATCAATATTGGAAATGGAAACTTCCGCTGGCGGTCACTTGATCTCACTAGGCGTCGGTCCAGAGTTCCGTTCAATTTTCACGTTAAACGTTCATCCCGGAAGTTTGGCTCAAGTTAAGGCCATGGGTTTACAAACCCTTAATCGCAGCACATCATGACGAGTCCCGACATGAGCCAACAATCCATGAAATCTAGCTTATCTCTTTTCAAATGACCCACTGGCAAGTGGCTCACCAGCGTGACTGATCATTACTTGGTGTCTTTTGACAATCTCCATCCACCAACGCATGCGCCGCGGGCTGAGAGTGCAAGTTCGCGTATCCTCAACAATATATCGTCGTGCACCCGCCTCACAACCGTCAAGGTCGACAATAAAAAAACAGCATGAATATTCAATTCTCATATACAGTGTCATAAGCCATGTTATCCAAGCATACAAATGATTGAGCGGGTATCATACAAGTGAAAGAGCTACATCAAAACATCAATCAGCACTCCCACAAGCCATGCAACACTGAAAAGGTGCGTGCTTACTCCGTGTCCGAGTTCCTCAAGAAAATTCTTGCGTGCTAGAGCGCAACAGATCGTTCAGCACCCTGACTACCGTACCAGCAGCTTCTCGCACGATGTCTCTATCGCTCTCCTTGACTTTCGGAAGTAGCTGCGTCTCGAACCGATCAGGATGCCACCGTCTGATGTTCTCCTTGATGCGGTCCTTCGGAGGCTTGTCGACAGGATGCAGAGCCGACAGCATGTAGGCCGTGATGTAAGGAGGAGTCACGTCATCGGGCCCGCTTGGCCGTTTGAACACAGGCCACGGAAAATCGTCCCATATCAAAACGCCCAACATGCCAGACACTAATTTATCCCACTGACCACGATGGTGCTCGAAGAGCTTGATAGTGTCCTGCTTGCCCAAGGCCTTTCCAGCCTTCAAGAGTCTTTCCTGCTCTAACTTGGCTTGCTCCCGGCGGAACTGTTCCTCGCGCTGCTGAGCTTGTTCAGCCTGACGACGGTGGAACTCCGCTTCTGAAAAGGGGGTAGGTGGGGGACCGGGTGATGCTTTGGCGTTCTGCTGAGCTGATGGCGTTGGTGGCTTAGGTGTGCTCGGCGGCGGCTGCGAGCTAGCTGTCGAGCTCGGCCTAGTCGAGGACGTCCAGGCGGCACTACTACGACTAGTGCTGGTGGATCCGGAGCTGCTCTTATCTGTGGGCGGACTTGGTCCAGGCATGCTACGATCGCCACGGTTGGGGATCGGCCAAGGTCCTGTAGAAGACTGAGAAGATTGAGATTGAGAAGTAGACATCTGGGGAGGCGGCGGCGTGGGTCGACTAGGCTCCGGTGGATAATAACCCCAGGACTCCCATTCGAACCTTTCTTGCTTCTTCTTTTCTTCCGCGCGCTGGCGCCTTATCTCTTCCTCGCGCCTCCGAAATTCTTCCTGTTGAACTTTCTGCTTGTCGTCTGATCTGCGGATCGCCTCTGCTTCCCGGCGAAGCAGCTCTTCCTCCCGTCGCGCAAGTTCTTCCTCTTTCCTCTGGATCTCTTCCTCCTTGGCCCGCGCTGCCTCTTCTTTGAGCCTAGCTTCCTCCTCCTTGCGTCTAACTTCATCTTCCTTGCGTTTCGCCTCCATAGACTTTCGCATAATGTCTAGTGAGACACGTTTCTCTTCTTCATCTAACCGCCTTGCCACTTCCTCCTCTTGTCTTCGGAGGTCTTCCGCCCTTTTCTTGGCATGGGCTTCCTTCCTCCTGACTTCCTCCTCTTTCTTCCTCGCATTCATCTCCTTCCGCTTGATTTCGTCTTCCTTGCGTTTGGTCTCCTCTTCCTTCTTCCTTGCCTCCTCCTCCTTTATCTGGATCTCGAGCTCTTTCCGATCAGCCTCTTCCTGTCTCCGCGCAGCTTCCACTTCCTTGCGTCTAATCTCATCCTCCTTGCGTCTAGTCTCCTCCTCCTTGCGCTTCGTTTCCTCTTCCTTGCGTCTAAGCTCGTCCTCCTTCAACTTAGCCTCTTCCTCCCGTCTCGCATCCTCCTCCCTCCTCCTCAATTCCTCCTCCCTCCTTGCAACCTCCTCCTCCCTCCTCCTCAAGCTAAAACTGTCCTCTCTCTGACGCACCCGGCGCTCATCATACTCCCGCCACTCAGCATCAGCATCATCAAGATCCACATCATACTCCCCCTCAGACACCTCATGATGCGTATGCACAGGCCGAGCAGGATAGTACCCACTCTCGCCCGCACTATACCCATAGCGCATGTCTTGCGACGACAGCCTCGCGCGCAAGTTGGACGACTGCCAACTCCGCGGGACTTCTTCTGGCGTCTGGGGAGAGCGCGAGGTTTCGTAGCGCGTGTCATACGGCGAGCGGGAGGGTCCGGTCCAGCCTTTGGGACTTGGGCTAGACTGGAACCCACCATCATCAAACGTGAATGATTTCTTGGTGGCGATGGGTCTGCTGGCTGATGGTGGGGGCGCGTGTGGGCGGGAACTGTCTGAGGAGCGGGTGTACCCGATGGGGGCTGTAGAGACCGGGCTGTCCGAGGGGCGAGAATATGCGATGGGGACTATGGATATTGGGCTGTCCGAGGGGCGGATGGCAGAGCTTGAGATGGGCGCGACTGCGGACAAGGGCGGTGGATAACGTTCCTCCAATCGCTGAGGAGTAGATGCTACGCCAGCTCGAGCTTCAGCCTGAGCATACGTATACGACGTGGTCCTCTCTCTATCCTTTGCTCTTTCAATAGAGCTCCATTCCTGAGGGACGGCAGAGCTTGAGATGGGTGCGACTGCAGACAAGGACGGTGGATAACGTTCGTCCAATCGCTGAGGAGTAGCTGCTACGCTAGCTCGAGCTTCAGCCTGAGCATAAGTGTACGACGTGGTCCTCTCTCTATCCTTTGCTCTTTCAATAGAGCTCCATTCCTGATCCACAGCCGAAATACGTTCTCTCTCTCTTTCCATCGCACTGCTGGGCATGATATCGTGGGGTTCGGAAGAAAACGGGATGTTGAGCACTGATGGTGCCCGATAGGAAGAGGTGTTGCTCGCTGTGCTCCCACGGCGCGCCATGCTGAAAGTGCGGGACATCTGGGCATCTTGTTCAGGCGTGATAGAAGGGAGCCAGAATTCTGGGAGTTGTCTAGTGGAAATGCTTGCTTTGCGGCGAAGGCTTCCGCGTCTGATACTGTCCTGAGCATCCGTAGCTGAACGAGCAGATCTAGGCATGTCGTCTAGTTCGTCGATGGTGGGTGAAGGCTTTGGGCGCTCAAAACCTCTGTCTGTTGTATCCAACGTGGACGGTGGTTTATATGATCCGACACCGCTGCTGCTGACAGACCCAGCACGAGCCTTGCCGGTATCGCGAGGTGGTGGTACGTGGTCTTCCTCGGGCTCTCTGTTCGGTAAACGAGGGAAGTACCCTGCCTCGTGCTCATGTTCCGTGTGCTCTTGTGGGGTCCAATAACCACGTTCTGGAGAACGGCTAGAACGAGATTCTGAGTGATCTGCGATAGGCTGTGAAGAGGATGAAGAAGGCTGGGCGGCTTTATCTTTGCGTTCTCTTTCAATCTTGTCGAGAATGGCTTGTTGCTCCTTTATCACAGAATCTGACAGTTCCTGATCTAAGGCCTGGGCGGCCCAACGGCGTTCTTGGCGTTCACGTTCTAGGACGATACGGAATTGCTCCTCGGCAAGATTACGGATGTTCTTCATTGTGGCGAGGTATTCTTCGGTCAAGCGTTCGCGCTCGACAGCGGTGACTATGGCTCTCTTCAATGCGTCGTTTAACTTCTGTTTAGCTTCGTCTACCATGGAACGTAAGCCGTTCTCGATATCGACTTTGAGACGACTCTTCCATTGTTCGCCAGGTTCGAAATCAGCATCAGGTTGGGTTGTGGGGGGTTCAGTGGTAGATTGGAAGAGGGTTGTCATGACGTATCTATAAGAGGGAGAGAGATCAATCAGTCAAGTATAATAGGATTTCAAGTAGAATAGGTAGGTACAGTGAATGAGAGACAAACTTTGGCCGTTTGGGAAGGATAGTGAAATGGAGTTGGAAATGAGGTGGGGTAAAGATGACCTCGAACACTCTGTTAGAAGACGGCTTAGTCGGATTGGTGGGTGTTGCGACGAGCCTGTGATGTGATTATGCCTCGTGTTTAGACACGCGTTGGGGAAGTCTGAATATAATATAGGCGGACGGACTTACGCAGGTTGTAGAGGACCAGGAGCATTCACGATGAAGGACGTTAACTAGAAGTTGAAGGGGGATACACCGCGGTAAGGGATGATCAGTGATTACAAGAATGCATGAGTGGTTGGTTGAACTGATTGCGATTTAAAGACTATGTACCTTTTAGCAATTAGATGATGATAGATCTGAGAAACATTGCTTACCCACGTAACGATCCTGGCGTTACCAACGGATGATGTAGTGTAGAGACACGAGCTCGAACACGGGCTCGATGAGCTGACCACAATAAGTAGTATCCAAGGGTACCCCCCACGCGCTTAATATCGATACATCTTTTTTTCTCGCGGCACTTCTTACTTTGAAGTCTGATCAAGTCCCGCGAAGCTTTTACTAACAAGGCTGGGGGAGTCCAGCGATGGTAAGCTCTGTAACTGATGTAAATTCAGGATATGCTCATTTCGAAGGTTGTTACTGGCACGAGGCTCACGGGAAGAGCATGGAAGGTCGACTGAGGCGAAACTCTCACCAGAGTGAGTCATGGCTGGGAACGTCGTTGTAAAAGTGAATAACAGGCAAATATTGTCTCCTATTCACTGGTACAATGGCGAGGGTGGTAGAAGCAGAACATGCGTTTACCTTGTAATATCTGACGTATTGTGACTTGTGAGGTGTTCCGAGGACGAGCTGGATCAAGTTTTCTTTCTTCTGTGCATTAATTGACGCTCACGAGAAAGGACAAGTGTGTTACTAAATATTACCGTGACATCGGACTGCAACCTAACACGAAGGGCGTGTGAAGCTGGGATACCTAGTACCTCTACCCAGTGATCCTACTAGAGTTAGTACCAAGACTAGCTGCGCAGTGACCGCCGCAGTCTGAGCAACAACTAGCAACTAGCGACACAACCAGCAACTAGCAACTTGGTCACTGCCCATGCTCGGCGTTAGAGCGATTACGAGAATCGTTCACTAAATGGGTCCGCCTCGAGGTAAACACGAGGCAGATCAGCTGATGAACCGGTCTGATCCCATCCCTGCACTCGCCCTTCCCTTCCCTTTCTTCACTAAAAAATTATACAACCAGCACAGGTAACTTCATATTTCCCTAGTTCAACAAAACCAGTCCTTATCACCGCTCGCTTGTCTAGAAACAAATCATACAAGCCTACTTCACAAGGAGACCATCATGTTCACTAACTGAATCCTATAAATTTCCCGAGTACCCGTATCTTCCCTGATCTTCTACCTTCTACATTCCTATCATGGTCCGATCTTAGTTGATAACATCTTTTTCCGGAAATTTGGCAATTCCTATCCCTCAGCGCTCCATGCCGCACGACTCACTAATCGAACCATATACTACTTCCCCTCTCATCTCTTCATACTCAATCAATGCCTCCAAAACGAAAAACCGCAGCAAAGGGCGCTCCTGCTGCCCCAAAGGCGGCTCCAGCGCCCCCCAAGGCAACTCCTCTTGCCCCAGTCCAAAATAATATACCAAAACCACCAACGCCAGCTGTCAAACAACCTGCACCCCCTCCTCCTCCTCCGCCGCCACCCCCACCCGTCGAGACTCCTTCAGACAAAGTACGCAAGGAATGGCAAAATTTCATCTCAACTTGGTACGAGCCAGAGAAGAAGAAACTCGTAGACCAACTCACCAAAGAGTTGGACGCCAAATATAAGAAAGCAAACTCTAGAATCCAACAAGCAGCTCGTAACGCAGACAAGGAGAAGAAACTCACAGAGATTGCAACTCAACTTGCTGAACCTGCTCATGAGGAGTGGAACAATCGTCTCGCTGCTGTGCAGCTCCTCGTAGACGATTGGACAGATATCACTGACCAGGAACAGCAGTCCGTCATCGACGTCTTCAGTGCATTCTATGATGACAACGAGGAAGACGACGATTCCAACCCCTTCGACTCCAATGAAACAGAGGAGTCGGTGGCGTCGGCAGTTGAAGAACCTCAACTTCCAGATTCTTCACCTTTCTTCACTATCCGCCAATCACCTCCTACCCCGGTTTCAGCCAACTTCCAGCTCGTCAATCCCTCTTCGTTTTTCACAGACTCTATTTCCTCCGCAAACCAAGCAAGAAAACTGCCGGAGCTTGCCATGGTACGTCGTCAATTTCGTTATCATGACGTGTCATCCTGACATAGGGCTGCGCAGGATAACCTCGCAACACTCAACAACCTGAACACAGGTCGCTCCCAACCTGACGCAGGCCCGAGCACCAGCGCAGTATTCGGCTTCCAATCCTGGGCCTCTGAAATCGGCTTAGCAGTCCCACCAGCAATCTCCCAACCCACCCGAAATCGCGCCACCGATAACATCTCACGCCAAGCATCCGCATCTGCAGCGTCTTCTCCCCTATTCTCCTCCACGACGGCCCCCCACCACTCCCCCCCACCCAAAATATCCCCCCTAGCTGTCACCAACAATCTTCCCCCAGGCAAACGCTACATCGGGCCTGTTATCGCCGAAGAGGAAGCCGAGCCGATCGACGAAGACCTTCTCAAAGCGAAGATGGCGGCCGATTTCCTGGCATTCAAGATGGAAGTGCGGATTCAGATGATCCAGCAATTCCACGCCAAGGCATCTGCTATCGAGATCGATCTCGTCAAGCAGCTGGAGAGCAACAATAGCTCAAGGGAGTGCAGACTCCGCACCATGCATGAACACGAGGAGAACATGATGTCGCTTCGCGAGTCCAAGGAGATGGAGAGGAAGAAGCTGTGCGACAAGGAACGTGATCGGAGGTTGCAGGAACATAGCTTCCGTCAGCAAGTCGCTGCACAGAAGGCGATCAATCAGACGCGCTTGAACGCGAGCGCTTCGTCTTCGAAGATACCTCCTGCCACGCAGACAGGATGGACGACTCATTCCGCTCCTAAACTCGCTAGCCAAAAAGAGAACCTCTCCACGGGCAGCTTGCCCACTAAGCTTGATCCTCCCAGCATTCTCAAGAAGTCTGCTAGCGCACGCTCTCATGATATCATACCCGGCTTTGACGAAGCTGCGTTCTTCAAGGCTCAGGCAGAAGCTGCGAGCTTGGCTAAAGGCAAACAGCCCACCGCCACCGCGTCCGCGTCCATTCCCCTCGGCAGACCTAGCGCGCTCAAAAAGACAGAAAGCACAAGCTCGCAGGAAGAGCTCGTAGAGCTCGTCGTCCCAGCCCCACCTCCCACCGCGTCCTCCAGTGCCGCAAAGGGCAAAAAGGCAAAGAAGACGCCAGCTGTCACCCAAACGTCGAAAACCGTCACTTTCAACGAAGAGCCCGATACCGATGCAGAGCCTCCTCCAGTTTGGGGTGCAAAGGGCGCGCGGGCCTCGTTGGCTTCCAAGCCTTCCAAGTCTGTCATGATTGAGGAGGAGCCTGATGAAGATGCTGATCCCTTCTCTGCGTGGAACGCCAAAAATGCACGGGCTACCACGCCGTCCGCGTCTTCTAAGAAGGGCAAGGCTGCAGTCCTTGAAGAGGTGTTTGATGAGCCATCTCCTTCTGTGCCCTCTGCTTTCGGCTGGGGTTCGGCGGCGACGACGACGACGACAAAGAAAGGCAAAGCCCCGATTGTGTCCGCAGAACCCGTCGAAGAACCTTTCCAGACGTGGACCGCCCCAGCGAAGAAAGGCAAAGCGCCGATCGTGTCCGCAGAACCCACGGAAGAACCTTTCCAGACGTGGACCGCCCCGGCGAAGAAAGGCAAATCTCCGATCATATCCGCAGAGCCCGTGGAAGACCCTTTCCAGATGTGGACCGCCCCGACATGGGGCTCAGCACCGACTAAGAAAGCAAAGGTCACTGTCACGGAAGAGTTTGATGAAGAAGCAGGCCCATCGCTGGGTTGGGGTGCGGGGCTCAAGAGTGCGTCGTCCGCGAGCAAACAGGCGAAGAAGGTGGTACCGCAGCCGGAGGCCCCGCGCAGCGTTCAATCCTCCTTTTCGAAAACTGCTTGGGTCCAAGATGTCGGCGAGGAAGAAGAGGAGGAAGAAGAGGGAGAGGAAGAGGAAGGATGGGACCAGATCCAGCCCTCGTCTGCCACAGATACCACTGGTGAAGAGGGCGACGCATGGGGTGCTGCCTACTGGGGCAACCTCACCAACGGCCAGCCCGTCTCCCAAGTTGCAGACGAATCCGCACAACACATGCGATGGACCCCATCAATGGATGCAGAAGAGAGCGGCGACGAAGACTCGGGTGACATGGAGGAAAGCATGGGCAGTGCCCTCTGGATGCAATACGCCATCAGCGGAGGCGACGTTCCTGGCTTCGAAGCTCAGGCTCCTGACCCGCAAGAGCACGTTCACGCCCACGCACACGTTCCTGTGAAAACTACCCCCGCTCCTTCCCACAAAAAAACCACCAACGACCCAACCACGAGTATCTGGGAACAAGGAAAAGGAAAGAAAAAAATAGCACCTGCAAACGAGACGATCAAGGTAGAAAACGACTCGTGCACAGCAAGCGTCCGCGTCATCCAGCGCTCGGACGGCCCAATGGCCCAAGGCCAAAATGGAAATGGAGAACTGGGCTTCTCGCCTAGGCCAAAGCTCAGGCTCCGCTAGACATTTGTAATTTGTTTTTGTTTTTGCGTCATGACAGGGGAAGAAGACGGACCGGGGACGACTCGCGATTATTACTCTAATGCTGTGGTCACTGTTTGAATTGTTTTTTCTTTGCTATATTGTTTTCGTGGCCTACTGGTTGGGTCTTGCTTTTATCGTAGTATTGGCTCTCTTTGAATAATGTTCCGAGTTTTATGTGTATCTGTCGTCACAAGCAATTTGCATCGTCGTTGGTCCTTTGGGCTTTAATGTTTCAATGATTTATGAGGTGGTCTGAGCGAGTCTAGTGAAGTTGGGTGGAGGGGAACAAAGTGCCACGCGCTTATTAACAGACCATGCATTACATAGCTACGGAGTTCCATACTGATACGTTAACAGGCGTTCTAACGCACGTTGACGAGATACGTGAAGGGCCTCGTGCTATGATGCGTTCGATCGCGGTATGGACTAGTGGTGATCCATTCTCGGATGGAATTTGGAAGTCTGGTTTATCAAGGTTGGGTTCAAAGCACGTGTATTATAGCCACTTAGCGTTAACTCACAAGTCCAATTCGATTGTTGGACTAGTCACGGTCCCGAGCTAGTCGACTAGTATTGCTGCAGTCACGGTTGGGGCTCTATTGATAGAACGCATTTGAAGACAATCGAACATAGAACATCAGAAAACGACCAGTCTGTCGTCCATCCTGAAGTCAGATCCGCGACTACCCCGCATTGTCGACGCATGAGCCTCATGGCAAGCGGGGTTCCGCTACAACGTTCCCCCACACTTTGCAAATTGTGTCATAAACACCCTATCGAAGATCCTTGATGAGAGCAAAGGCAAGCGATGAGCACTGCACCGTGACCACGCCTGGCGCAACTGCACATCAAAAGGCTAGTCTCTCGATCATCAGATTCAGATCAAGAGCCGTGTGGGTGATCTGTGAGTTAATCTGAAATCGTAGGAATGTCAATCATTATCTCTCGGGTCTTGGAAGGGGAGTCTTCTATGTCGAAGCAACGAGTTGTTTACTGTTTGGTAATATTCTGCGTTGTTGCATGAATAGTACCGCGAAAGTATGATCAGCCATGAGACTGCATAGTTTTCAAGTAGAAGTACATCCCGGGTCTGTATATCTGGGGCAAAACGCATGATCAATCAAAAAACAACGATCGAAATCGAAAAGTAAGATAGCAAGTGGACAAAAAAGCGAATCCCATACTCAAACCACCTTCTTGTCCTCTTCGACGGGTTTTCTCCGCTCGAGGACCTCAACCCACTTCTTTGGGAACCAGCCTTCGCGGCCCTCGCGCGTCCGTCCTTTCCACCACTCACTCTCAACCTCTAACCGCGGGTCTACCTCCACACCGGTGCTGGGATCTAGTTTGCCCATAATAGCGACAATTTCATTCTCCTTGAGTGCAAGCTCGGATGGAGATGAAGGTGTGAATGGATATAGTGCGCGTGCAAAAGTAAGCGTCGACGGATCAAGGGGACCCAGCGGACCACCAGGACCAATTTGAGCCTGCTGCTGCTGCATAGCGCGCTCATTGAGGATTTTGATGAGCTTCGTCATGGCGTACGGAACGCCGAAAATGGCGAGCAAGAATATGATGATGGGTTTTCGGCTGGGCTTGACAGGAGGAGGGCCCATTGGGCCCTGAACGGGTTTACCGCTAATGAATTCTCTGAATTCGCCCTGTATAGAGCTCGGATAACTCGGGCGCCCCGTAATGAGCTCCTTCATCCATCGTAAAAGACCAAAGAGGCCTAATACACTGCCCAGGGCATTGCGGAGATGACTGAACTGCTCGATGACGCCGACCATTGCGAAAAATGAGCTGTGCGTCGCCATGAATGTGGACTCGAGCATTTGTGATACGCCCGAGAAGGTCTGGACGATAGAGTGAAGGAGGGAAAAAGTGTGTTGGGTTGTGGATTCGAGGGTCTGCGTAAGGGAAGGGTTGTTGGGATCCATGCCAGGGTACATGCCCATTCCACCCATTCCTGGCATTCCGGGCATGGCGCCGTACATGCTATTCATGCCATTCATACCATATCCGCCGTACCCGCCGCCGTACCCAGTACCATAACCCCCGCCCATTCCGCCATAGCCACCGTACATACTTGAGCTATATGGTGAGGAGTATGTGGACCCGAAGCGCGAGTACGGTGAATATGGGGTGTTATATGATTGTTGTAAAGAATTGTAGGGTGCAAGGGTAGATGCGGCTGGGTTGGAGAGAGCCGGGGGGCGTGCAGGCACTGAAGGTAGTTCTGGAGAAGATGAGCCCATCAAAGTTGATGGTGACGAAGTAGGGATGGTCGCTGCTGGGGCTGCTGCTGCTGTGCCCCGCTCCCAAGGTTTGGGTGGTGATGCCATAGCCGTGCTCACCGTTGCTGACGATGACAAGAGACAAGAGAGCGTGTGAATCTGACACCGGCTGACGCCGGCTAATTATCCACACCCAAAATCACATTCATTCGTTCTTGGTATACGGTCAAAGTTATGGCCGCCATTCCCTCATTTCGCAGAAATCTGTGGCCACGCCATTGCTTGCCTTCGGCGCGTGATCTCGTGCGCAGTATAGTTGTCTCATCAAAATCTCCGTTGTCAACCAAGGACATCTACCATTTAGCCTTAAAACAGACCGCAATTCAACTTGTGTCAGACGAGTCGCCAGAGCACAATGTGCCGAAGAAGGAGCATCCGACTATCGTGCGTGGAATGTTAAAGCAGCCCTCTACGCGGCCGCCTCATCCAGAGCATGCTGTACGGTCTCTACAGTGAGTTGACATTGATGTAGGTCTTGGTCAACCCACTGAATTTTATAATGCAGGTATTTAAAGAGAGTGGTGCTCCCTGACTTAGTGAACTCGAAGGAGATTGAGAAGTTCTGCACCAAGCGAACACTCTCGCAAGCGGAAATTGACCACCGGCTTCAGACGGTGACTAAAGCTGCGCGCAAGGAACAGTCTGCATTACTCGCTGCACCGAGAAACACTTGGTTGTGGAAAACGAGGACGCCACCTCCTCCACTTAAGCCCTTGCCCGTCTCTACCCTCTCGAAGTCGGAATTACTGGGTCTGCCTCGGCTCACGGCAGCCGATGTAGGTGTTGGGGAGGATTGGAGTCATTTGAACAAGCGAAGGCGACGCGCGAGGAAGGAAAAGGTCGAGCGTGATTTGAAGTGGATGTGGACACTGCAGGCCGCGAAGAGGGAAGCCGCACGGGAGGTATTGCAACTCAGTGCTCCAGCTTCATAGTTTGCAACATGCTGCAGATCAATTTACTATTTCCAGTACTGCCTTCCTTTGTTTGATTATTTTTTTCGAATCAGGGAAAGGTTTTTCAGATCGATATTTGCGAATGGGTGAAGTGAGGAGTTCGTTGCTTCATACCTCCACTACACCCGCTGTAATTGCTCCTGTGCCTACTCACTCTCATCACCGACAGCCGCCACCACAATACTAGAATCAACCTCCCCCAGAACAAATCCATCTGCACAATCCCATCTAGGGATTTTATACGTCCTCAGTCGCGCCATCTTTAACACGAAAGTTAAACGTCATAGAGACCTCTCCGTTTCACCCGCATCAGATCGATTCGGCCACGTCCGCGCGAGTCATCGTCATAACGGAGATAACGAGCACGAGTTATGAAGGAGCGTGTTTGTGTACGAGCGGTGATTTCAACACGTTTGTGTGACCGTGTTCATATTCTGTCATACATATAGGGATTCTTACCAAACCTCATGGACAGTGACTTCCAGCGACTATCCAGAAGTTCCTATCTCATGATAATACACCATTGTTCTGACTTCGGTGACCGCACGCAGGCTCACAGAGGCATGGACCAAACTACCGCTCTTCAGGCGGGAAGGTCCCGACTCAAATTTTACTCCCAAGTTCGTCGTTTCAGATTTAGAATAACTACAAGGTAATGAGGAGCGGTAATCACAAATGATTGGGTTGTGGTGATCCTCAACTGATGCAAGACACTACTGCCGTAAGTCTCTAACTGGCCTTTACCGTCGTTCGAGTTGCTTGACAAGATGTCAACAATTTGGGTCTCAGTACTCTTAGGCCGGTTCGAGTCTAGCCATCATGATATCTGTTGAAGTCTGCATTTGTGCACAACCTAGCCAGATTCCCTCAAGGGGCCTAACTATGCCCACCCACGTAGCATGTTTTACCGCACCAGCACAGCAGTCAATGCTTCCGGGTTGCGCATACTTTAGTACATCCAAGATAACCCCCCTCACTAATCTTTCGAAGCAGTTCCCTGCGACCAAATCGTTGACGCGTCAAACGACGCATGCAACATGCAACATGAGTCTCCAGTGTCAGATGCCCCTATGACCAATCCGGATGATACCTAATAGCCTCCCTCGCTGTCCCCCACGACATGGAGCCATTATCCACAAAGTTGAAGGCCCCTTGCATATACTATGCACCAACATATCACAAATCTTCGATGAGTCAGAGGTCTCCTGCGACCAAATCTCGACGACGCGCCAAACGATACAACAGTCGTCTTCACTGTCCCATACGACCTGGAAGTTGAAGGCCACCGCCCACAGTTTCAGAGACCACACATAGTACGTTAAGCAGACCAACTTGGTCCCTTCGGATTTCCTTCACTACCCATACTACAGAGTTCTTTTGATTTGTTTATTTTCCTCGATTAGTACGATTATGGACTGTCCATTTAGTTTATTTACGGACTCATTTCTGCGATCTATGTTTGTTTCATTGATATGTCTTATTCTCCTTCATTCATTTTCGTATATGTACAATTACCGAGCCTGTCAGCTAGTTCCAGTTCCAGTACTATTCTTATCCCTCCAATCACTTCGGAACACCGAATAAATATTGCAATGAAGTTCCTATCCACTAAATCGTCACAATGAAAGTCCGAATTCAAAGATATGCATGCTCCCTCCCCAATACAAGGTGTTGATCACTTGTAAGATTTCCAGTGCTACACATCTCCGCCAGTCGACACATCTCCGCCGGTCACCACATCTCCACCAGTCGACATATCTCCGCCTGTTAACATATCTCCACCAACCTGGAAAGCAATGGATGTCATGGCTGTTCCCTCGTCGGACCCTGCCACGAGCTTAGCGTGATATTGACGAACGCTGAGGATCAGACGTGGTCCCAGCACAAACATCTGCAACACCTGGACAATGGTGAATATGCCGCCATAGACACTAGATCCAATGGAAAATGAGTACTGTGAAAATGAGGAGCGGTCAGATGCAGATGTCAGTCACAGGTCAGCGCACCGTGATGTTTGGAGACAGCGAGCCAAGGTTGAGGCAAGCCACGGCAACAAAGCTGGCACATGCGGGACTTCAGCGAAACAAGGTGGCAATATCCAAATCATCGAGCTCACACTAGAAAGTAAAATGCGTGACTTTTTGTTAACACCATGAAACAGTCCCCAATGGTCGATTTTGTCGGCAACTGTCGCAATTCATGGAAGTGTTTTGCAACAATCCAGACTGCAAGAAAAAAGGCGAGGATCTCCCATACTGCGGTCGATATCAAACTCTCGTAAAGCAGAGCTACCGCGTCTGTGTTAATTAGGACATTGCAAATATGGAAGCCGGAAAGGATGACCTCCTCTGGGATATATCAATGAGTCTCAAGTGCCCAAGGCTTTCATCGATTAAAACTTACCCCCTGAAACACCCACGCTTGCCATTACTGTCGTAACTCCAGAGACAATCGTGCAAGCCAGCAAGGCTACAATGAGAAAGACAAGAATCTTTTTGGATCCTCCATACATGGCATGTATCCGAACTATCATGATGGCTTGCATGATATTTCAGTTAAGTCAGTATCAGTAGGTGCTGCAGATAAGCTCACCGCCCAGCATGGCATTGACGACGACAATTACCGATGTCCATATGAAGTAAAGCGTAGCGCCTGAAAGACCCAGTGACAGATACACATTAATGGATTCAATGCTTCGAATGAACCTACAGCTGTTGTAGTCGTTATGTTCAATCAACATATTAAGGTGACTGATGATATCACTCACTCCTATAAAGGAGTGCAGTTAGCAATTGAATGTAGGAATGACAGGCATCGAGTCGGTGTAGCATACTCACTTCATCTGTTAACGGGACTGGGAGATTCGCTGTATGGCGCCAGTTGGCAGTCAGAAGAAATGAATATATTTTGGGACACATACCTAGGGTGTTGACACTGGTGAGAGATAGCTCATTAGCACTCATTTAAACTGCCTCGCCAACATACACAGAATATAGCATTCCCACATAGCGCACCTAGATATATTGAAGTCAGCAAAATTTGGCAACTGCACTTATAAGATGAACCACTCACACTGATATATAGCAGAGTCGTGAAAGACCAGTGTTGCCTCTGACCAGCGTCAACAGCATTAACCTGTCTTCTTTTGATATAGGACGTTACTCACCCAGACTAGTTCCAACTGTTCAAACATTCTAAGTGAGATGGCTGCGCAAGTCACGACATCAACTTACCTCTAGGTTGAATGACAATGCTTGTATACCGTATATAAATTAATGCTCCACTCAGAAAGTGTTATCTCACTCACCCAAATCATATACCACTGCAGCAGAGGATGCAACTGCGAAACCACAGACAATGAAGTGAGATGTCACCATTGTCATCCCACTCGCTCTTCACGAACCTATAAAATAACTGGAAAGATGATAGCCACTGATGACTGGCCACAAACTGGGATCATTTGAGACGTGGGTCATCTCGGGATGGGCGTAAGGAATGCAGATATACCACCACCCAGCGCTTTTATAGTATCAGGTTGGATGTCCGATTTTCGAATCAGAATCCTGACTGATCACAGTAAGTATTATTTGTCGAATGAAATCAAGTAGAAAGTAGATAGTATAGCGCATGAGAAGCTTCCCTCGTTCGAAGCAAAGTGCATTTTTGGATCGTGGAATATTTGAACACCGTGATATCGGAACTTGTTGTTCTCGAGGGTCCTGCATCGATGTCAGTTTCATTAGTGATCATGAAATTATCGATTTAACACAGACCAACTACAGGACATCATTATGTCTTAGCCATGTAATGACAGAGAACAGGATGGGGACGTGCATATCTAATTTACAGCGGGTGGCAAGCCCTCTGAAAAGGTTGATGGATGCTATTATTATGGAGGACCCTAGATGTTGGTTACATAAATCCAGCGTGACCGCCGTACATATTACAGACCGCAGTGACGGAACTCAACCTTGATGAGATAATTGATAACCAGTGACCTGCGGTGCGCAGTGAGCTCTGTCCGCAGTCAAGTTCCCATAAAAGAATGACCTGTACCGTCGTAGTGTCATGGAGGTCCCTTGACCCGTCCTGTACAAGTTAAATTTTAAGAACAACTTACTGTAGAACATCGCAGCAATCACCGCAGCAGTCGCACTGAGACGTCGCCATCGTCATCCCACTTGCTCTCTACGAAACTATAAAATAACTGGCAAGACGAGAGTCATTGATGACTGGCCAATAAGCGGGACCATTTGAAACGCAGGTCATATTGGGATGGGTATAAGGCGTGCAGACATACCACCATCCAGCGCTTTTATAGTGATCAGGTTGGATTAACTTGGATGTCCGTTTCTCGAATCAGAATCTTGATTGATCGTAGTAAGCATTATTGTCGAATGAAATCAAGGAGATGGTACTAGTTTGAGAAGCTCTCGTTCAAAACAAAGTACGTTCTTGGATCTACCGTGACAATCCGCGGAATACTTGAAGATCGTGATGGAACTTGTTCTCGAGGGGTTCTGCCGCATCAGTTTCATTAGTGATCATGAAATTATCAATTAACACAGACCACATCATGATATCACGACGACCGCGACTATGTAAATGACGAGGAGTACACGTGGTTAGATCACCAAATATTTAACATGCATACTCAGAAGTACTTACTATTAGCTAGAAGGTCATAACACTGTGAACTTCGGAGAACTGAGTGCGCTGGGGTACCACTTTATCGCGGAGTACAAAGGGCCTCGAGGCCTCAAAAAGCCGCATCACTGATTCAGATACCGCACTCTTTATCACCTTGATCAACCATGTCGTCGACTGCTACTGTCACAGCAACAGCCATCTGGACAGACGACCGAAATACATGTAAAGGCCAGCTACGAGCAAGCTATACAGTGGATTATGCCGTGGGAATTTTATCAAATCAAATCTGCAAACATGTTAGTGCGGTGTACGGCCTCGACCCTCCATTGGAACCATTCGCCATGCAGGCGAAGTGCTTTCCTCCAGGTAAGTTCCAAGCCATCTTTCGTTTGCTGCAGCAGCCGACTCATTCATCCATTTTTCTTAAAGACGCTGAGCCTTCAGATTTGCTCAGCGACTGGAGCTCCACTGGTCTCACAGCACTAATCAGTCCTGATGACGAGTCAACTCGTCGAATCCAGACCCACTTAGACAAGCAGGCACAGGCAGATCAGACATCCGACGAACGCAATACGACGTTGGCCACTGATACTGATAGTGCCTTAATCTCTCAGTCCAGCACATCGGTCCAGCCTCGCAAACGTATGTTGTAACATTTGAATAGTCTATACGCGCGCTGACCGATTTTCCACAGCCAAAAAGAAAAAGAAACGAAAAACCTCATTGATGGCTAATCCCCCATCGCCGGTCAATCTCTCTCAGGTGACGATGGACAACCAGCTTAAGGAGATACTGGCCTCGATGCAGAACGAGATTTCGGAAGTTCGGAGAGAGAATGGGAGCATGCGCAACAAGAACGAGAAGGTTCTCAATGAGAACGGGAACATGCGCAATGAGATCGAGAACATTCGCAACAAGAACGAGAAGATTCTCACTGAGAATGGGAGCATGCGCAATGAGATCCAGAGCATGCGCAATGAAATCCAGAGCATGCGCGGTGATATCCAGAGCATGCGCAACGAGAATGAGAGGGTTTCCAATGAGAACGAGAGGGTTCTCGAAGAGAACGAGAGCATTCGCAATGATCTCGTTAGCCTTCACAAGGACCTAGAGGCGGAGAAAGCTCAACGCGCTCAGGACATTGAATCACTAAGAGAAGTAAGTCTTCACTCTTTCCGGTCACCAACCCTGACAACAATTTCCCCAGGTCACTATGTTACTAGTCCCCTTGCATCTTCGTGTCCTACTCGACCTTGCACGCAAAAAGGTTCTGGAAGACCTTGGCCACGAGACTTGGGAAGAACTTCGCGATACCCGCACTGTCTATCAACTTGCAGATATCATCTTCAACGACCTGCTCAAACGGAAGAATTTATCATTCCACCCATCACACCAGTCCATCCTTTTCTTATGTTCGTACAACAACATTAGGCGGGCGGGAAATGTGGCCGCTCACACCGCGAAGCAGTGCGATATCAAGAGTGCAGTCGAAACCCAGACACTGGGCTCCAATGATCGACGATGCTTGGAACATTTGTTTAGATATGCGTACAGCGGGGCGCTCATCTAGGAGTTATCATGGCATTTACTACACGACTAATACTTGTTTTTCAAATTTGTATCATACAACTACAATCCAAATACCCTATAGAATCTCATGCACTTACAAATGCCATTGATAGCAGAATCATCGACCTTGAGTCCAACGCAAGTGGCTCTCGTATTACGGTCTAGCCGTGCCAGGAACGGGTTTGGTCGACGTCTTGTCCGGTAAGGTCAGTAACTTACACGCTTGCTTGCATGCGCTAGCCTGAGCAAGGCTATCATACTTCTTCATCAACGATCACCCATGCTCAAAATAAGAGCTCGAGTTCACCAACTTGAAGGCAAGCATCTTCGAGTTGCTGGCACAGCGTGAAAACTTGCGTGAAAGTGTACTCCGGCGTCACATTTTCATCTTCGCCGCTGTCCTTGCTATCCGCCAGCTCGCCAAAAATTCGGTCGCTCTCAGGCTCGCCGCACCCTCCTTTTGCTTTTCAATTTTATTATTACTTTGCTTTGTGATCTTTCTGTCCTTTCCACAACCGCGCTTCTGACTTCTTTCCACCTGCGAGCCCATCCTCTCTATTCATTGACGCCGGTTGCTCGGTTCCATACATTTTGGCACGCGACCTGCAAATGCACCTTATCCTGGAGGGAGTTCCAGTCGCACCATCGATGTGGCTCCTGGCCGCAAGAAATGCTCATCATTGCTCTTCTTCGACATCATTGAAATGAATTTGTAGAAATACGCCATTGCCTCACCCACCAAGGCAAAAGTGACCAAGGCAGAAGCAGTCACGGGTATGCAACGTAAGGCCAGCTTTTCAGACAGTCAGTGGGACCGGTGGTAGAAGATGTATATCTGCAAGGTTCAACTTCAGCAGCATTATCAAAAACGCAGAGCGGAGTGAGCAGTTCGATTCACGGCATCATTACACCCAGTTCGAGTCATTATGACATATACCGCTGTCGTAGAACGTTGATGAAGCCAGGGTACACCAGCAGCAGTTGTCGACACCGCCTCTTCGTCTCTCAACCTGTAATCTCCACGCTGGAGCTCTTCGTTCCCAATAATCTTGGCTTGCTTCTCCTGACTGTTTGCACGAACCACCTGCTATATCCTCAAAACACAGGTCAGTTTTTCAAGTCTATGTATATACCACACTGACAAAAAATAGCTAATTCTATATCAGTTTCATGTGTTACCCGCGGGTAAACTCTGCACGGGCGCGGGTATGTGTCCGAGATAGTGATACCCGCAGCCAAATCCATACCCTCAAAGCAGGTGCGGGTGCGGGTGTATGGCCTGTGGTACCAGGTTGCCTGTGCGGATCCCTAACCTGACCCTGGTTGGTCCATGCTTCGTACAGAATTCCCTCACGACGAACAACCAATCGAACACTATGTAGTAATCCTCACTTCCTTACTATGATTCACAAGATCTAGACCTCATCTACATAGAAAGCTCTGTGATCTTCCTTCTTGTTCTCGAATCCCCAATTACATAAATAATGACGGTGCGTTTCATATATTATATCGTTCACGTATAAAACCACCACATTTTCAAAAGATTTCCTTTCTCCTTCCGGCCATCCTTTAGGCCTACTGCTCCGTGGAGTTCTCCCAAGTGATTTGTTGTGCAACAAGCCCATATTTAACATTTACTCAGCCCTTCCCGCCCCCTGTATCCTTTCCCTTTTTAACACTGGGGCTCTTGTCATTCTACTCCAATGGAAGATCAACATTTGATGGCTCCGGTGCGGTTTCAAGGTATGTTTTCAGTTTAGAAAATTTCCGTCATGATACACTGAGATTGTCTGCAGCGTTTTTCGTATTGGCCTTCGGGGTGACACCCACCCGGTTCGAACAGGAAATTCTTACAAATCCTGGCAACGAATCGCATTGGAAGAACATCCTCCTGGTCCGACTCATGCTCTTGGTTTTTGGCTCGGGCACGGTGATGGTTACAACCGTTGTACTCACAACAAGGCAATCAGGCTCTCCCGTCGCTGACTGGATGCAGCCAGCACCTTTTAGAGCGCTTGTTGCCGCCTTCACCTTCGCGCTCTGTGGTCTTGTGACTGCAATGCCTACATTCACAATCCTGAGGAACGTCAAGGCTGCTACGATACGGGTACGTATCACAATCATCCACGCTTCAAAATTGTGATAGAACCCTCCGTTTCAGGAACTCTCCTATAGACGCGGGTTGTTCATGCTCTGTCTCGTTGTGATCTCCTTACCAACATTTTTTATGCCAGCAGCGATGATAGCTTTGGGCAGTGCGGTTTTGGCAGGGCACAGGGACCCAACTACACGATAATGATAATTGCGCACAAACATAATCGTCGAATTAATTCTACTCATTACGATACCTAGGGTTCGCATACTGTGCTTGTGAGTTTCCTCATGTACAACCTTCAGCCTAGCCAATGCTACTTTCTGGTAAAGCAATGTGTCACTTTTATGATTCTTCCATCCAGTACCGTATATGTAAGTGTTAAAATGTTCCTCAGATATCCGACAGTCCAATCAGAATCTCCATCCTCCCGTGAGTCCCATCACATTACCTGGATCCACGGCGCTCCTGATAGAATGCAGACGCGATACAGCATCCCCATACATATCCGCCAAATCCGTGCCCGGAGGCGCACAATTCGGGTATATCAGCGCATTTCCAACGTTCTGACCAGCATCCACAGCAAACTGCTTCATGTAGGCAGCGCTCTCTGCACCAACTTGGGCCATCACCTCATCATCATTCGGATCCGTCCACCCATAATACACCTCGATAAATGAGTATCCCTGTCCTGAATCCCGCGAAGAAGGGAAAGCGGATGGCGTATCGGAGTGGCTGTAGAGTGAGGGCAGGAAAGGGACAAGGTCGTATGAGATCAAAAATCCGCTTGATCGCGACAATTCCTCGCCATAGAACTGGACGCTCCGGTAAGCAGTGGCCGGATCAGGTGAAAAGTGCGCCTCACCAGCGTCTGGTTCTTGACCATCTGTAGCATTGGCAGCGTGAATTGCTCAACAGGCACCCAATGGAACATTGCTCTGTCTTCAAATCAGCTAGCCAAACCAACTGCTGAACATCCTATGACGTACCTTAGTCCCGATGAGGCATTCGCAGGTAAAGTCTGGATAAAGTTCGAATAAGCCCTCGTTGAGATGTCCTCATCAAAGTGTGGGATCGCCAGTAGTTCGTTGAACATGCCATCAGGGTAAGTCGGCGCATCATAAAACAGGAAGCTCGATATCGCTGCCTGTCGGGAAATCAGTTACTCGGATATGGTTTTCATGTGAATCAATCATGACGCACCACACCGGACGCGTAGTTGGTTGTGCTGTACACACAAGCTTTGGGATCGGTGACCGTCGACACAAAATTAGCTATAGCAGTGTTGACTGCATCCCATTGAGACGCCGTGTATGAGATACGCCCGCCCTGTAATCAATTGTCAGTAGGATCGCACCAGCGTAGCTTCGAGCGCTTACCCAGACTTGAGACTGGGCGTACGTCTTCATAGTCACTGTGGTAACAATTCCCTACAGCAGATCAACACGTGCGTCTGCGAAGCAGCGCTATCACTTACAAAATTGTTGAATCCTCCCTAAACAAAATTTCACCGAAAATTAGACGCTGACTATCTGCATGCCAGTAGACTTACCCGAAGGCCATAGAACAGATCTGGATTTGAAGAACTGGTGATACTCGCAACTGTGCCATTAGGCATCACCAGCTCAAACGACACGATATTGTCGACCGACAGACCATACTGATTGCTAATATATGTATATCCTGGTCAGATGACAAAACGTTCAATCACTGATGTTTTCAACGAGCGGGTGAACCTACCTCCTCCAAGGACGATGCCTCCGACCCCAACGCCAGTAGTCTTCGCTCCTACAACGGTCACTCCGTATTGATCGAGTTCGGAATAGACATTATCCCAGATCAACCCCGTCCCAATAGTCGCCGTCTGGGCATTCGCATCATACAAAACTTGTGAAAACGAAAACAAAGCAATCTGGACGCCAGGGGTCGATGAAAACCCTGAATTCGCTGAATGACCGCCGCTTTTGACCTTCAACACAACCGCATGTAGCGATGAAAACGCAAGTTAAAGGTGTGATTGACTAACTGCAAATGGGGTCTGGTCCTTGGCCAATATTTGGAGCTAGTCTCAGAGTTAGCAAGCGGAATCAGATTGTGTATCCTAGTAAACTTACAGCGATTCCGACGTCCTGAGCGTTGGCGGGCTCAAAGGAGCATGCAGAAGTTTGAGAACTCGAAGAAGCCCAATGATCGTTATCCTTTGTGTATTGGGAAGACCCTATGGAGGCTTGGTCCCCGTTGCGACAATGAGTCTTGAATGCACTCACCACTGTAATACACGTTGGACGCAGAGGAAACAGCGGCAGCGATCTCCTGGCAGGTGAGAGTGTAGTCAGCTCTCCGCAACTCTGTGGACACGGAGAGGCTGATGAGGACTGCGAGGACTGCGAAAGACAGGTCAGGAAGGAGTGTCATTAGCATCGAAGTGGCTTTCAGTACGACTCTTTAAATCTAAACTTTGAAAGGCACGAGAAGGCCACTAAAATATAAGAGGTTGATATGATGCCGTATGTCGTACCGCAGCCGACTCCGAGTCGAGGAGCATCCGAGTCAGTAAGGCTTTGAATTCTCTTCTCCGACATCAATTTTCTGTGCTTTGGAATCAGCTGTCACTGATCCACCGCCTCCAAGTCAGCTCGGGGAGACACTCGGCGATCGAAGTCATGCATCACTAGGCACTGTTCATTTAAACCGCCAAGCGATTGGCTCGTGGTTCAATCGTCAAGAGGCAGTACAGTACTTACTGCGGAAGTTCACCTTTTTACTAGTTGAAGCTTCATAACGAAGCTGCTACTAGTAGTCACGGTTGCCTAGTAGTAGGATTCATGTTACTTGACCGCGACTCGTGGGGGCAAATAGTCCGGATCCATAGATCAACCGCACGCGTGTAAAATCAAACAGTGGTCTGAGCAACTTGAAGGAGCCACTGTTCAAGCCACACATTGCCGAGGCCCCCAGTAACTGAAGCGGATAGGTTAAATTGTGAAACACGTCCAAGGCATGATGCATGATGTGACTCGTGGTAACGGTAGAACCTTGTCAATTGAATTTGGTTTACCTAGTTAATATCCGAGAGAGTCGCAGAACGTTGTTGGGTTCTGATTGGCATCGATGTGTTTGACGACTCCGACATTCATGCAAATGTAGGCGAGTGCGCAATACGGGATGAATGTACACTCGATGGCAACGGCGTCGACGCTGCCAGCTAGTACTTGGTTCCGATAAGTGTTTTCATGTAAATGTCATTCAAAAAATACATCCAATTCCGAGCTCGAGGAATAGTCATCATAGGTACCAGTAATGCTGTACAATATATATATATCCAATGAGAGCGCAAGTAGTACATGTATATACATTGAGCATAATGTCTATATTGGTTTCGAACAGAAGACACTGCTCTCACATAACGTCAATCAAAATGGTAGGCTGCCTTGTTAGGGGCGATGACACCATGCTCTTCCGAGGCTTGCGCGTCCTGGGTTGCGCAGGAGACGATCTGATGATTCGGGGTTGTCCATCCTTCCTAGGTCTCAACGTTTTGTAGACCTGCCATTCCTTCCCCTCGACAGTGATGCTGCCAAGGTGCTTGGCGCTCTCTTTGTCCGCATCCTCGGTTCGCTTCTGCGAGGCCTTCGGGGCAAGCAGTGTCGGTCGAACTTGAGGCTTAAATGTGGCGTCGATCATGATAGTCCCATGTTCTCCGAGCATGGGGAGACCTTGCGAATTCAATCTCTCACCCGCGGGCCCAACTCTAAACTCTGGTACATCCTCGATAAAGATAGACGGCTCGCGTGAGGCAAAGTGAACTTGTCTTGCAGTGCCCACACCACCAGACATGTCCGCTGCCGGCAAAGTCAAGTTCATCTCTCTCGCCACCCGTTCTCTCTCCTCGTCGCCGAGCAATTTTCCCACCTGAGTCAAAAAGGTCTCGTGGTTCCTCCGGAACTCGTGCTCGAGAATTTGCTCTTGCGTCAGGTTCGTGACACAGCCGACGGGCCTCGGCAATACATATCTCATACGAATACCAGAGGCAGTCTGCTCGACAGTGCGAGTGCCCAGTGAATTATTGTGCCAGAAGTCAATCCCATGGAAGCCGATGCGTTCGGGGCTGCGCTGAAGCGGTTGAGGCCTCTTTATGGGTGTGCGAAGGACAGAACCAGCATCGAACGTATGCTGGGTCATAGGAGTCTCAGGGAATCGGGTCATTGTGGTCGGCGGTGGCGTGGCGTCCCTACCCTCGTCTACATCCATACCATTTTCTTCTTCTTCATCGTCGTCGTTTACGTCTTGTTCTGGATAGATCCAGCGTGTATGAGCGCCAAGACCAGTAGCAGTTTGAGTGATAATGACAGACGTGCCGTCTACATCGCGGCATCTGAGATAACAGCCGTTGGCGTTGCTAACCCGGTTCTTGGGTGCGACATTGGGAATGCGAGATGCCATTGTGGAGGACGCGACGAACGTGTGATAGGGGTAGTAATGGGTGGTGAAAACGAGCAGGCTGTCAGTCGAAGTAGAGTGGCTAGGGTGTTGGTGAATTTGTAAAGCTCGTTCAGCCACTCAAATAGGTTTCCTCGCAAGTGCTATGGCCGGAATGTGGATGAAAGAGCTCTTTTGTGCTTTGTTCACAGCTCGCCGCTTTGTCCAGCCCTTTTATCTTCACTGCGTTTGTGCTGCCATTTTGGGGTAGTTGTCCGGACCAGGGGCGGTCACATCGCTGGCGGTGCTTTGACTGCGTTACTTGGGCGCAATAGTACTCGTGGCGGACCTGGTCACAGCGCTGATGCGCCGATGGCGCGTTTGACTCGTGGTTCTGGCCGAATGGCGTGGGAACTCGGAACTGATAATCAAGGTGGCGTTGCAGAATTCCCAGGTGCCAGTGACCTCTCCTCAAGTTAACGGTTCAGTCCATTGATCAAATAGAAGGAAGTGTCTTCGTCAATATTATGATTGTGGACTAATTTTCTGCGATCTCATACACTCAGCTGGAGTCCACAAGCAGATTCTGCAATCAAGCGGTTTCAAACCCATCATGTATAAGCGCCTTTGAACCATTGACTCGGCCCAAGCGTGGTGAAGCGTAAGTTGTAGTGGACCCGCAACTTTCCTACGTTGGTACGTTACTGTCTGCAAGCCTGACCGCTTATGCTTGATGCTGTGGACCAGCTGTGGCATATCACTGTTCCCAAGGAAAGGAAAATGACAACGTGCTTTCAAGGGATGTGATTATTAGCCACAGCTCTTTGAAGCAACATGTCATTTTCTTCACCTGCTACCATTTTTGATCCATTTATCGGTGTGTCAACCCCTTCATAATCGGTCGTCCACATCATTGAACTGAACTGGGAATGTACAATCTATCCTCTCCGCCACCTCTTCGCGGAGTCCGAAATTCTCCAGAAGATCGCATGATGAACACAACTAGCATGACTTGTGGACGTTTCCACATCCGGAACGTCCACAGTTGAAGGCGTTTAAAGTCACGATGAGCGCGAGGTTTAAAGACCCTAACACAACGCTTTAAGACTCTCAGTCCACGCCCAACCACCTTCCTCAAGAAATATGTTCTTCAAGCCCTTCTTACCGCAAATTCCTGCTGGATTCAGGATGTTGAGCCCTATGAAAAAGTCTTACTTTTCTCCCTTAATTATTTCGCGTAATCCTACTGACTCTCCTTCAAGCAGCCCCGCTCGGGAGCCAAAGGCACCCGCACTCATTGACAACAACGCACCTCCCACACAGGGCCTTCCGTACGTCTTCGAGGTTAACTCGTCCAACACTACCCATGTTGGCCGTACACCCAAGACTGCTTGTATGCCAAAAGTCTTCAAGAAGAGCGCCCCTATCAAGCCTTCCCCCAGTCAAACGGCCCACACTCGCCGCAAACACGGTCACAAGCGCTTCACCTACCATCTCAGCCTCACTCGACCTGGCCTACGTCGCAGAGGCCCCAGGTTTAACCGCCCAGCCAAGCTTCAGCGTGAAAAAGCAGTGGTGGCTCTCGACAAACTCGAAGACATCGCCTTCCAGACCATGCAAGCCGGCTCTATGACCGATGAAGATCGTATCTTCCTCAAGCAACTCGAAGAGCTCCGCCTCGACCAGCTGCGCAAGCACTCGCTTGGAGATGCTAGGGAGACAGTCGCCCGTGCTGATGCGTTGGGTCCCCAACGTGAGTTGGAGCACGCAGAGCGCGACCGCCAAGCTGCCCTGAGATTAGAGGAAAATGCACGCAGAAAGAAGGAAGAGGAAGAATCGCGCCGTTTGGAGGAGCTGCGCCATTTGGAGGAGGAGAAGCGTAGACAAGAGGAGATCAAACGTAAACAGGAAGACTATAAACGCCGCGCAGAGGAATGGGTACGCCGTCGTGAGCAGCGGAAGCGCGAACGCGAGGCCAAACGGGAGGAAGAGGAACGTGCACGCCTTCATTTGCAGCGCGAGCGCGAGCTCCGGGCCAAAAAGGCGGCTTTCCGTAAAGCCCAACAGGAAGCTGAACGCCGGGCCCGCGAGCAAGCAGAGCAGCGCCTTCGCGAAGAAGCTCGACGACAAGAGAGGCAACGCCAGGAGGACCTTCGTCGTAACGCACCTCAAGCGGATATCGTAGCTTTTTTGCAGCTCTACGATGCCAAGTGGAACGAGCTCAAACACAACAAGAACTTGACTTCAGTCATGCTCTGCGAGATGCCCTGGCCCATGTTTGCGCAAGGTTGTACATCCCCCGATGATATTTCTCGTCGCAGCCTAGAGGCATTCATCTTCCACCCCATCCGCCCGGGGATAAAGATCAAGTCACGTAAGGACATATTTAGGGCAGAGATACTTAGATTCCACCCCGACAAGTTCAACTCGCACTTCGTGCTCAAGTTGCGGGAGTGCGATAGGGACAAGGCGCTCGAAATCGCAGGAGCGGTGGCTAGAACACTGACGGATATGATGGCTGAGGAGATTGAGAGTGAGAAGAGTTGATAGGCTGGAATACTGTATTCGTTTGCAATCAATTACTCAAAGTTTAGCTCAAGTATACGTCCCTTATGTGATCTGATCGTATGACTATGAATGTACCAAAAACGTGTTCAATTTTGCAAGCAAGTTCTGCTCGAGTCACAGGAATATCAATAGGAGGAACGATCCACTTGTCGCTCTACCTGAAGGATAAAAACATTCGGCTCACCATTTTGCTAGTTGATTGCGGTGTTAACGGTATGAGGAGTGGAACCTTTACGGTCAATGACCTCCATACATACAGTGGCTACTAGTCAGACCATGTAGAAGGAAGACGTTCGTTTCTCCTTGCTTCTTGAAGCGTTCAAACAGCCAGTGGCCTCTGTCGGACCATAATACTCGAGCGATCAACGTTGCAACCGCCAATCGTTTACCTAATAGGGGACTCCAAGAACCACTTTGACTAGCTCACTGACAAATTCAGACAGGGCACCCATGCCCGAAAACCCGGAAGCCTTAAGATCCCTCCAAATCCAAATCTTCTGGTCTGTTTAGCAATCTCCCCTCCATTCCACCTTCAACCATCACTACTTGACCAGTGACATGACCGGAGAGAGTAGATGATGCAAGGACCGCGATCTGCGTCGCGACGTCCATCGGCATGGCCACCTTCTTAAGCGGACTCCTGCAATAGCATGAAATTTAAACATGGATCACTGAATCATGATGGTATCACTGACGTAGCCAATGCACGATACACTGTTTGAGGGTCCTTCAAGGCTTCTTCAGCCATTGGTGTCTTGACCCAGCCAGGCGCGATACAATTGACTCTGCCTTTGGGGGCTATCTTCACGATTTCATTCTTGAGCGTAAGGTTCAAACCGTACATCATTGCTAGAACATGATGAGCATATGTCAAACTGCGGATAGAATCATCACTGACCGCTCTTCGTCGCAGCGTAGTCACCGTGATTGGCTTCGCCATACTTCCCGGCAGTACTTCCGATAAGCACAATCGCTGCCTTTTCCTTGATACCAGAGGGCGCATTTTCAAGGTGCTTCAAATACTCTCTACAAACCAGGAATGATGACGTCAAGTTCGTAGTGATGGTGGTGTTCCATTGGTCCAGTGTCATCCTTGCGATTGGAACATCCGAAGTGAGGTATACAGCGTGGTTGACGATCGCCACTTGTATTGGGCCATGAGGCATAGTAGATAGTGATTCGAACATAGCGACCACGGCCTCCTCTTGAGAGAGATTCGCCTGGACATGTTGAAGGTTGGCGTTAGAAGCCAGAAGTTCCTGGATCGGTCCAAATTGCGAGTTATAATGTGCGGTCACATTCGCACCCAGTGCTGGATGATATGTCTGATTCAACTCAATATTCATCATTCGAAAGCGAACTACTTACCGCAAAATAGTTTCACGGTCTCTAGTCCGATGCCGCCGCTTGCCCCTACTCAGGGACCGTCAGGTCAGGACTCAGCAATGCCATAGGATACTGTGGAATACGACCTGTAATAAGGACATGCACTCCTTTCAATCCAAGATCCATAACGCCCTGTAACGGTCAGTTTAGTTACACTGAACTCGCAAACGATAAGGGCTGTCGGCCGATCAGTGATTCAAGTGTCGAGGTGTGAAAAAATTAGGTCTCAAATTGTCAATACCACATGGCCAGCCTGAGTGCATAAGAATAGTACTCATGTCACTAGTACTTGCCAGTTGGACAGGTGACCCCCCCATTATGAATAGCTTCAAGCGTCATGATATCCGGGCGCTTCAAGGTTTCTCTCCCATGCATGGACGTGCTATGCGACAACTTGAAGCGTCATATGTCACACATTGACATGTCACGACAAAATTAAATGGGTGTCACGTCTACCGATGTGGACAACTGCCAACTGGAATATTAATCCTTGTCCGACATCCCTCGGTTTCACTGCTTGTCACACTAATGAAGAGTGTGACGCACCAAGTGCCATATTATCTAGCTAACCGACGATTCGAGGTTGCTTGAGGGAGTGTGCGACGGGCGCGAACGACGATTGCTGACGATATACTCTTAGCTCTATTCCTTTTGAAGATAGGCCCATAAAAGCCCTCCTCTGGCGAGTCTTTGAGATCAGGTCATCAGAGACTAGTTTCAATTTCAGGCAGACCAATGCCGACCGCTGCGACGATGATGGCAACTGTCTCGACGTCGGGCATGCTGCCTCACAAACCGTCCAGCAAAGGTTCGCCGTCGACAGAGGCAACACTACAATCACTATACAACCGTGCAGCGAGAGCGTTCCTTCACCGGGACGTCGCAATCACGTTCGGATTGTTAAGCGCTGCATTCGCACTCCTCCCACCCCCCCTCGCGCCCTCACCTGACCCCCTAGCCGTCCACAGGAGAAAGTGGGATATCCTCCGCATCACCCTCGAGACCACCATCTTCTCTTCTACCCCCGACCTCGCTGATTTACCACAACCACTCCGAGAATCTCTACTCTTGTCTCCCCAATCATTTGTTTCTACTTTGTATGCTCGATCTCTCACTTTATTTACTCCTTCATCTCTACATCGAAAACCTAGCACCGCATTCCTTCCACACCAAGTCCTCATCACACTCGTCGCATCCAGCCTCAAGATAGATTGTCCAAACATTGGTCGCGAGATGACAGAGGACTGGTTGTCAAGACGCGGTCAATACGACTTCGTACCTTCCACAGGTGAATCATATCACAAAGTCCTAGAACTCTACTGTTTGCACGTCTTGCCTCGTTTGGGCGAGTGGGAAAACGTCAGACAATTTCTGTCATACGAGAATGAACTCTCATCTGACGAAAGACGCGTGAGTTGATTTTCATTGTTCTTATGTCGTAGTGAACATTTTTCCAGGCACTGAATGTGGCGCTCGACGCTCAACATGCTCAAGCGCGCGAGAGTACAAGGCGGGAGACGCCAAAACTCGAGACTCCTCCTTCCCCCACACCAATACCACCATCCCGCTCTCTATCACCCGCCTCTTCCTCTTCCTCTCTATCCACCACATCCACCCGCACTGCCGTCCCAGCATCCCCCCGTCCAAAACTTACCCGCCAACAATCTGCCTCTTCCACATCAGCAGTTTCGGATGCTACAGTGACCAGATCCCCTCGCCACCGCCACGATCAAAGCATGCCACAAGGAAGTCCGAGTGCCAGTGGCGTTCGCACCTCCCGCATTCTATCAGTCGATGACAGTCTCACGACTGCGCAGCCCCCATCTTCCCTAGCACTCATCCGATCTTATTTCAGCCACTATTTCACCGCTAACAGAATAGCCACTCTATCAGTTTTGTTCTTCCTAATTCCTCTACTATCTATGATCATACGGAGGCGGCGGCGCTTTGAGACACCTGCAGACTTGGTACGGAGGAGGTTACTAGAAGCGCGTGGTGATTCTATTGTGAGAAGGTTGTGGAATGAGTTGTCGAGGGCGATTTTAGATACTGTTAGGATGGGTGGTGGGGGACTTGTATAACTTACGATATTTCTCTCCCTAGCCAGACCAAGTAGAAGGATATCAGTGTTAGGCCATGCACTTAAGATAAAATGTCCCGCCAGCGTTGATTACTCCTCCTAGAGTGGAGCAAACAGTGGTCTTCCAAGTGCCGGTGGGCTCGAACGTCACTAAATCCAACACAAGCGTGCAACCAAAATTCTGAATGTGCACGTTTTAAATTGGAGCCGCAGACATGAAGCTGAGCGGCCCTTTGACCAACAGTCATGCATCATGTTCATCAACAGTCAAAAACAATGAGGCCTTGGCGGCAGAGTTCGAACAACCTAACCCGCCTTCATGACATGTCGGATATATTAATTGTGCCTACAGACCAGCCTTGCATGCGTGCGGTTTGTTTCGTCTATGTACAGGTGGATAGCTAATTTTATCCTTCAAATCCTTCAGAACGATTAACAGATCCACGACAAAGCGCCAAATCGAAAGTACAACGAAATACTCCAAACAATCCACATGCTCCCTGCACAGTTGATCGTTTGGATCCTTTCCCATGCTACATACTACCACTAGTTGGCACGTGTCTGAGCTCCTGGAAAGCAATTGTAGTTAAGCCAGTTCCCCCGTCAGATCTGGCTATGATCTTGGCGTGATATTCTCGAGTGCTAAGGATGAGACGTGGTCCCAGCACAAACATCTGCAACATTTGGGCAAATTGGACGATGCCGGAATAGACAGCACTTCCTACGGAAGTTGTGTTCTGTAGAAATGATGAGGATAAAATGTGGATGTCAGTCACAGGTCTGCGTACCAAGAGCTTTGGGGATAGTAAACCGAGGTTGAAGAAAGACACAGCAGCAAAGCTAGCACATGCGGAACTTCAGTGGAGCCAGGTAACAACATCAAAATCGCCTTACTCACGCTACGAAGTACCATACATGACTCCTGATTAACACGATGTAACAGTCCCCGAAGGTTGGTCCTGCCGGTAATTGTCGTAGTTCATAGAAGTGTTTTGCGACAATCCAAACTGCAAGAAACAAGGCGATGATCTCCCATACAACAGTGGGAATCCAAATCTCGTGATTTAGATTCATCCCGTTCGTGTCAATGACGATAGAACACTGATGGTCGCCAGAGAGGACGAGTTCCACTGGCATTCGCTATTCGTGAGTCTCAGGGCTGTCGTCAATCATTATAACTTACCCCCTGAAGCACTGGTGTTTGCCATTAGGGCGATAACTCCAGAAGCAATCGTGGAAGCCAGCCAGACTATAACGAGAAAGATGAGCATCCTTTGGGATCCCTGATACATGGCATGTATCCGAGCCATCATGATGACTTTTATCATATTTCAGTCAAATCAGAGCCAGTAAGCTACCAGAACTGAACTCACCACCTAACATAGCATTGACAACGACAAATATCCATGCCTGCATGAACCAAAAGATAGTGCCTGAAAAAATTAGTTACTGAAGCCCATTTGCGGACCAAATGAACTAACAACTGTTGCAGTCGTTATATTGAAGATACCAGGCAGTCGAGAATATCACTCACCCCTATGTAGGGGCACAGTTAATAGTTGGATCGGCGCGGTAAAGAGTACCCACTATATCTGTGCTCGAGAATGGGAGACTCCCTGTAAGCTGCAATTCAGACGATACGAACCCAGTGTAATTGAGGATACATACACAGTATGGTTAAGCTGATTGTGAGAGGAGGGTTAGTATAGTGCAGGGCCGTCTACTTAGCCCTGAAAACATACACAGAATATAGTATCCCAACATAGCGCACCTAGCATATGTCAAAGTCAGCACGGTTTGGCGACCGCGTTTATAAGCCATAGCATAAAATGCGTACACCAATATAAAGAACAGTCATGTGGGACCAGCGTTGCCACTTCCCCAATCAACTTCAACTGTATACCCTGTTCCCGATACAAGACTTTACTCACCCAGATCAGTTCGAACTGATGAAGCATTCTTAGTGAAATGGCTGCACCGGAAATTACATTAACTTACCTCTTGTCCGCATGTCAACGCTTCAAGTTCAAGGCCATATGAAGATCAATTATCCCCTCGAAAAGTATCACCTTACTCACCCCAATCGTATATCACCACAATAGAGGATAAAACTGTAAAACCACAGTCAAAGATAGTGAGATGTGATCACTGTTTGGTTGCTCGCCACGAACCTGCGAAATAGCTGAAAATCATCATCCAATCGATGGACGGCCACCAGGAGGGATCGCTTGAGACTGAGGTCATATTGGGGTACAACGTGAATGGAGATAAATACCCTGTGCTTTATACGGATCATGCTGGATATCCATTCTGCTAATCAGAATCTTGATTGGTCACAGCGACTTCTAGAGCACCTAGATTTGACCTAGATGTAGAAACACCTGAAAACACTGGCTGCGTGACTGTCGCTCTGAACCTACTATGTTAAGGTGTTCTTGCTTCTAACTCTGGTGATCCGCCTTGATCGCTCTCATCATATGGACCCTCAATACACAACCACACTTCTCGGCCCTTGTGAGACGGCAGATAATTGATAACCGGTGACCTGTAAACTCGCAGCGATCGTTTCCGTCGTCTGAGTTCGTCGGAACACTTGGTGAGAGTAGAACTCGTGCCTTTTAGCTTTGCAGAAAGTTTAATGGGCTCAGATATATTCCTGTCGGAATGAATGATATCTGAAGAGCACACGATCCTCTTCTGACTCCGAGATGCTGTGTATGCTGATGGTATTGGATGTGCGCATGCTCAATGCCTAGCCCACGTATGATCGTTTTACAGGATGGCGAGAGCGATTTTCAATTGGGGTACGATGACGACTGGAAGTTTGGAGGCTGAGGACAACCGGGTCTCTACGACGCTCATCTGGATATGGAATGTTCTCCATAGAACAACGGCAATGCAAAATGAACACTTACGTTCCTGTCGGAGCAACAGTGTGAAAACGCACATCCGAGCAGTATACTTCCAGATCTCGACCTTATCCTTTCTCGCGCGTCGTCTTCGCTTGTTTAAATGACCCCAATCCTCCCCAATACCCGAATTACGCGCCTCCTGGAACGGCTTTGGGGGATATGTATGATGCTGTGTCGCGTCTATGTTCTATTAGGAATGCGGTGGATCCGGGTGATGTGATGGGACTCACGGGAGGATGGAAAATCTAATTGGAGATTGCAGGGACTGTTTAATACTTATACTGAATTTTTAGATCTTCTCCTCTGTGTGAGGGTTAGTGGTCATGGACTTCCATTAAATAGAGATTTTTTTGGAGGGATGACGTGTGCGACTATCATGCTGTGCGGCTACTCACCCTGCTCGTTCTGTCACCCAGAGCTTGGCCAGCACTCGACCATTCATATTCTATGTGCTCGTGGAACATGTCTTCTTATCACACATCGAAGACGCCCCACCACAATGTGATGACGCATTCCAAGCGCAACGTTTGATTGCTGCCAAAACACGACAAAACCCCAGAAATTACACGCGTTGCATCAATGCAAAAGCATCACGAAGAGGGAGCGCAAAATCATGCAGGAATGTCGCCCTGCAGCCTAAAGTCCCTACTGCTGGCGCCGACAGAGAACGGGATCTGGCCATCAGGTTTGCGCCATCCCTGACCGACGACATCCCAGATAGACAGGTCATAACGAGAGAGCGTGATCGTGACTTGCTCCGTGTCGTACGGTGAGATTTCGACGTTTGTGAAGCCCTTCAGGACTGAAGGAGGCTCGTTAGCGGACGACGGGTGGTGGATGTAGAGTTGAGGGATCTATTCAAGTGGCTTGTGCGCAAGTACAATAAAGACGATATGTGTTTCACGAACCTCGGTGCCAGATACAGGTCCAGTGTTCGTGACCTTGAAAGAGACCTGAAATGCAGGCTCGTGAAGCCTGGTAAGTAGCGGTATCAGCCTGCAGATTATTCACTGGCCCTGTATATCTTACCATAATGCAGTAGAAGACCCTTCAGCAATGGGTGACGCCTTCCCGTTCTCCCAAGCAGTGATCAAATCCTTCTGATCAGTGTCCAATGACTGAATCGGAGTCACGCAAAGCTCAGAGTACGAGAACGTGGTGTAGCTCAACCCGAAACCAAACTCAAAGCGTGGTGTGATATTTGCCTAAAATTGCCCTTATAAGACATACAAGCGAAAAGCGGCTTCAGGGTACTCACTTCGTCAAAGTGGCGATAATCGATGAACAGCCTACAAAGATGGTAAAATCAATGCAAGGCAGCCTTGGTGTAAGTGTACGTACCCCTCCGTGTAATCGATGGTTACAATCTCGCTTCCTGAACCATCAGTCACCAGTTGTGCGGGATAATCGGCGAGATCCTTGGCAATGGTGTACGGAAGTTTTCCAGAGGGGTTGTATGCCCCATAAAGGACGTCAGCAATTGCATTACCTGCCTCCTGGCCTTGAATGCCAGCCCAGACGACAGCAGTGATGTTAGGGTGCTCGATCCAGGGTTCGATAATAAGCGGGCCGACGCTGTTCACGACGACTATGGTGTTGTTGTTCTGCGCCGCGACAGCAAGGATGAGGTCATCGCCGTTGTGCCAGGCAGTGAGGTTGTTGCTAGCAGGGAATACACATCATCATTATCGCTTAAAGATGTGGGAGGAACGTACCGGTCACCCTGATTGCCATCGACAGTAATGTAACCCTCCCCAGAGTCGGAGCTGGTAAAAACGAGAGCAACGGCCTGGCCAAACGCCATATTTCCGGCCAGAGCAGTGTTCCAGTCGTCAAAGTCCCAAAACACGCTGCTGCCGTCCTGGCGAGCACGCTCCTGGATACCCTCGAGAGGCGAGATAAGGTAAGGGAAGTTACCAGTCCTGCGCGGCATCAATCAGCGTTCAGGAACAATATAAGTATTTCTGAGAGCGAACATACCCAGATCCCCATCCCATGGCTAGAATTCCATCGCTGCCACCATGACTTGAGAACTCGTTCGGGCCGTATTTGCCTGGACCCGCATCACTTCCAATCAATACCATGTTCCTCGGCTTGTTCAATGGCAGCGCGTCGTTTTTGTTTTTCAAAAGAACTGTTCCAGCCGCGCCAATCTCCCTCACGAGTTTGTAATGGTCTGCCTGCACGTTCACATGCTTGTTGTTCACTTCATCCTTCGATTTGAATGAGTTGAAGTTCGTTGCAGGGTAGTCTTCATCCTGGTGAAGGTAGTACCAAGCAGCGATGATGCGCGTCGCCATGTCGTCCAGGCGAGACATGCTGATGTAGCCGTCATTCACGTAGTCTGTGAGGTTGCCACCGAAGTAGGAGTCGCCAGAGTCAAAAGTGATATCACCGGGCATAGTCATGTCAAGCCCTGCGACAGCAGAGAGGGTGGACATCGTTGCCGACCAGTCAGATTGAACGAAGCCTTGGAAACCGTACTCCCGCTTCAAGATGTCGTTAAGCATTTTGTCGTTGTTGCACGCGTAGGTTTCATTGATGAGGTCTGCGATTCAGATGTAGACTTGAATGATATAAAACATGGTTGAGGCTTACTGTAGCTGCACATGACGGACGAAACGCCAGCCATGACGCTGCGCAAGAAAGGGTGCGCGTAAATCTCGTGTTGAGTCCGGTCATCAACATTTGAAGATTCTTGAGTGCGGAAGTGCTCCTGCTCACTAGCGGGACAGATCAGTGCGAGTCCAAACGCGCGTAACAGAAGACGAACTTGTTTATGAAATGCTTGGCGGTGGCTTGTACTCCACCTTGTTGCAGGCCTAAAATTGTCTCATATGCAGATTCGCCGGTCAGGAAAGGGTCTGCACCGAAACCCTCCCAGTTACGGCCGCCTTGACCGACGCGGCCCATGTTCATCATGGGGCCAAGGGCAATGTTGACGCCCTTGCCCTTGAATTCCTGACCCAAAGCCAGGCCCCGGGAACGCATCAGAGCACGATTCCAGCTGTGATAGATATTAGACAGTCACGTCGGTGAACTTGAAGACGACTTACGTGGACGCTACCTGAATGCCAGCTGGGAACGCAGTTGCGTAGTCGGCAGAACGGACGGCGAGAGGGGAATCCTAGTGAATCATGAGACAAACACCTCACAAATTATTCAACCTATCCACCTCAAGACATAAACCGGGGAAGTTTTTATTGGGTGGGATGTTGCCAACGCACAAGCCGTTTGCCCAACCGACTCCAGTGGTGATGTTGACTTTTTCCTCGATAGTATAATCCGATATCTAGTACGAAGTACATTCAGCATGTTCCAACACAGAAAGCGTTTGAAGACTCGGGATGAAACCGGCAATGCAATCGAAATAATCGAGCATTGAAAGGAATGCACTCACAAAGTTCCTCGCTTTTTGGTAGGCAGTAGCCCATGCAGGCGCGAAATCGGGCACGACTTGCGGATCACTACTGACAGCGGGGGGGTTCAAGGGATCAGTGGCAGGGAAAACCGGAGGGCGAGGGTTGAGAGTAGGTGTAGGATATGGAGTGAATGAATAGCTAGAGAGCGGAATGGTGATGACACCAGTTGTGGTAGACGCGCCTGAGGTGCTGGCGGAAGCAGAAAATGTTGTAGAGCTTGAGGCAGGAATTGATGAATAATTAGATGAAGTCGAGACTGGCGAATATGAGGCAGTAATGCTAACATTACCACCTGGAGCAGACGGAGGCAAGACCGGTGCACCTAGAACAAATGGAAATATACACGACAGCGACATCAGCTTGGACAGCATGGCGGCTGCACGCGTGGGTTTCCGAAGGATAATAGGATAAACAAACGGAAGAACGGCCAAAGATCACCATGGCTTCATTTTATGAACGAGCCGACACTTTTGTACTAATGGTTCGAACCGAACACGATCCGGGAAAATCTACACGCGAGGGATCGCGCTTTTAATGGTGGGCAGTGCCCACAACTACAAACTATAAGTGGGGAGCGCTGGAGCGGCAACTCAGCCAAAGAAAGTATGGCATTATGTACCGAAGTGGCCTTACAGTATTTTCCCTCTCCTCAAAGACAAGCGCTCCAATAATGCCAGTGCGAAACTCGTGTATGCACATAAGAAAGAGTGGAAGAAGGCCTCAGAAGGTAGGTAGTTGCTGCTTACAATCGGCAATGGGACTGAACGGTTGCCTTCCCGTGAGAAAGCACATTGCTACTACTAGTAGACATAGCAAGGGGCCTGAGGAGTTACGCAACATTGTGTTTTGTGCGACGAGCGCTTTCTTCCAGTGCTTCATTGTCGGGATCTGTGAGAACTTCTTGTTCAAACTGGGCGGACGTAACTACGAGGGTGAGTACGAATAAGACTGTATATGTGGCCAGTGTATGCAGAAGAAAGGTAAACTGTAAACTGACAATATACCATGGTGTTGGGCTGGGGCCATGGAATCTCACCGGTACATTGGAATATGATAGCGAGGAGCTGTAGTGGTAGAAAGAGAGGATTCAGGCTGGTGGACGCGATTGGAGGTTGGTGAGAGTGAGATAGACGCTGGTGGACAAGGCTCCGGCTTTCGAAAAACAGAGAATATGAAGAATCCAGGTGTTCACTTGTCGGTTCGTTGCTACGATATGATCAAAATCGCTCAGATCCTCGCATCACTAAGGACGTGATCACTGATTTGGCAACTGATGCAGAATCCAGAAGCCCATTCTATATTTACTCAGTGGTTTCAAGGAGGCGATATCCAGCATGATCATCATAAAAGCTCTGGGTTAGAAGACTTTTTATGTTCGCCCAGCTTGCCCATCCCGATACTTATGACCGTGGTTTCAGATGATCCCATTTGGTGGCCGTTCATCAATTGGATGCGCATTGTCAGCTATTTTATAGGTCCGTGGAGAGCAAATAGGACAACATTGGTGCCAACTCACACTATCTTTCACATTCGCAGTGGCATCCTCTGCTGCATTGGTATATGATTGGGGTAAGCAAAGTAATACTCTCCGAGGGGATCATGGTCATATAAATGGTATTCAAGCATTGTCATTCGCACAAGAGGTAGGTTGATGCCATTACCGATGCAGCCATCTCACCAAAGGAATACTTCAATAGCTCGAACTGGTTTGGGTGAGCAAAGTCATACATCAAAGCACAACAGCGCCATGAAGTTGATATGGGGCAGAGGCGCCACTGGTCCCTCATGACTGTTCTTTATATTTGTGTGCGTAATTTACTGTGGTATATACCCGATTAACAAGTGATACTGACATTACCATATGTTAGGTGCGCTACCTTGGAATACTATTTTCCATGTACGTTTCCGAGGCTAACACATTGTCACGACAAAGCACTGCTTACAAGGTCTCTCACAACCAGCGTCGACATACTGTGTACGGATAGTCTCTCATACACTATAATTGTTTTTCTAACGGGCGGATTGCAGGGAGTTTTCCACCAGTCTCGACCACAGACGCAGTGAGTACTGCCTACCATTCGCATTTGGTTATTAATTGTATTCCAACGTAGGGGTGAGTGACATTTTTGATCAAGTTGTGTTTTCAACATAACGACTACAGCTGTGAGTCCATTTTTCAGAAGTATCGAGTTCAACAATGAACATCAGTAACCGGGGTTTTCAGGCACTATCATTTACTTCATACGATCATTGATCCCCATCGTCGTCAATGCTATGCTGGGCGGTGAGCTCAACTGCATACCTTAGTGATATTGATTTGACTGATGCATCATGCAAGTTATAATGATGACTCGGATACATGCAATGTATCAGAGATCCAAAAAGATGTTCAATCTTCTTCTTGTAGTCTTGCTGGCCTGCAGTATTGCCTCCGCAGTTATGGCGTTGATGGCAAACATTGGTGTTTCAGGGGGTAAGCTTTGATTGTGGATGACAGTACATGAGTCTCATGCACAAATACCAGAGAAGCTCGTCATTTCTAGTAACCACCTGTGTGCCGACGTCATTGACACAGAAGGCATACGTCTAACTGACGAGACTTTGATACCCACCGTTGTATGGGAGATCATCGTTTTGTTTCTTGCAGCCTATATTGTTATAAAACACTTCTGCGAACTGCAACGATCACCGAGAGGATCGATCATTGAAGACTGTTTCACGGTGTTAACAAGGGGTCATGCGCTGTACTTTGCCGTGTGAGTTCAGCGAATTGGATGTTATTATCCTGTTCCACTGAAGTTCTGCATGTGCTAGCTTTGCTGCTGTGTCTTGCTTCACTCTCGTCTCACTGTCCCCAAATATCATGGTGCGCCAATCTGTGACTGACATCTGCGTATCTTCTCCTCAATGCTTATCATATCTACAGTACTCGAATTCCGTGGGAAACGCTATGTATAATGGTGTTCTCCAAAGTGCCCAGTTCATGCAGATGTTTGTGCTGGGACCACGTTTGATCCTTAGCATTCGAGAATATCACGCCAAGCTCGTGGCAAGCTCCGACGAAGGACCTGGAATAACTACAATTGATTTCCAGGTGCGCAGACATGCATCAACCAGTGGTAGCGAGTAGCACAGGAAATGATCCAAACCCGGGTACTGGGCAGGGAGCATGTATATTTTATTTGGAGTTTCGTTGTGGTATTTATTTGGTATTTGGAGAACAGAGCTTGATCTGGGCGCCGGGCAATGCCAACGTCGTGTTGTATTGTTACTGAGACTACTTAGCTGCCACCCATGCACGCACATGTGAGCCTATATGAAACGCCCACTACTCGCACGCTCATTAATACTACCTATGGCATGTAGTACAACACTATGGCATAAAACGGCTTCGTAGACACCGTGATGGCAGTGTACATTCATGGATCCAGATTTCACACTCGCCAAACTCGACCGTGACCATTAGTCGGAGGCATCGTCCTCGGAGGTGGTACGTTTCGCCCGCTCATTGACAGGTGTCGGTGATTGACTGTTTTGTTCTCTGACCATATTAGTACTACAAGTCTCTCAGCAATCAATATGGTTTATCGGTCGACAATGTTATGGCGTTTGAGCTTGTGAAGCCTAATGGCATGCTCGCGAGTATCACACTGGCAGGTTCTTCAGACCCGGATCTGTTCTATGGCTTTTGGGTACGTTCCTAGATTCGCGAGTCATGAATTATATTATTTTCGGTGATCTTGGACTATTTAGGAACACACGCTGCATCAATGCAAAGGCATCTCAAGGAAGGAGCACAAACTTATGCAGGAATGTCCCCCTGCAGCCTAAAGTCCCTACTGCTGGCACCGACAGAGAATGAGATCTGGCCATCAGGTTTACGCCACCCCTGAGCGACGACATCCCAGATAGACAGGTCATAGCGAGAGAGCGTGATTGTGACTTTCTCCGTGTCGTACGGCGAGATTTCGACGTTTGTGAAGCCCTTCAGGACTGAAGGAGGCTCGTTAGCGGACGACGGGTGGTGGATGTAGAGCTGAGGAATCTATTCAAGTGACTTGAGCATAAGTATGGGAATAATGAGATCGATGGATTTTACGAACCTCGGTTCCAGATACAGGTCCAGTGTTCATGACGTTGAAAGAGACCTGATATGCGGGCTCGTGGAGCCTGGTAGAGATATCAGCTTGCAAATCTTTCACTGGTCATGAATATCTCACCAGAGGGCAGTAGAAGACCCTTCAGCAATGGGCGAAGCCTTCCCATTCTCCCACGCTGTGATCAGATCCTCCTGATCAGTGTCCAATGACTGAATCGGAGTCACGCAAAGCTCAGAGTACGAGAACGTGGTGTAGCTCAACCCGAAACCAAACTCAAAGCGTGGTGTGATATTTGCCTAAAATTGCCCTTATAAGACATACAAGCGAAAAGCGGCTTCAGGGTACTCACTTCGTCAAAGTGGCGATAGTCGATGAACAGCCTACAAAGGTGGTAAAATCAATGCAAGGCAGCCTTAGTGTAAGTGTACATACCCCTCCGTGTAATCAATGGTCACAATCTCACTTCCTGAACCATCAGTCACCAGTTGTGCGGGATAATCGGCGAGATCCTTGGCAATGGTGTACGGAAGTTTTCCAGAGGGGTTGTATGCCCCATAAAGGACGTCGGCAATAGCATTACCTGCCTCCTGGCCTTGGATGCCAGCCCAGACGACAGCAGTGATATTAGGGTGCTCGATCCAGGGCTCGATGATGAGCGGGCCGACGCTGTTCACGACGACTATGGTGTTGTTGTTCTGCGCCGCGACAGCAAGGATGAGGTCATCACCGTTGTGCCAGGCAGTGAGGTTGTTGCTAGCAGGGAATACACATCATCATTATCGCTTGAAGATGTGCGAGGAACGTACCGGTCACCCTCATTGCCATCGACAGTAATGTAATCTTCGCCAGAGTCGGAGTTGCTAAAAACGAGAGCAACGGCCTGGCCAAACGCCATATTGCCGGCCAGAGCAGTGTTCCAGTCGTCAAAGTCCCAGAACACGCTGCTGCCGTCCTGGCGAGCACGCTCCTGGATACCCTCGAGAGGCGAGATTAGGTAAGGGAAGTTACCAGTCCTGCGCGGTATCAATCAGTGTTCACAATAAATTCTGAGAGCGAACATACCCAGATCCCCATCCCATGGCTAGAATTCCATCGCTGCCACCCTGATCTGCGAACTCGTTCGGGCCGGATTTGCCTGGACCCGCATCACTTCCTATGAGTACCATGTTCCTCGGCTTGTTCAATGGGAGCGCGCCGTTTTTGTTTTTCAAAAGAACTGTTCCAGCCGCGCCAATCTCCCTCACGAGTTTGTAATGGTCTGCCTGCACGTTCACATGTTTGTTGTTCACTTCATCATTCGGATTGAATGCGTTAAAGTTCGTTGCAGGGTAGTCTTGATCCTGATGAAGGTAGTACCAGGCAGCGATGATACGCGTCGCCATGTCGTCCAGGCGAGACATGCTGATGTAGCCGTCATTCACGTAGTCCGTGAGGTTGCCGCCGAAGTAGGAATCGCCAGAGTCAAAAGTGATATCACCGGGCATAGTCATGTCAAGCCCTGCGACAGCAGAGAGGGTTGACATCGTTGCCGACCAGTCAGATTGAACGAAGCCTTGGAAGCCGTACTCCCGCTTCAAGATGTCGTTAAGCATTTTATCGTTGTTGCACGCGTAGGTTTCATTGATGAGGTCTGCAATTCAGATGCAAACTCAAATGACATAAATGGTATAAAACACGGTTGAGGCTTACTGTAGCTGCACATGACGGACGAAACGCCAGCCATGACGCTGCGCAAGAACGGGTGCGCGTAAATCTCGTGTTGAGTCTTGTCATCAACATTTGAAGATTCTTGAGTGCGGAAGTGCTCCTGCTCACTAGCGAGACAGATCAATGCGAGTCCAAACGCGCGTAACAGAAGACGAACTTGTTTATGAAATGCTTGGCGGTGGCTTGTACTCCACCTTGTTGCAGACCCAAAATTGTCTCATATGCAGATTCGCCGGTCAGGAAAGGGTCTGCACCGAAACCCTCCCAGTTACGGCCGCCTTGACCGATGCGGCCCATGTTCATCATGGGGCCAAGGGCAATGTTGACGCCCTTGCCCTTGAATTCCTGACCCAAAGCCAGGCCCCGGGAACGCATCAGAGCACGATTCCAGCTGTGATAGATATTAGACAGTCACGTCGGTGAACTTGAAGATGACTTACGTGGACGCTACTTGAATGCCAGCTGGGAACGCCGTTGCGTAGTCGGCAAAACGGACAGCGAGAGGGGAATCCTAGCGAATGATGAGACAAACATCTCATGAATTCAAACTACGCACCTCAAGACATAAACCGGGGAAATTTTTATTGGGTGGGATGTTGCCAACGCACAAGCCGTTTGCCCAACCGACTCCAGTGGTGATGTTGACTTTTTCCTCGATTGTATAATCAGATATCTAGTTATCAAGCACATTCAGCAAAGTTCCGTTATAGAAAGCATTTGAAATTTCGGACAATCAAAAGCACCGCGAATTGGAAGGGATGGACTCACAAGGTTCCTGGCTTTTTGGTAGGCAGTAGCCCATGCGGGCGCGAAATCGGGCACGACTTGCGGATCACTACTGACAGCGGGAGGGTTCAAAGGATCAGTGGCAGGGAAAACCGGAGGGCGAGGGTTGATAGTAGGTGTAGGATATGGAGTGAATGAATAGCTAGAGAGCGGAATGGTGATGACACCAGTTGTGGTAGACGCGCCTGAGGTGCTGGCGGAAGCAGAATATGTTGTAGAGCTTGTGGCAGGAATTGATGAAGAATTAGATGAGGTTGAGACTGGCGAATATGAGGCAGTAATGCTAACATTACTACCTGGAGCAGACGGAGGCAAGGCCGGTGCACCTAGAGCAAATGGAAATATACACAACAGCGACAACAGTTTGGACAGCATGGCGGCTGCACGCTTGTGTTTCTGGAGGATAACAAGATAAACAGCCTGAGGTGGAAGAACGGCCAAAAATCACTGGCTTCATTTTGTGAACGAACCGAACACTTTTGTACTTGGTTCGAGCCGAACACGAGCCGGGCAAATCTATAGCCACTACCAGCTGGAGCGCCAGCGTTAGCGCCGATCCAAATGGGAGAACTTGAAGCAAGGATATAACTTGAAATCATTGCGGCCGTTCATGAGAACGTTCAACGTCCATTCTATCATAAAACGGATGGCTGCATCATGATGCATGGCTACTATATGGTGGAACGTAGTCAAACTACAGTGCTTGCCGACATTAGTTCCGAAATTGTCAACTGCTCCCAGTGCTCCGATGATCACCTGATGCATAATCCTCTGACCACAACTTGAACGTCGAGCACTCTCGAGATTCTGACACTATGTCGTTGGCATTAGCGTCATGTTGCAACGATCCTTGACAGATCTATAGCGGACCGCCGGGACCGGGCTAAATTCTTAATTCAATAGAACACCTGCATAATTAGCTCTTGTTCGTCTTCAGAAGTCAGCTGAAGCCTTATTTTCCTGCCGAAGATCCATTCAATTACAACATTGAAATGTTTCTTCCCTAATGTTGACCGTCGGTGTTCTGAATGGGCACGCAGCAAACCCAGAGCAGAAAACGAGTCCGCCTTAAATACACGAGCGATGTGAAAGAAAATTATCAATGCGCGATAACAAAACAGCATGACATCTAGACATAAAATCGACGGTTTCAGACCCAGGACTGAGATAACCCTGCAGCTTCAATGAGATGTTCCTGTGCGCACATGTCAGGTGGTTAATCCCAAGAATCATTGGAAATCAGCACACCTTTGCAATTGTCTGCCCTTCCGATAAAATGACGAGGCAAGACTGTAGACCCTTCAAACACCACTGCCGTTCAAGCCAAGCGAGGAGATACTGATTCCAGAACAACTTGAATGTATGATCAAGCGCGCCGTTCCATGGTTTCTGAACTCGTGAGAGATGGACGGCCCAATTTTGGCATGCATACTTATATCGAGAAATTTACGGTGGCGCTCAGCCAGAACGCTAAGCGCAGGCACGTGATCTCGATCATTCACCTTTTCGAGCTCGGGTTCGCAGAACCTCGCAGGTCAGCGTGACAGCGTGAGTTTTCTCATAGAGTAGAGCAAAGAAAAATAGAATGCGGTTCGAATCAAACGCACCGAAGTGTCGAGGAACGTGTTTGCACGCGCTGGATGTAAGTAGTATGCGAACGTGGTGTTTGTTAGTGATGAGTGGGCTAAGGTAGGGAGAGTGCTAGTATGGTACTAATCAAAGGGTAGCAAAAATATCGGTAGCGGTTGAAAAGAGTGGTCCGAGTCGGCGTCACTTTTTGCGAGAGACGCGCTGCACGAGGGCAGCGCGTGCCTCGTTGATGGCCTTCAGCAACTGTGTGTGTCCCATTTCGGCCTCTGGATATGCTGCGAGGAAACGCGACTCGTTAGACTCGTACCTGGAGCCGAAATATGGATGGTGAGTAGTGCAGGCAAAGGAAATGGTATCAGCATGGACTTACTCATTGATGAATTCCAGCGCGATGGTTGCCCTTTGATGGTACTTCGACGCGAATCGTCGATTGGCGCCTTGGTACCACTCCTTCGGCCAATCTTTGAGTGGCGTCCTCAATCCCCTGTCTGGGTCGCCGACGAGCCAATGCTCGACGATCTCCTTCCAGGACTTACTCTTCGGGCTGGTTGTGCCGTTTGGACGAGTGACAGGCACACGGGGAATTACAAGGCCAGCGGTAGGGAGGGATTGGGAGGTGGTGTTCTTGGATGGTGGGGTAGTTTTAGTAGCGGCAGGTCGTTGCGAAGCGAGGATGCTGCTCTGGCTGGTGACAGCTCTGGGTGAAGGGCGGTGTGTGGCTGTGAGGTGTCCTCCTTCGCGGGATGGGGTGTATGGTGGAGTTGGCCGTGGTGTGTGAGACTCGGAGGCACATCGGATCAGTTCACAACTCACTGCGCACACTAACCAATGTGATGGTGCAGGCAGCCTGCACCACAGCAACTGCTCTGCAACTTCAAGGTGATTCCTCCCGGCGCTTCGCCATCATCTCTGACTCTCAGGCTGAGTCATGTCGTTGCGCAGGTTGTTGACATCTGTCGTGACAGATGAATGAACCATGCGAAGCTCTTCTATAGACGCCGGTCTCATGAGAGCTTGTTCACCAGCGAGGGAGGTGTTAGCACCACGGGAGATGGGGGCAAGGGCATCACTGTAGTCATTCTCGTAGGCATGTAATTCATCGAGTAGGTAACGAACGAGTGTGTCGCGCTGCAAATAGACGTGATGAGCAAAAAAAAATACAGCACCAGATCCAAGAAACTGAAACACGCACATGCTCGCCTTCGGCCCATCCACCCCACCACCTAACTTTGGCGAGTGTCCACCGCTGACCCACGGGAGCAAACATAAACCAGTACTGTGCACCCCCACGACGAAAGCAGTGGGTTGAGAAGTTGCTGAGAATGCCAGCGCCTGTTGTAGCCTCGTTGATCCACTTTTGTACTGTATCATGAGATATCGGTTGGCCAGGCTGTACCACCCCGCTGGCACCCATTGCGGGAAAGATGAAATCGTTGGGTTGAAGTGAGTGTCCATAGTGAAAGTGCTCCAGCCATTTGATCCAGACCAACGTCCAAAAAAAGTTGTCGCAGGCCAGGATGTCTGGGCGTGGATAGATCTTGTAGTGATTTGCTGGCGAGGTAAGTGATTCAGCCATCCATTATCGTTTTTGACTTAATGTGGCTGAGGCTTACATCTTAAATCTGCTTCCCACTGGCCCTTGTCGACCTTCCGTTGCCACCCTTTACGGTTCGAGAGGAAGATCTTGAAGTGAGACTGGCACTCACTTAGTGCCAGTGTCTTGCCTGTGAGGTACGTTTTTAGCACTTCATCCAACATGGGCATATCGAGTGATATGTCCTTTCGCTGCAACTTGATGAGCTCGAAACATCTGCAAATATACTAGGAGGTCAGATATGCGTGCGGGGACAACTCGGCAGTTCGCACCTCGTCCACAGTGTCCATGCGTTGGCTTCGAATGTGACTTGTTCGAGATGACGGGTGAGTCGTGATCTTGTTTCTAGGTCTAGATGCACATCTGAAGGCTGAGTGCCACTCATTACCTTCCAAATCATCTGCAGCGCGATCTCGAGTGGACACGTGGCCTGATGCCATCGAAGTGTCTGATTCATGTAGTCTTTTGTCATTGCCATTGAGTGAGTCCGATCTCCACCCTCCGCACTTGCTTTGTGCTTGACCGATGACAGCACATCATAGACATCCGCTGAATCAGCGGGATTTCCCTCCCAGCACTGCTTGGCCTCGTTGAAGTGCCATTTACCACGGAATCTGTCACCATCTCTGGGACACAAGTCAGTGGTCAGTTACTATTCTAACTCATGTATGATGATGCTCACGATAGCTCCCACAGCTTCTTAAATGCCGAACGGATGCTCTCAACAGTTGTCTTACTCAAGTTCTCGTGGAACCCTTTCAGAGACATAAAGAGTGCCAATGCTTTGTCGGAGCATCCGTTTGGTATGCTATCGAACACGTCCTTGAATGCAGGATCATCATATATGTCATCATCTGCATCTGTTGCGACACCAGCAGGCAGTGGCAGCATACTAAGTGCTGGTGAGTCTTTGGACACGTTGTCGGTGCTTGTAGCAGACCTGCTCAAATTGTCGAAGTGGCTCGCCAGCCATTCCCGCCCGCGTCGGACGTGCCCAGCGTAGTTGGTCCTTGTATTGTTTGCCTGAAGGTGAGTGTCTATTCCATGTTGCTTACACTTCTGAACATCTGCCAGAGCTGTCTTCGGGACAGCGGATCCCTTCTTTCGTCCAGCCTTCTTCGGAGCAACATTTGGAGGCTGTGAAGTTTTTGCGGACCCCTTTGTCAGTCGCACCATGCTTTGCGGTAGATGAAGCTAGTGCGTCGAGCTAGTTCGAAACGAGCTCATCTTCAGGGGCCTGTAACTAGTTTTTCATGTCACTATTTCACATTTCACACCTTTCAATTTACGAGACTGAAAAAACTTCAACATTCATTCGTGCTAGACAGACTACAGGCTAATATACGACGGCACTACTCCTGGTGCCATGTGATCAAGAATCTTTGTTGGAACATGAATGAACATGTCAGAGAATTCACCTTGGGCTGCATGTCCCAGAGTGTGGCATGCCAACTGCTGGCAGTTGAATTTGATGCTATACACGTCTATGTCGCGCCGCAATGCCATAAGTGTTGATCGAGCAATCACTTTGAACTGTGGGTGAAGCTCGGTCCTGTCCTGTCAAGCATCGGGGAAGCTAAAAGACTAGTTAGTGGCTGTCAACATGCAGTGAGCTGCTTACCTTGCAGAAGGTGCGAAGACAGGTACCCTCCCACACACCACCATACATCTTCTCGATAATGGCACTATCATCCCAGCCCAGTTGCTGCCTACAGAAGTCTGCAAGAGCCGCGAGATCTGGCTGGCAGGAAGACACATCCCATGACGGTGCCTTTCGGGTGGCTGAAAAGGACGTGAGAGGATGCACGTACTTGCTGATCACCGCACGCTGTGGGAAATCATCTGGGATATGGTCCGCGACTGCCTTGTACCTGCGTTGGAGGAAATGGTGAGGGTCGTGGGCGAGCAATGAATATAGTTCCTTCACGAGGTCCTTGGCACGCTCAGAAAAATCCTCTGGTGCCATTGACAGGAATGCGTGAAGCATAGCCTCGCCAATTCTGCTATGCAGAGCAACCTTGTGCGTGATCTCGATGCCGCAGCCAGGCACACCTCCTGTCATAATCTCCGCCCATCAGCAGGGCAATGAGCAGCCGATCTCCTCGAGTTAAGGAGGCACCATGCTCGAGCCCATCCTCTGTATACAGCTGAATGTTGAGGTAGTCCTTGTCTTTTCTCGCACTGCAAAGAGTCAATGGTAGAAAGTTTAAAGGTAAGATGATGCTTACGGTCTAATGATACAAGGAGCTCCGAAGATCAAAACATCGCTATCTTCAGTTATCACGGCGTCAATGACACCATGAGAATTCATGGCAGTGAGCTCAGCCTCAGCTTCGCTCGGGGCCTGGGCAGTGGTGAGACAACGGCATCGCGAGGTGAGAGGTGAGCAAAGCATACCTCGGTTGACTGAAACCCAAATAGCTCAACCATCCGCTGAAAGTCACGCGTGAGCCAGTGGGGGCTGTTTCTGGCCTTGCGACCCTTATCTGGCAGGCAGGTCAAGGCCATCGAAGACAAATATGGCGTGCAGGGGCAGCTTGAGTAGGTTGTCCCAGTCGAAAAAACAAGGTCCGCAGCTCTGGCGACTTTCCCGCTCCTGCGTGATTGATCCGAAAGATGGCACACACACTGTGCATCCAAGAACTGTCAATACGAGTCAGTTGATGAGCCAGGTGAAAGACGACAAAGGTACCTAGCATCGATCCCAACCCTGAGCAGCTTGAGCCTGCAGTCACCGTGAATTACTTCGGTCTTCAGTTCTGATGCTGCAAGCTCTTTGAGTGTTCGGTTCTCGGCAGACGAAGCAACTCGCTGCAGAAATTATCAGCACCATCAACACAGCTCCAAAGTCATTCAGCTCACCTCCCACAGCCCAGGAATTCCCATGTTGAGTAGTGATGGTAGCGGAAGAGGACGGAAAATCTTGAAAGGGGTTGACCAAACCATCTTAGAGGGGCCAGATGATGTCAGCAGACCACTGCAGAAAGCAGCCTCGTTGGCTATCCGCTGCACGCCTGTCCAAAATAATCAGACGAAGCCTACTAGAGAGATAGTATCTACTCACAAAGTTTTGCTTGACATCTGGTCGGTCTTGGCATTTGTGTGGTTGACGTTTGCCTTTGAGTAGTCTGAGACACGCCCGTACATTTTCTTCGTTGCCCAGCGACACCAGCAAGTGGTCTGCGACGAACTCGATGTACTAGCACATGAGCCAGTGTGCATACCCTCATCGCGGCTGATGAACTCATTGGAGAACATGAGACCAGGCATCAGACCGTGTGCCTTCAGCCCGAAGATGGTCGTGAAGGAGCCAGCGAAGAAGATGCCTTCGACGGCAGCGAATGCGACCAAGCGCTCACCAAAGGTGGAACGCTGAGCAGAATCCTTGATGTAAGTGTCAATGAGGAGTGAGTAGGTCTCCATCATGATTTGGAAGCCATAGAAGCACCAGACCACAGCAGCCTGGACCTCATTGGAGAAACGTTCGATGAGGTTTTCATTCACAATGCCGTCGGATGCAGCGAAGAAGGCGAGAGAGCGGGAGACAAAGCGACGTTCATTGATAAAAACAGGAAGGGTGTCGCTGTCTAATGGCTTGGTTGGCGAGTCTAGTGAGATAGGTGCCAAGGCTGCAGCAGCCTAATGATTCAGGGCAAAGTTAGCTGGAACAACACAGTTAAGGTGAAAATGCGCGAACCTTATTGCCTGGTGTTGGAGCAGGTGATAGTACACGAACTGGTGCAAGAGTGGAAACCATTGGAAGTATGAGAGAGTAGGGCAGAGCCGCTGCTGTGCGGATCTGATGGGTGGTACGAGTGGGAGAGCAGTGCCGCGAGGAAAATTTCGTGAACGTTCGCCTTGTCAATCTTGGAGTCCCGGAGGACCTTCTCGATGGGCTTGAGCGTGCTGTAGAACAGGTCCGCGGACAGCTCCTCGAAACGGGCACGAGTGAGGGAAATGTAGAAGTCATGCCGCCAAAGAGGGAGTCAATCTCAATGGAAGTCTGGGTTGCTGACGACAGGGTACGCTTGGCACGCTCGCAAGCAGTCCTTATACGACGGAGAGCACGAGGGTTGGAGGAGAGATCTACATCGATGTAATTAGCACCTAGATTAACAAACAAGTAGACTAGACTTACCCTTCTTGTGCTTGTGCTTGAATTCTTGCGCGAAGTGGTTGATGAGACGGTTGTCGAAATACTCACCACCCAAGTGAGTGTCACCAGCAGTGGCCTTCACCTCGAAGATACCCTCCTCAATGGTCAAGAGGGAGACATCAAAGGTTCCGCCTCCAAGATCGAAATTGAGGACGTTGCAGCACCGATAACTTTCTTGTCGAGACCATAGGCAATGGCAGCAATGGTCACGGTGGGCTCGTTGATGAAGCGCCCGCCGCACCAAAGGGAGTTGCTAGGCGAATAGGGCAGAGCTGCTGTTGCGCAGATCTGATGGGTGGTGTGAGTGGAAGTGCAGTAGTCCAGAGGCCCTTTGAAATGTGAGCACTGAGAAGCATGAAGTAAAAAAAATAACATACAGTAGTACTTCTTCTCCAGGGGAGGTGTTGTTGTTGTGTTGTTGGCAGCATTCACCTCCAGCGTTGCGCACGGCAGTGACAAAGGTTCAGAGTGGAGGAAAGCTGTGTCACGTGACTGGAACACAGCCGCACCTGTTTATGGCAACTGTGTAGGATGAGTTCGAGGGAGAGAAGGAGAAGGTAGAGATGAGACCTAGTGAGTGTGAGTACTTGCCATACATTAATGTAAAGTCCAGTAAAGTGTGATTTTGAGTCAGTAAAGTGAGGAAAGTGCGGGACAGCGAGAAATACACGGTAAATTTTGTAAATTTTGTAAATTCCGAACTTCTGGGCAGGCTCCCTCCCATGCGGATGTGCCCGGCGCCACGTACTTGTAAATTTACATGCAAGCTCCCTCAAATCTATCATTTTTTTTTCATTCACATATGCTTGCCTATGTTTTACGAGTGTGGTTTTTCGTGTTTCCGCTCTGGTTTTACTTAGCATTTCTCATAGACTGTAGATAGTACTGCCTCTAGATCTAACTAATAATTTTATGCATGAAGATCAACGCCAAACTTAACTTGGAGGTATCAGTCCTTCTGAGGTCTAACGGAGAAGCTCAACAGCGCTCCATTCATGGTCATGGGTATGTAACTTCCTTTTTTCTGCCGAGACTCATTGAAGGCTGTTACCTTGCTTGACTATGAATGTCACGTGACCCGTTCCAGAACGGATCTCCTTATATGGTGTTTCCTCGCGCCCTGCAATATCTTATGTTTTGATTCGTATATTTTTCATTTCTATACAACTAGCGTCTACTTTGTAACTCCTTGAGTTTAATGTTTGGGTCAAGCAAGGTTTCTGTCGATGCAGGCGGCAATTCTCGAGTTCATCTTGCGCTAGAATAAGGTGTCACGTGACTTTTTGGATTCCTGTTTTTTTATAGAACGAATCTCAGACGAATCCCCTTTACAGAATTTACGTTAGCTAATCGTGAATTTTTCCAGATATCCCGACTTTAGAGCATCGGAACTTAAATCGCTTCGCTCCTGTGCTTCAGTTGCGAAAATTGTGAACGCGGTCATAGCATGGATGACCTCAATGTCTGGACGATCTGTTGGGAATGCAGAGGTGGAGTGATCCTGGGGCCGTAATGCCAAGAACACCGGAAACATCAAGAAATCTGGTAAGCTCTTGAACTCCTGAATCACTCGAAAAGCTGGCGGTAAAGGCACTGGTAATTGTGGGATGATTGTGCATTCGCTGATCGTGTCCAATGTGTTCGAGAAGTCTTCCATTGTTACCCAGACCGACGCCGCAGGGGTCAATTGCCATGCTTGCCCATGGGGGTTCTGGAGCCACTCTCGCCCGCTCTGGGTCTGGAGCCACTCTCGTCCGCCCTTGGTCTGAAGCCACTCTCGCCCGCTCGGGGTCAGCAGCCAATCTTTCCCGGCATGCGTCTGCAGCCATTCTTGACCATTCTTGGTCTGCAACCCATCTGGGGTATGCAGCCACTCTCTCCCGCCCGGAGAATAAAGCCATTTTCGCCCTTCTGCGGTCAGGAGCCACTCTTCCCCGCTCTGGGTCCGCAACCACTCTCGCCCGCTCTGGGTCAACAGCCACTCTCGCCCGTGCCAAGTCCGCAGCCAATCTTTCCCGGCCTGCAGCCAATCTTTCCCGTTCTGCGTCTGCAACCACTCTCGCCCACTCTGGGTCAACAGCCACTTTTGCCCGTGCCAAGTCCGCAGCCAATCTTTCCCGTTCTGCGTCTGCATCCACTCTCGTCCACTCTGGGTCTGCATCCAATCTTTCCCAGCCTGCGTCTGCAGCCACTGTTGTCCATTCCGGGCCTGCAACCAATTGTTCCCATCCTGCGTCTGCAACCACTCTCGTCCACTCTGGGTCTGCATCCAATCTTTCCCATCCTGCATCTGCAGCCAATCTTTCCCCTTCTGCGTCTGCAACCACTCTCGTCCACTCTGGGTCTGCACCCAATCTTGCCCATCCTGCGTCTTCAACCACTCTCGTCCACTCAGCTGGGTCTGCACCCAATCTTTCCCATCCTGTGTCTGCATCCACTCTCGTCCACTCTGGGTCTGCAGCCAATCTTTCCCATCCCGCGTCTGCATCCACTCTCGTCCACTCTGTGTCTGCAGCCAATATTTCCCGTTCTGCGTCTGCATCCACTCTTGTCTACCCTGTGTCTGCAGCCAATTTTTCCCGTTCTGCGTCTGCAACCACTCTCGTCCACTCTGGGTCTGCATCCAATCTTTCCCAGCCTGCGTCTGCAGCCACTGTTGTCCATTCCGGGCCTGCAACCAATTGTTCCCAGTCTGCGTCTGCAACCATTCTTGTCCACTCTGTGTCTGTACCCAATCTTTCCCGGCCTGCGTCTGCAACCACATGTGTCCACTCTGGGTCTTCAGCCACACTTCCCCAGCCTGGGTCAGCAGCCATTCGCGTCCGCTCGGAGTCTTCAGCCAGCTGTTCCCTATCTGAGCCAGTGATAGCTTCTCAAGGCCTTCATATAACTCCTCCTTCCATGTCTGAATCTTCAGCCACTCTCGCCCACTGCTAGTCTCCAGCCACTCTCGCCCAATATTGGTTTCCAGCCACTCTTGCCCAGTATGGGTTGCCAGCCACTCTAGGCTAGTAGTCCTGGTCCCCAGCCACTTTTGCCCAGTAATGGTCCCCAGCCACTCTCGCCCACATCTGGTCCCCAGCCACTCTCGCCCACATCTGGTCTCCAGCCACTCTAGCCCAGTAATGGTCCCCAGCCACTCTCGCCCATTAATGGACCTCAGCCACTCTCGCCCAGTATTGTTCCTTAGCCACTCCCGCCCACCGCCGGTCCCCAACCACTCCCGCCCGCTGCTGGTCGCCAGCCACTCTTGTCCCCTCCGGGTTAGTAGCCACTCTCGGCCACCTGGGGTCTGTTGCAGCCACGCTCCCCCGGTCTGGGTCTTCAGCCACGCCTCCCCGCATCGACTCTGCAACCACTCTCCCCCAGTTTGTGTATGCAGCCACTCTCCCCCGGTCTGGGTCAGCAGCCATTCTTGTCCACTCGGAGTCTCCAGCCAGCCTTGCCCACTGATCGTCTCTCGCCAGTCTTTCCCACTCCAAGTCTCCAGTGACATTTGCTCGTCGGGGTCTCCGACGACTTCTCGCCATCTCCGAGTCCATAGCCACCCTCGCCCGCTCTTTAGCCACTCTTGTCCTCTCTCAGTCTGCAACCAAACGTCCCCCGCGTAGGTCTCCAGCCAACGCCTCCCGCCCTGGGTCTCCAGCCAGTCTTCCCCCCTCTGTGTCCGCAGATAGTCATTCCCGCCTTGGGTCTGTAGCCATGCACGTCCGTCCAAAGTCTCTAGCCAGGACCGCAAACCTGACCTGCGAGCTCCTCGAAGCCATAACAGACCCACAAGAACGTTCAGTGGCTCTGGTGGCTCGACGACGAAGGCTAATGATTGTTGTAAGCTCTTGGGGTCATCGGTTTGCATAGCTTGGTTGTGCCCCTGCAATTCTGAGAGCGCGTCAAAGAGGGCTGTGCTTTTTGGAATGTCTCGCGCCATCAAGCGGAAACAAGATTCAGCGAGTAAGGAGTGTGGCGACGTTATAGATTGCTGCGACTGTACTTGTGGAACTTTGCAATTCGAGAGGTCCGAAACATAGTCACGAACAGACGAGTGATAGATATTCAAAGGGAGACTGCTGTCTGTAGGAATATCCATGACAGATCGTAGCTGTACTAGTGTCGTCACAACATCCTTTCCCTGGCCAGGCCCAAGAAGTTTTGATATCTGTGAGATCGACAGAGGGTCGGCAAGGGCTGCGACAATGGACAAGCAGAGGTACGCCCGCATGGGGTCTGCGCATGTGGAAAGAATCCGATCATATAATTCGTACACCTCCGTTCCTGGCAACAGTTCACTAGTGAGCGAGAGCAAGAGCTCAAGCCGATCCCAGGGATCATTGTATCCATCGTCGATGAACTTCATCATTGTAGATGCCACGATGAAACGCCTGCCCGCTCGGCTCGCCAGTCGCGCAAGTTCATCCGCCGTTGGCTGCGGAAAATCGGGATGGCGACTCTGCAACTCTGTAAAGGAATGCTGCAAAAATATGTATATGTCGTTGTCGACATCTGCGCCGTCTAACGATATGGTGGCAGCAACGCCCTCCCCAGAGGTGTTCACCGGTATCTCGTACACCAGCGGCTGCATCTCGTCTTTTTGAATAGCTTTACGGATATGCTCCTCTGAGCGACTCGTGAGGAGAATGTGGATCACGGGAAGATCAGGATCACGAAGGACTTGGCCAAGCAGGAAGATGAGATCAGCGACAGTTTCGGGCTTGCATTCATCGAGGGCATCAACAACAAACACGGGAGGCAAACATTCGCGTTGTCTGTACTCAAGGTGCCAGAGAGGTTGCCGAAATAATGCCATCATTTGGTCGCGAAGAGATTGGCCGGGGTTTAGAACCAACGGATTCTCGTGGATAGCTCTGGTCACGTGTTTGCGGATGCTGGGGAAATTTCTCGCTAGCTGGTAGGCAAGCGTCGCAAATAAATGCCCAGTCGTGCTGCGGTTCGTATGCTTGCGCGAGAAAAAGAATGTCCCCGCGAGCCGTGTTTCGATATTCGTTTCCTTTGTCACTTTTAGATCTCTCATCCTTTCAGCTACAGTGAACGCAACAGCAGACTTTCCGACACCTGCCGTTCCATGCAGCCAAATGAGTCGACTCTTCTTTTGGTCATCTAATAATCCATAGATGCATTTGAGAAGGTCCTGCCGGGTCCCTTCCAAACATTTTGGATGGGGCTGGCGTTCGGGAGAGTCAAATGCAGCGCCTGGGACAGCGACCCGGGCCAACTTCTCCCAAGGTCCTTCAGACGATTGAGGAACTGGCAATTAGGTCAGAGACCGTGAAAGGAGATAAAGAAGAAGATACTAACACTGATCCCAATCACTCATCGACAGAGATAAGTGTGAGGTAGAATGTGATCAAGGAAGCACTGGTTGGGTTCAAACGGTCAGAAATTGAATTGACAGTAACTATACAGAAGGACAACATACAACAACGTGAACTGAAGAATCAAAGTCTATGATCTTGTGTCTTTTTTTCGAGTTTAGAGTAAGTTGTGAAAAGCCTCAGGCTGTGAAATGATATTTAGGCAACGAAACGATCGGATGATAGAAATAGTTAGGGTTGAAGGATGCTTGCGATAGAACGAATAGATACGGTCGCAGTGCTATTCGAAGCTTGTTGGATGGTGGTGGAATGCAGTAGAAGGACGGGCGGGCGCTTGGCTGATTGTGCGGACCTTGAAGGACAACACTGGCTGTGTGGTCTACTGCCACGCTGAGTTCACACACGCATACATTGTCCAACGCGTCTTCCATCCTCGGCGCCAGCCACATACATCAGTAAGAGACGCACCTTTTTTCTGACTGAATCCTTTTTTGGGTGGACTCGGAACGGTAAGCACTACCGGCAACTGACAAAGTCAGCCCCGAGGAGGCACGTTGGTTTTACAGGGTTGCACCCGTGAAGGTTAAGGAAGATTTATACACCAGGGGGAAACACTTTCAAGTTATGTACGTCGTGATAATGGACAGTGTGGGACTCTTCAAAGCTTCACCTCCCGTTAATTACCAACGGTTACGGCCCGGAGGTCGCCGAGGCAAAATTCTGACAGAACAACTGCTATAGAATTTCCGAAACGTATCAAAACCGCCTGGGCTACAACTCTAATTATCTATTATCTAGATCAGAATGTTCAGCCTGCGGATTTTGTAGTTCGCTGTGAGGTTGGGTTAGTTGGATGAAACTAACCGAGGGTCATAAACTCACCTTCAAGCGATGGCCTCGGCGCTACCGTCCTCGCCAACCAGCCTGGACCATTGCAGAGACTCGATTTCACCATATACGATACACAACGTAGCAAAGTACGATACTGTAAGTAATGTCTACCATAGGGCCCTGCCCCACAGGACAATAAACAAGGATTTTAAAATGGCCTTGGAATCGCTCAGCCTGTCATATGGACATGGTGCTGGCAAATTTTCGTCTAGTAAGAAGTACTGCTTGGACTCCCGCGATCCGTGTTCGCCGTAGTTTTTCAGTTCAGGACTGACAGGGATCGAATCGTACTTGGCGAGAAGAGCACGGACTTTTGCAAGCGCGCCAACGCGCTTTGCACTAGTGCTGAAGAGGATGTCGAAAATCCATCTCGGCTGGAAGACGATGGTCACGCCCTGCGCATAACGCGTGCGCCTGGCCTGGTGAGCCGGAGTTTGGATAACGCGTTGATAATCAACGGTTGCGGCCTGGAGGTCGCCACCTGGAGCAGACGGAGGCAAGGCCGGTGCACGTAGAGCAAATGGAAATATATACAACAGCAACAACAGTTTGGACAGCATGGCGGCTGCACGCGTGGGTTTCTGGAGTAAGATAAACAGGTGGAAGAACGGCCGGGGATCACTGGCTTCATTTTATGAACGAACCGAACACTTTTTTTTACTTGGGTTTGAGCCGAATACGAGCCGGGCAAATCCATAGCTGCTGGAGCGCCAGTGTTAGCGCCGATCCAACGGCCACAACTTCAAGTTGAACGTCGAGCACTCTCGAGATTCTGACACTAGGTCGTTGGCATTAAACTCGCTGCATATCATGCAACGATCCTTGACAGATCTATAGCGGACCGCCTGAACCGGGCTAAATAGTCATATGATATTCAAATAAACGCCCAAACCAAAAGCGCTAGCCTAGCCAGGTGCTTGGTCTTTTTTTCCATCAATCCCTCATCAAAGTTACTAGGCGCCCAAATACATCACTCCTCGTCCCCCGGGGCCCGGACCCAATGTCAGCAGAGCAAACCAAAATGCGTAAGGGTTAATACAGTGCGAACAACCGCGAACGAACAATGACGCCTTTTACAGGAGACCCAACTACAAGTACACATATCCCTCTCCCAAGCGAAGAAAATGTAGGTGTAAATTTCACACCCTCCCTATTATCTGTTTCTTCTTCTGCGAACAATATCAACTCACACAACTTTCAGATACCGGCGAATTATTTCGACACGTCGTACCAATACATGACCATGGACCGACCTGACATTCCCCGGAACTTTGCAGCTGCAATCGATGCGCGCAACGCAGCACTCAATTTAAATCTCAACTTTGCACCCAACAGACGACGTCCAAATGTCAATGACCACTCGAGCCCACTTGCATCTTATAATCCTCGAACAACATTGTCGCATACACTTTCTACCCTGTCAGCAACAGAGGAACAGGCTACCCCAGAGTCACCAAGTTCTATGTCAGATTCGCCTCAAGATCTTACTCATGAACTTCAGGGAAGATCGCGCTATCCGATGGCTTCCGGAGGCTTTGGAGACATCTGGAAGTGTGATTTAGTGAGGCCCGACGGGGCCATCCAGGTATGCCCAGCTTGTTGCACTTCCTTTGCGTTATTCTGACCATGATGTAGGTGGCAGTGAAGACCATTCATGCGTTTGAATCGGAGAACGAGGTCTCGATGCGAAAGAATGCAAAGGTAACATCCCCATGTGTGTCAATTTTTCCGATGATGACTTGGTTTAGAGAGTGCGTCGTGAACTGAAAGTTTGGGGCCGTCTCAAACATGATAAGATTCTTCCGCTCTGGGGAGTGGCAAATGACTTCGGGCCCTACCCTGCAATGATTTGCCCATGGGCCGATAATGGAGCTCTCACGGGCTTTCTTGAACGCCAACAAGACAAGTTGTCGTCTCAAGATAAGTTCTTGCTCGTAAGCCTCTTCTTGCGAGTATTTTCAAACACTTGTTAACCTATCAAACATCAGCTGAATGACATCGCCCTTGGGTTGCAATACCGTAAGTCGTCTTTCACTGCGCCCCAGCTTTCAAACTCTCATGCTGGTTCAGTCCACAGCAAATCAGTTGTCCACGGTGACCTGACAGGAGTACGTACCGCCACAGAGAAGGTGTATTCCTGATTACTCACGTCTCGACCATTCAGTCAAACATCTTGATCTATGGCAACGGTCGGGCATGCCTTGCTGATTTTGGTCTCTCCACTATCATCCTGGAGTTCATTGGTAACTCCTATTTTACGAGCTCCATCCGAGGGAATATCCGATGGGTGGCTGCAGAGTTATTTGACGCACCAGAGGGCTATGAAATCTCGCTTAGCACGGAGTGCGACATATACTCATTTGGCAGTATCATCTTGCAGGTCAGAAACTTTGATTCTCGACCAAATTATCTCGTTCACTTTGCGTGTGCTCTAGGTATTGACCTGCAAGGTACCCTACTATAGTGTGAAGAGGGATATTACGGTGTTGGGACAAGTCATCAAGGGTATAAAACCAGAGCCTCCCAAGGAATCGAGGATATCGCCCGGGCACTGGGAGTTCATACAGCGGTGTTGGTTGCCTCGCGCAAGTCGTCCACCGGTTGGAGAAATCGTAACATTTGTAGCATGTGAACGACAAGTTTTGTCGTCCTGCGTAGCTGTCCTCTGAATATTCACCATGACACATACCATGGTTTCGAATTTCAATTTCGAAGCCACATCATTTCCAATTCCCCATTAGGAAGGTACTGTAGTTTGAGTTGCTTATAATAATTCTGAGCTGAATGAGGGGCCATCATGCATGATAACCGAGCGACTCATGACCCCGGAGGCACTACCTAAGTCCCGCGATCCTTCTTTGTTGACGAATTACCGTAGTTTTCCTGGTAGCATATAGCACGAACTTTTCAAGTTGCTGTGTGGTAAATTATTATACTTCACCTCATAGTCTCTTAGGGTGAGTGAGACTAATAGTCAATGTCGGCTCGCACTAACATGGCTGGCAGCTTGACAGCTTCTCTGTCGTAGACCTTAGACTGGTAATATATAAATTGACCGGAGTCCAAGCCCTCGTCCATTGCAGGGGCATTCCCGAATTCCTGGACCCGTCAAATTTCTACTTGGATCCATTAATACTTTTCAGTGAAGTATTCGGCCGCGGGGACCTGGAATCTCGTATCAGTTACTTAAACCCACAAGTATAGGCGCCTTCCCTGGCAGATCAATATCCCAGTCGTGCCTGTGATTCCGCGCCATCTCTCGTACTAGGATCTGTATCTCACCCCATTCTATTCCACAACTCTTCCCAAAGCTCAGACATGTTCGTGTAATCATATTTCCTACAGTTCATGCTAATGGTTGGCAGACAGTATGGTAAAGGAGCAACAGGCAATTCTGGGCAGGACTGGAAGTGATCGCAAAAACAAAGCTGTTCATTCTTATTCGTCCTCCTCTCAACGCATTGCAGAGGTCTCAGAACTACACACTAATCACTCCGTTCCTCGCGATGCCGGCAAGGGTCGTGCTGGATCTATCGGAGTGGGGTCGTATAAGCCACCCTCCATGCCAAGGACAACTGTTGAGCGCCCAAAGCCTTCACCAACCATCGATGAACTAGAGGACGTGACTAGACAGCGATTTGCGAGCTCAGCCCTGGATGTTATTCGGGATAGCACCAGGCGAGAAGTGCGCGTTAAAGCGGATATTTACAACAGGCCTGAAGAATATGCCCAGGCGCCTCGTCCCTTCAACGTTGCTCGTCGTGGGGGCACAGCGGATGCTGGTCTCTCGTATCGCGTACCACCACTGCCCATCAGGAAACGCGATCACACTTTGGCTGTGGAACAGGAGCGAGACAGACAGAAACCATATGCCAACATTGATATCTCATCCCCCACCTCACCCTCACCCTCATCCTCATCAGTGACATACAGCCCAGGCCATACAGCCTATGCCAGTATGCCCCCACGTTCTGCTATTCTCGCCACCAAAAAATCGGTCTCGTTTGATAGCGATGAGTGGAGTCCCGAAAGTTGGAATGGTCCCTCGCGCCCGCCAGTTTCGCACGCACGCCCCGGCGTACCATTATCTTCTATCATGAGACCTATTGCCACCAAGAGATCGGTGTCGTTAAATGGTGGTGTTCAGTCTGGCCCCGTCCTCAATGATTGGAATAATCCGTCTGGCACGCAGGATTCATACACACACCGCGCAGTGCCCCTACCGTCTAGCAGCAGACCTGTCGCTACCAAGAAATCAGAGAAATCATTCTCTCTCGATAGTGGCGGCTTGCAGTCTAGCTTAGGTCGTGAGGGCTGGACTGGTCCGTCGCGCTGGCAGTCTGGAACCCGCTATGAGTCCTCGCGCTCTCCGGATACTCAGGAGGAAATCCCGCAGAGCTGGCAGTCATATAACGCCCATAATCAGCGCTCCTTGCTAGACAATCCTCATTATCCCGATCAGCTTACCGATATGCACCATAAGGTATCCGAGGGCGAGTATCATCAGGCCATCGACCGTTCGGGGGTTGATGCGCAGCGCAAAGAGCTCGAGATAAGAAGAAAAAAGGAGGAGGAAACCAAACGCAAAGAAGATGAAATCAAGCGGAAGGATGCGCTTGCGAAGAATAAACGAGACGAAGTTAAGAGGGAGGATGGCCCCGCAAGGCATGTGGAGAAATCAGCAAGGTGGTTTGGTGGGGAAGAAAGACGTCTAACGCAAGATCCAATGTTGCAGGAGGCGGGACGAAGGGAGAATGAAGTTAGACGCAAGGACGAGGAAGTTAGGCTCAAAGAAGAGGCGGCGCACGCTAAAGAGGAAGAGATCCGGAGGAAGGAGGAAGAACGCAGGCGATGGGAAGAGCTTAATTCGCTGGAAGATCTCACTAATGACGTCCAGGGGAGATTATCCTATCCAAGTGCTTCCGGAGGTTTTGGGGACATCTGGAAATGTGTTTTAGTCAAGTCCAACAGGGCCGTACAGGTACGCATAGTTTATGGCACTTCCCACGGTATCATCCTGACTGTGATGTAGGTGGCAGTGAAGACCATTCGTTCGTTCGAGTCGGATAACGAGGAATCGGTGCGGAAGAATGCGAAGGTAACATCCCCATGCGTATCAATTTTTCCGTTATTAACTCGGTTTAGAGAGTGCGTCGTGAGCTGACAATTTGGGGCCGTCTCAAACATGATAGGATTCTTCCACTCTGGGGAGTGGCAAACGACTTCGGGCCCTACCCCGCAATGATTTGCCCATGGGCCGATAATGGAGCTCTCACGGGCTTTCTTGAGCGCCAACAAGACCGGTTGTCGTATCAAGATAAGTTTTCGCTTGTAAGCTCCTTGCGAATATTTCCAAAGACTTGTTGACCTGTCAAATACCAGCTGAATGATATCGCTCTTGGATTGCAATACCGTAAGTCGCGTTTCCCTGCCAATTTTCAAACACTCATGCTGGTTCAGTACACAGCAAATCAGTTGTCCATGGTGATCTGACAGGGGTATGGACGGCCGCACGCACAATGTGTATTCCTCATTACTCATGTCCCAACTCTTCAGTCAAACGTCTTGATCAACGGACAGGGTCAGGCATGCCTTGCTGATTTCGGTCTCTCCACTATCATCGTAGAGTTCATCGGTACCTCCTATTTTACGAACTCTATCTGGGGTAATATTCGATGGGCAGCTACGGAGCTATACGAAGTACCGGACAATGCAACGCTCACCACCGAGTGCGACGTATACTCATTTGGCAGTATCATATTGCAGGTTAGTAACTTGAATTTTCCGCCATCAGTTTTTATTCACGTTGCACTTGCTCTAGGTATTGACCTCCAAGGTACCCTACTACAATGTGAAGAAAGACATTGCAGTGTTGGCTCAAGTCATCAAGGGTATGAAACCAGAGCCTCCCAAGGAATCGCGAATAGCACAGGGGCACTGGAACTTTATACAGCGATGTTGGCTGCCTCGTGCGAGTCGTCCATCAGCCGGAGAAATCGTAGCGTTTGTAGGATATGAACGACGAGCTCTGTCATTCTAAGCCCCTGAACAGACCAACAGAGATTTATGGAATTGGAATGTAACACTTCCCTACGATTTCTGCACACCCGTAAAGTAGTCTGAGGCAATTTGACAAGATCAAAAATGAAATGGGCAATTTCTAGGCTCCGGCCTCACCTAACTCAAGTGTGAACACCATAAAACATACGTTGCGCGGGGCATCATACGTGAAAATTTGTGATATTTCCTTACAGATTACAATAAGGCCCTCGAGGCCTCGGGCAACTAAAAAATCTTTCCAATCCTTCATCATGATATACCCATCCCCGGACCCGATACTAGTAGGGTTCAATCAAACACCCCCATTTCTTCATTTTATGAAGCCGAACCTATTTTCTACGAAAGAACAATTGGCATAACTCTTAGTTGAAACTTGGGAGCCTCGAGTGACGAGGATGCAGAGCGCAGGAGGGACAGGCCTTCTAAGCGTGCAAAAGTCGAGACTCGAGTTGCGGACCTCGACAAACGAGACAAGACCGAAACACTCTGACGAGAATTGGACAAAATGGATTTGCACAGATGATGATCTCCACGGAACGAGGCGAAGAGGACCCAACTCCGCTTCCAGGGGCGCGAGATCGGGCATGAACAACTGCTATAGAATTTCCGAAACGCACCAAAACCGCCTGGGCTACAACTCTAATCATATCTAGATCAGATGTTCAGCCTGCGGATACACCCAGCATCTGATTTCAAACCCCAAACTCGAACTAATATCATTTTATAACTCCTCATAAGGAAGGTGTCGTAGTTCGCTGTGAGGTGTTGGGTTAGTTGGATGAAACTAACTGAGGGCCATAAACTCACCTTCGAGCGATGGCCTGGAATCGCTCAGCCTGTCATACGGACACGGTGCTGGCAAATTTTCGTCTAGCAAGAAGTACTGATTGGACTCCCGCGATCCGTCTTCGCCGTAGTTTTTCAGTTCAGGACTGACAGGGATCGAATCGTACTTGGCTAAAAGAGCACGGACTTTTGCAAGCGCGCCAACGCGCTTTGCACTAGTGCTGAAGAGGATGTCGAAAATCCACTTCGGCTGGAAGACGATGGTCACGCCCTGCGCATAACGCGTGCGCCTGGCCTGGTGAGCCGGAGTTTGGATGACGCTAAATAATTGTTCTCCGCCAAAGCAGAGGCACCATCTGTCCGTGTCAATGTCGCGTGGAACATTTGATGGCCAGGGCTTCTTGTCTAGCTTGGCGAGACCATCTAGGAGTTTCCAGTACAGGGAATTGTACTCCTCCACCGATCTTGGGTTGTCGTTTTGCTTGGCAAGAAGAACAAGAGAGGTGTTGGGACCAAGCCCACGAGCTTGAGGAAGGTATGTAGAAAGTGCTTTTGCAAGAGAACGGATGTGCCGTGGGTTTGACAGGTCATCTGAGTCGATGAACACATAGAGTTGATCATCTGTTTTGAAGCCTTTTGTGGCGTATATGCAGGGGAAGATTGTATTTTCATCAAGAAGAACTGCTTTATAGTCTTCATAGGCGCGGCGCTGCCATGACTCTTCAGGAAATGTAGCAGTCACCTGCGCTCTGCGATGAATAACATGTAAGACTACGGCATTAAAGTGGCGCTCTTCCGTACCTTGTCATAGGATTCCCGTTTTGTTCATCGTGTTCGCCCCGAAACACAGCTCGAATAGGCCGCTATTCGTCGTTCGTCAGTTCTTCCATAGTTAGTGATCAAAGATATCTTATACAGACTGTAAGGGATGATGATTTATGACGAAGCGTCTTCAGTACACTTGGAGATTTTTCCGAGGCAGCATCAGCAAGAAGTATGAGCAGAACGCCCCCGATGACTGATGTAGCTAAAGAATAGGTGTCGAACATGATTGAAAGGTGGAGTGCTGAGGGAGATCTGGTTATGTTGGAAGAGATTACTTGGAGTGCTGAGGAAGGTCTGGTCATCCTGGACGAGCTTTATAGGTCTCAAATTTTGACTCTGACAAGACAAAAAAGACTGTATCGAGACCACGAGTGACGGAGTGACGTTGAACAGACAACTCACCATGGTGTTCCCATACAAGGAACCTGCAATGTTTGGGTATCACCAAAACCCGGACTGATGAGAGTATTGATTGGCAGTGGTAGTTAGCAGATCTGTCAATCAGGATGCAGTGGGGTGCTTCCATTTCAACGGAACCCGCGATATTTGGACATCATCAAGATCGCCGGGTTGGTGAGTACAGCAGTGGCTAGATCCTCTTCTGTGAAATTGTTTTAGATACGATTTGCAGTTCTGCAAGGTATGTTTTAGTCGTGATAAATGGTGAATCACGCACTATATATATCTAGCACGCACTGCCAGGCTGACGTCTGGCATTCATTCACTGAAAACACCTACCTGTTTTTAAAGTGAATTCCAGTACGTTGGCTCGCTGGGTGCAAGCAATCCAGAGAGCATTTCATTCTGCTCACGCACGGAGCAACGATCCGAGAAGAACATATCACAGACGGCAAGGAATTGGCGCGTTCATCGTGGCTTTACGGCGTCAGTCCAGCACATGTACATCATGATATCCATTTCAGATCTTGGGATGAGAAAATTGCCACCGCGATCTCCTTCTTGATTGATCTATGCTAACAGCTTTGTGGAAGAGTACTTATAGAGTCTCGGCAACTCATTGCACCCCAGAATCCAGATGCCGGATCGTTTTGACGTCGCAACTGTGACATATATTTGAATGTCATCTGACATCGCCTGCTCGTACCTCTGTTGGTCGCGCTTGCTCTACGTGGCATCCTCTGATCCTCTGATTCCGCTGATTCCAACAACCTGCAGGCAGGCAGCTGCCAGTGTGAACGATGCATCAACAAATTGAAAGAGCAGTGTGGGGGAGTCAAGTTGAACACCGAACTGTTGCCGAACTGGAATCATCATGTGTTCAAGTTGATTACATAATATGTTTAGTTGTCCCAACCGTGACTCAAACTTTATTTGGACCGCTCTCAGAATCTCAGATAGCTAGTCCAATACAAACACCTCAATATTAATGGTGTTCTTGTCCTGTTGGTAAGTACTTAGACTCACGAGTCACACGCACACACGTCGAGGCTGGACCCAATGTTACGCTCGTGCCGGAATTCTCACTTTTTAGTACTTGGTGGTCGCGGTGGCCACCTGATTTTCCTTCCAAGTCGCTGTTTGAAATGAGCGTCACGATCCGCACCCGCACGGAAGTTTCTAAACGTGGCGCCTTCGGTGGCCAATACACTCGTCGGAAACTTCCGATACAAGCCTGAGTCTTCTGCGCAGGTCACGCAGACCGACTGTTTCCTGGATCGTCGGATATTCTTTGAGGCCTGGCACTTTTGAGTTTTAGCGCTCGTGGGCCCGGGTGCAACCGCATCACTCCACCCACCTTTAAAGTTTCGTAACGTTTCTCGTCGATGCTGGTCCTGGGACCCGTATGACTCACAGCCACAGACATAATAGACTTTGGCAGGAATAAATTACGTGGGATGTCTGCATCTTCACAACGCAACAACGCAGGCGCTGCTACGATCGTGGTTTTTCAAAGTCCTGTTTGCTGCAACGTCATTTAGATGCAGGTAAGTTCGAGTCATCCCACTTTACGTGGAAGTCAAGCTCGTCTGGCCGTGGTCGCTGATTTCGCAATACTATGTGCAGAACTTGAAGTGCCTCTTGACGCGGTATTAAAAGCTTCATTTTCTCTTTGATTCCACTTGAATTCTATGTATACATCGACGCCCAAATACCTTTAAATGTTTGCCGTGTACCACCCGGGCACCTTGAGATTTTACCTGTAGATATCTCATCTTTCCAACATTCCTCTGATCACCTCTTTGCAAATTCAACTGTGTCTTTCCATACATTCTCCACGAGACTCGACGAAAGCCAAAACGTATCCCTGCACCCTTTTGGAACTTTTGTGAAGCCTCCCTATGATGTCTCCGCGAACAAAACAATGCCAATCGACTCAGCGTCATGTTTGTTTGCACCACTGGAGTCAGCTCTTCTGCCCAGCCGGTGGCATAACTCCAACAGAAATGACGTATGTCATGGCCCTGGTTATATATAAAATTTGACCAATGTCCAAATTCATTTGACAAGTCGTCTTTAAGACCTCGTATTTTCTAGAGAAACCCCTGAAAATGCCCACCACTGTTTCATCCACCCGTAATGTCATCTTGTATTTCGTTGCAATGTACGTCTATTATTCTTTCTTTTCAGTTGTCATCCTGATATTACTGGCACGCCCAGAGTCCTCCCGCCAGTAGCCGTATTTTTCAGTAAGTCTAAGACCCTTTCGTGCCTCCTACTCAATAATGGCGACAATGGTAGAACGTGGATGTGCTGCAGGTAAATATTAATAGTCTTGTCACCGTTGCAATCAAGTGATGCATACCATCAGACTTTTGGATTAACATCTGTCTCACGATCTTGGGTTGGATACCTGGAGTCTTGCATGCATGGTATGTTAGCTCGCGTCTCTGCAGTCGGATTATTCGCTCAGACGGCATCCTAGGTATCTCATTTCTCGGAGCGAGGGAGCAATGTAATGACGTCATGATGTCATTGGAGTTATACAGTTCCAGTGCACCCCGTTACCGGTACGTGGCGCAACAGACCTCCTGTAATCTATGTGTTTCACACCTCGCAATCAGCTCTCAAACCATGTACAGAGAGCAGACACGGCATCGGATGCGGACACAATGCTTGATGCATCAATTATCATCAGGAAAGTTGGGGAGGGGGAGGGGGTTGAATTGAGTAGAGACTGCAACAATATATGATGAGTTTCCAGTCATCTGATCAAAAATTTGATAGCCATGCGCGGGTTATCAATCCGCAAAGCTACGTAATTCCCTGAGGTTGGACCAGATCACGGTAAAGGTCTGCCGGCATATCCCGGGCTGCCCGGCGGACCGGCCACGTAAGCAGCGGAGATCACCTCAACATCGTCACGGTCTTGCATGTTTTCTCTTCCACCAGTTGCAAAGCACCGCATCATGATAAACTATGAACGGCCTTGGATCTTGGCGTCTCTTAGTAGTCCTAGGCTTAGATCTGGCGAGTACAACAATATCATATGCCAAACTCGGGGAGCAAATTAAAGGTGGGACCTTCCTACCAGTTTGGCTCGTTTGCCTAGTCCGCGAGCTTGCGCGTGATAAACTCGGGATAGTAATCGCATCATGAGATCATGTGCGCATATGCTGTATTCTGGATAGAGCTGCGGCTGGATGTAATTCATGCCTTGCATGACCCAAACCATAGCTAGAGACCAAAAGGTGCGTACTAAGAGTCCCTATACTTGAGACTCAGTTGATTCTAAACTTCATGATTAGATCTATCATATCCCCGCATCAGTTTAGTTCATGTCGTCGTCGTCCATTAATGTAATCACTGATTTGGCTCTCGTTCTTGCACAGTCCTTTTTAGCAGGTACCCACCGACTCCTCATTGGCAGTCCTTCACCAGCTAGCCACTATAATCCAGTATACACCTACTTTGCTTGGTCACTCATGCATAATGACGACCTTGGTTCTCAATTCCATTGAATCCTCGACCACCACATCCGCCGCCTATTTTGAGCCTGACGAAAAATGGAAGAGTGGCCTCAAAGTCGATATCGAGAACAACTTGCGCTCCATGGTCACCGAGGCCAAGCAGAATCTCAACGATACATCGACGAAAGCCCCAGTCAGTACTTTCGAGCGCGAGCGATTGACCGAGGTTGCCCCAATAAAGAGCATCCGTAATGTTGCCGAGGAGCAGTTCCGTATTCCACTAGAATGTGAGATCAAGGTCAAAACTGCTCAGTCTTCTTCTTCCTTGCAGTCTTCTGCGAATACTTCAGAGCCACGTACTTTTGGTCCCACACCCGAACATGCTACCTGGCCTCCGCAAGAGCTCTCAGAGGTTAAGCACGATCTCTCTCGTTTAGCCAGCCGAGAGCGTGAACATGTACCTCGCGATACCAACAAGGGTCGTGCAAGCATCGCAATGGGATCATCCACGTCGGATATGGCAGACAGAGGTTTTGAGCGCCCAAAGCATTCGCCCTCCATCGATAAACTAGATGACGCGCCCAGGTTCGCGCGTTCAGCTATGGATGCTCATGAGAGGGGACTCTTTTGGCCAGCGAGTCATTCCAGCAGACCTGTCCTCCCAGAGTCCTGGCTCCCGTCAACGCCTGAAGAAGATACCCCGATGTCTCATACCTTCACCAATATTGCGCGAAGGGGGAGTGCGGCGAGCGCTAGCTCTTTTTGGGCACCATCAGTGCTCAACATCCCGTCTTCTACCGACCCGCATGATGTGACTACTGATACGAAGGAGAGGGGGAGAGATCGTATTTCGGCCATGGAACAAGAGTGGAGTGCCATTTATAGAGCTCGGGATAGACGGCGAACCGCGTCGTACACCCATACTGAAGCCCAAACCAGCTCCTCTACCTTTGAGCGGCTGGACGAGCGTAACCCACCACCACCTTTATCCTATTCAGTGGCACCTAGCCCGTACACCGCAGTCCCCGCCGCCAGATACTCTTGCTCCTCGGGCAGCCTGAGCTCTACAGTCCCCACGGGTTACTCTAACTCTTCAGACAGCCCAAGTTCTACGGTCCCCACCGGATATTCTTACTCCCTCCCGTCCTCGCAGGTACCCCTACCGTCTGCCAGCAGACCTATCGCCATCAAGAAATTGTTCTCATTGGACGATGACAGCTTTCAATCCAGCCCGAGTCCCAAAGACTGGGATGTTCCATCACGCTCGCCGTACGAACCCTACCATGAGTTCCCGGATTCTCCACAGACGCCGGATGAACTCCCGCGGAGCTGGCCGTCATCCAGCTTCCGTACTCGACTCTCCTCGCAAGACATGCGCTACGGGCTCTATCACACTCAGCATGTCCATATGTATGATGGTGTCCATGACGATTTTGACTGGTGTGAGTATGATGAGCGCAGTATTCGCCAGAGAGAAGAGAGCTTCCGGAGGAGAGAGGAAGAAATTTCTTTGCGGGAGCAAGAATTAAAGAGGAGAGAGGATGTTATACGGGAGGAGGAGGTTAAGCAGAAAGAGCGCGAGGAGAAGGAAGCCAAACGCGTGGATGATGAAATCATGTGCAAAGAGCTCGATATCATAAACCAGGAGGAGGGGGCAAAAACGAGGGAGGCGGGAACCGAACATGAAGGAGCAGGAACCAAGTTGAAGGAGAAGCATACGAAGACTGAAGGGAAGAAAGCCGAGATGAAGGAGGTACAGGACAAGAGAAGGGTGGAAGACCTCAGGCAACGTGAAGAGCCAGCAGCGAGGCGTTTAGTCGAGGAAGATATTCGTATGACACGAGACGTTTTGCGAAAGTCAGAGGAGGCGAAACGCAAGGAAGATGAAGTTAGACTCAAAGAAGAGGCATCGCGCGCCACAGAGGAAAAGATCCGGAGGAAAGAGGAAGAACTTGCGCAACGAGAGGGAGCACTACTTCGTAGGGAGGCAGAGGCGAGCAGTCGACATCACCAGCAGAAGGTCCAACAGGAAGAACTTCGGAAGCGCGCAGAGACAAGGCGCCAAAGTGTGGAGGAAAAGACGAAGCAGGGCTGGAAGTTCTGGGGTCATAATCCACCTGACCCTAATCGAACAACACCACCTCCCGGGATGTCTACTTCTCGATCATTTTCGTCTTCTACAGGACCTGGGCCACCAAACCGCAACGAGCGCGTGTTAGCAGCAAGTTCGCCTACTAACAGGGACCGTTCCACGTCAATAGGCACTAGCCATAGCAGCACAACCAGGATATCCTTGACTCGGTTGAGCTCGACCGCGAACTCACAGCGATCGAGTACACCTAAGACGCAAATGCCGTCAGCCCAGAAGAACTCACCTCGCCAGATGCCCACTTCTCGATCATCATCTTCTATGGGACCTTGCCCAACCCCCAACAGTAATGAGCTTCACATGTCTGCAGCAAATTTACCTACAGACAGGGGCCGCACAAGCACCAGTCGTAGAGCCGCAACCTGGACGTCCTCGACTCGGCTAAGCTGGACCGAAAGCTTACGCCCGCCAAGCACACCTAAGCCACAAACACCATCAGCCCACAAGAATACACCCCGCCAGATGTCTACTTCTCGATCTCCCTCGTCTTCTGCAAGACCTTGGCCCATCCCCAACCGTAACGAGCTCCACATGCCTGCAGCAAACTCACATAGGGGCCACCCCAAATCAACCAACACCAGCCGTAGCAACACACCCTGGACGTCCTCGACTCGGCTGAGCTCGCTCCCAAGCGCACAGTCATCGAGCATACCTAAGCCGCAAAAGTTATCAGCCCAGAAGAGCGCGCCTCCTCGGATATCTTCTTCTCGTTCTGTTTCGTCTTCTACAACAAAACCTTGGCCAATCCCCAGCCGTAACGACCTTCATATGCCTGCAACAAGTTCGCCTACGTATAATAGCCGCTCCAAATCGACGAGCACTAGTCCCAGCACAACCTGGTCATACTCAACTCGGCCGATCCTGACCTCGCAGCCCTCCAGTACACCCAAGTCACAAACGCCACCATCCCAGCAGAATAACAAAGTAGCACCAGGCGCCATACTCCTGAATGTATGGATGTGCATTATTGACATATACCCCTGACTCACGCAGCTATCCAGACTTCCACTATACCTTTATCGGAAACAACGGCAACAGAGGAAGAAGCCAGCCAAGAGCTACCCGGTTCTGCGTCAGATTTTCTGGAAGATCTTACCAATGACCTACAGGGAAGATCGCAGTATCCGACCAATTTCGGGGGCTTTGGGGACATCTGGAAGTGTGATTTAGTGAAAGCCGGTGAGATCGTCCAGGTATGCTCAGCTTACAGTGCTTCCTATGGTAGTATTATCTTGAACATGACGCAGGTTGCAGCGAAGACAATTCGTGCTTTCGAGTCGGATAACGAGGAATTGATGCGGAAGAATGCGAAGGTAATGTCCCTCTTCCATGCATGTTAATCTTTCCAATGATGACACGGCTTAGAGAGTGCGTCGTGAGCTGAAAGTCTGGGGCCGGCTTAAACATGATAGCATCCTTCCCCTATGGGGAGTAGCAAACGACTTTGGGCCCCACCCCGCAATGATTTGCCCGTGGGCTGATAATGGAGCTCTCACAGGCTTTCTTGAGCGCCAACAAGATGTGTTGTCATCTCAAGATAAGTTCTCGCTTGTAAGCCCTTTTTCAAGCATCTCCAGACGTTTGCTGATGTGTAGACACACGCTAGCTGAATGACATTGCCCTTGGATTACAATACCTTCACAATGAATCAGTTGTCCATGGTGATCTGACAGGGGTGCGTATAGCCGCTCACAGAAGGCGTATTCCTCATTACTTACGTCCATACTCTCTAGTCAAATGTCTTGATTTACGGCAACGGTCGGGCATGCCTTGCTGACTTTGGTCTCTCCACTATCATCCTGGAGTTCATTGGCACCTCCTACTTTACGAGCTCCATCCGAGGGAATGTCCGATGGGTAGCTGCAGAGTTATGTGAAGCACCAGAGGATGATGAAGTCTTGCTCAGTACCGAGTGCGACATATACTCATTTGGAAGTATCACGCTGCAGGCTAGTAACTCAATTTTCGACCGAAAGACGTTGTTCATTTTGCACATGTTATAGGTGTTGACTTGCAAGGTCCCCTACTACAACGTGAAGAAGGATATTGTGGTCTTGGGGCAAGTCATCAAGGGCTTGAAACCAGAGCCTCCCAAGGAGTCGCAAATAGCGCCCAGGCACTGGGAGTTCATACAGCAATGCTGGTTGCCTCGCGCAAGTCGTCCGTCGGTTGGGGAAATTGTAGCATTTGTTGAATGTGAACGACAAGCTCTGCCATCCTAGCCTCCTGAACAGACAGTGTCACAGGGATCTACAGCGTGATGCAGAATCCGAAGATCGTACATAGAGAAATGTTTCTCAAGTAACAATCATAGATGATAATTTATCCGCCCACTTTTGCGGAAAAGTAGCTCTCAAAACCGGCCGCCTTGTACAACCCGACATGATATATATCTCACCGAAATGAAGTCTCAAACCAAACTTGAATCAAACGAAGCAAATACAATATCATCGAATGCAAAACGTTCCTGACAAGATACTCGGCAACACAGCGGCAACGCCTACAATACGCATCATCAAAGGAGTGGAGGGGTAGTGGGGGTAGCAATCGCGAGCAAAAATATATGAGCTCTTGTAATGAGTTTTCCAGACATCCAAAGCCATCCCCAGGACATCATTTCGCATTCGAGGTGTACTCCTGCCAAAGAGTGTCCACGAAATCTTTGTCTGTCTAAAAACAAAACGAAAAGTCAGAGGGTGCTCTAGACTTGAGGAGGAATAGAAGACATACGTGTATGAGAGTCAGAACTTCCCGGACAAAGTCGTTCCTCGATAAATTATTCGAACTTGTATTCTTCTTCTGAGCGAGAGCAGACAGGAGAGAGGCATGCACAGCATGGGCGTCGATGGTGTTTGGGCCATCAACGGAGCTCTGACTGGCTACAGAACCAGTACGCTCCTTACGTACATGCTTGGCCTTGCCATTGACAACGACCGCAGGTGTCGAAACGACATCTTGAGGCTGTGGAAGTGGCATGGCCTTGACAGGCGGTGGCACATCCCAGCTATTCTCTATCTCCTCTCTCTCTCGCTCACGATCCTTCTCCCGCTCCTTCCGCCCTTTCTTCTGGTTCCTCCTGTTCTTCGAGCGCTGCTCCTTCGCAAATGCATCTGGATCACTCAGCGCACTCGTATCGGCAAAGTCGAGCTCGATCATATCAGAGTCCGCCTCGACAAACGGAGCACGAGGGTATGGCCACAAGTCAGAATCTGCCTCGAACGGAATAAGGGGGCGCGGTTTGGGTACGGAGTGTGTGCCATTGACGCTGGTCGACGTGGGCGTGGTATCTGGGTCCCCAGGTCGCGGAGGTGCGACAGAGGGAATATGAAGGTGTGGTGAGGCACGCGAGTGCTTCTGAGTCTGAGCAGCAGCGAGGAGGTCCCCGACCACTGTGATATCAGAGTTGAAACCTCGGAGCGGTGGGCGAGGGGTTACATCGCCCAGAGTTCTGCTGCTCCCATTTCTTGTGCTGTTGTACTCAGCTTGGCCCATAGGTACAGAGAGGAGTGGCAGCCCGGAGGATGACCCTGCAGCTTGCAGCTCCACGTTATATTCTGCATCAGCATCAAGTACAGTGCTAGAAACAGAATATCCTCCTTCTGAAATAGACCCGTCATCACTTGCCTCGTTATCACCCTCATAGGCACGCGACGCGGGGAGCCCAAGAAGCGTCGAGATGACATCTTGGTTAAGCACCTGAGGTAGTGCAGTAGACGTTGGTTTGGGAGAAAGGATGAGCGGATTGTGTGAGCTGGCAGTGTGTCCAACAGTGTATGTGGTAGACTGAGCTTGTGTAGTATATGCGGATTGTGAATGTGTGGAGGTATGCGGGGGGAGGGAAGCTGATGCCGTTCCGGTGCGAGACGGCCCACGATTGGGTTGGCTTGGCGGTGGTGCGGAGGCGAAGATGGTATCCAACAAAGCTAATCCGCGAGTTGGAGGAACGGAATTGGAGGTCGGTGGCGGAACAGACGCCGTTCTATGAGAATTCCCGCCGCCGGGTAGGCCTGCCAGTAAACTTGCAGAGGCCTCATTATTCTGCGATTGTAGGGACAGATGCTGTGGAGTAGAACTCGTGCCTCCCAGCTTGGCAAAGAGTTTATCGAGCTCAGATACATTCCCGTTGGAACGACTACTATCCGAGGGTGCGGGTTTACTTCCTGTGTGATACTCTTCCGACTCTGAAATGCTATGTATGCTGCTAGTATTGGATGCGCTCGATGCCGAGCGCATATGTGAACGTTCTACAAAACGTTGAGAGCAAATTTTTAAATGAGATTACAGTCCACCCACCACTGGCCCTCGATGACGACCGGAAGTTCGGGGGAGGACGATCCGGGCCATATCTATACTCCTCCGGATACGGAAGATTCTTCTTGATATAGCTATGCAATCTGCAAGCACGTCAGAGTATATACAAGAATCGTGAAAGGCCTGCCGCTCACCTCAACACAACATCTTGCATGCTTTCTCTTGCATCAGTTGCAAAGCACCACAACCCGACCGTTTGGGATCGGCCTTTCTCAGTATCTTGTAGTTGTCCTAGATTTGGCACGACGAACTCGGGAGCAAATTTAGAGGCAGGACCTTCCTGCTTGGAAAGGGGTAGTTTGTCTCGTGCGTCTGCGAGCCTGCGTGTGGTAAAGTCGGGATAATGACGCATCATGAGATAGGAACCATGTGCGCCTATGCCATCTTCTGGATAGAGTCGCTGGATGTAGTCATCCATGCCCACACGATTCAAAATGTAGAGACCATAAGGTGGGTAAGAGTCCCTACAGAAGATGAGTCTGCAGATATGCCAAACAGATGTGGTGAACGCACCGCTCGTACAAAAACATACTCCCCTCATAACCTTGCTTCTCCCATTTGTCGCCGTTATGGTGGTACACGCAAACGTGGCTGAACTGATCGAATATGGATACAATAGAAGGGTCTCTTCGACGAACAACCTTCATGTTCGAGAGATAGCGCGACTGAGGAGACATTCCTAGATGTGATTGTGCAGACGGGATTGTTTCTGGAGGAGCTGGCTCTAGTGGTTGCGGCTGTTGATGACGATGTTGCTGAGAGTGTGTTGATACAGAAGAATTAGAACGAGCTCGGCGAGGAGGACCCATGGCAGATTTGTTGAAGCAGTTGTAGCAGATAGTGGAGGTTATGAGGCAAGGAACACGTACATCATACAAGCTACAAAGTTGCCACTTTGCCTGTACAATCTAATCACCCCCATTTGGGGAGGTCGATTTGAAAACAGCGTGATTCGAATTCGACACTCGATGACAATAGTAAATTGATCTGTAACGTGTAATGGAAAGACATAGACTATGAAGTCGGTGCACCGAACGTTTGCAATGATCTTTGTGCAGCTTCCCTGTTCCCTGTTTGCAGTGGTGCGCGCTGCGGCCTGATATTGATTTGCCTATCCTCCACATAAATACCACGTACGACGAAGGTCAAAAGTGATACCACATGTCCATAAAGAATTTAGCCAGATAACTTCGATCATTTCGCGCGCTAAACACTACTGCCCGTTGATACGTGTCCGCGCTCCTGGAAAGCAATTGTGCTCATACCAGTGCCCTCGTCGGAGCTGGCCACAAGCTTAGCATGATATTCTCGAATGCCAAGGATGAGACGCGGTCCCAGCACAAACATCTGAATGGGCTGGGCAATTTGAAGAATGCCAAAATATATAGTACTTGCCACGGAAGATGAGTCCTGCATTGGAAATGATGAGGAGTACTCATACAGATGTCAGTCAGACCGGACGCACCATGAGCGTTGGAGACAACGAGCCAATGTTGAAGCAAGACACCGCAACAAAACTAACACACGCAAAACTTCAGTGAAACAAAATAATAAAATACAGATAACTAAACTTACGCCACAAAGTCCAGCACGTGGCCCTTTATTAGCACCATAAAAGAGTCTCCTCCTGTCGGCATCTGTCGCACTTCACAGAAGTGTTTTATAACAATCCAAAGTGCAAGACACAGGGCGAGGATCTCCCATATAAGAGTGGGTATCAAAGTCTCGCGAGTCAGTTGCATAGCTTCTAAGTTAGCATAACCGGTGAGACACTGAGAGTTGCCAGAGAGTATTATTTCCTCTGCAATTCGTCCATAAGCCTCAGGCGCTCAAGAGTTTCGTCCATAATTAGAGCTCACCCCCTGAAACATAGCTGTCTCCTATTGCGGTCATCACTCCGGTAGCGATAGTAGAAGCCAGCAAAAGTACAACGAGAAAGATGAGCATCTTTTTGGATCGCTGATACATCGCGTATATCCGAGTCATCATGATGACTTGTGCAATATTAGTCAACAAAAAGGAGGTATTGCAGCCGAGTAGCTCACCGCCCAGCATGGCATTGACGATGACAGGCGTCCACGACTGTGCGAAGTGAAGGATAGTGCCTGAAAAATACCAGTTACTGGTGCACGTTGGTGGACTCGATGTAAGCCGATCTCGGCTTACTACGTCATAGAACACACGACGTCACTTCTCTTCTGAGGTTCTGATGCGTCGCTGATAGCTGATTGGACACCGTCGATCTACTGATCACTATATATACCGTGCTGTGCACATACCTACGGATCATCTCCTTTCCGCACTTTGCAATCACACTCTCTTCCACGTTATTGCTGTCTGATCCTTAGTGTTGCCGTCGACGTGACGGCCTTCCACTTTTTTTTAACATTGAAGTCGAGCATATCGACTACCGCACCGTTCTCCTACCGACCCTCCGTTCCGTCGATCTGACCTCACGGTCTTATCAGAAACACCGTACCGATTGTCAGGGCATTGACTCAGGTCAGCCCGATACCGCACATACAAACTGCCTCCTCGTCGCTCCCGTAGCGTACCTCCTACGACTGTCACTACACGCAGTCGTAGTAAGGTTGGCACAACACCACCGACCACAGACGCGAACCCACACGTACCATCTGTGATATCTGATCGCCCTCCGTCCCCAACCCCAACGGATAGATCCTCCTCCTCGGAATCCACAACTCCTCAGTGTGTTCCCCAGACAATGTCGACAACGACAAAAACAGCACGCGTTGAACAATCGTCAGCAAGCAAACCACCATTTCTCACCGCGGGTGAAATAACGCCCGAGGCGCTACGCGCCTGGGAAATGGGCTGTCTCCAATTGTTTCTTCATAAGGAAGTAAAGGACGCTGACAAGGTCAAGAAAGTTGCGTGGGGCATGCAGGACCCAATCGTCCAAGACTGGTACCTCAACAATCAGGACGTCCTCGATGCTCTCACCTTCAAGGAATATATGGCGGCCGTACGGGATTATTGGCTACCTACAGACTGGTCAGACGCTGTTCGCCGCAAGATGCTCGCATCAACCCAGGGCCAACGGCCGTTCGCTGAGTGGGCTATCGACGTTCAAAGTCAAAACACCCTGCTTCGTGACACCAAATCCCATCTCGATGACGTCAACATTCTATATCATCTCGAATCGCACATGAATTCAGACTTAGCGGCGGATTACTATGCTGAGAAGATAGACGAGCCTGACTTACGCAAATGGTTGGAGAAGGTACGACTGCTCGATGACAAGCGTCTCCGCTACTTCGCACGTCAGAAAGGCGCAGTCGAAGCCGCCCTGCGCGCAGAACGGGCACGCAATGGCACGGACAAGACCAGCAACGACAAGAAACTGTTCGCCAACATACGAACGGCAAACAAGAGCACCAATTCTTCCTCCTCAACGTCTAAGAACTTTGTTCGCCTCCCACCACTCACAGATGCAGAACGACAGCTCCTTCGTGATAATGATGGTTGCTTTAAGTGTCGGGAACCGTTCGCTGGCCATGGATCTGCGGCGTGCCAGAAGGGATTTCCCGATGGCGCTACCTACAAAGCAATAACCACGTCAACGATCGCCGCGAAGAAGGCCAGGAAGGGTACTGGCGTAATAGCAGCCGTCGACGTAGAAGACAACGAAACAGATACCATAGCCGTCGTTATGCCATCTGCGGCACTGGGGAATGGTACTGACTCCGGCGAAGAGTGCGTGGCTCCGCTACAAACCCCTCACCTTCGCTGGAACTGTCTTATTGACGGGCCTGCGGTTACTTCTCCTATATCCGTGTCTGCGCTTATTGACCACGGTTCCTCTCTAGTTCTGATTGGTGAAGATATTGTTGATAAACTCGGACTACGCCGTCGCAAACTGTCGAAACCGCTACCCATCTCTCTCGCATTGTCTCAAGACAAAGACTCCATTTCACTTTCGCATTACGTCAAACTCTCTTGTACTTCGTTGGACCACGCGTTTATGTCTCGCACTGTACGTGCCATTGTGGCACCAAACCTTTGTACGCCGCTACTACTTGGTGGTCCTTTCCTTCAACACAATCGAATCGTGATTGACCATGAACTACGTACGTGCGTGGCTAAGGATGCTAACTACGACCTGCTACAACAACTGCCAGCAACGCCTCCTGCTAAGGTAACTCGGTCATCAATGTCGGGTCCCGAATTATTCTGGACCAAGCGCAAGATCGTCGCAGAACTCAAATGTGTACTTCCCGAGCTGAAAAAGATTGTTGATGACGAGTGCGAAACGGTAACCGGTGTTGACGTTGTGGCGGCGGTTCAATCGAAGATCAACGACCTTCTTTATCAAGAGAAGCTGAAGAAGCTCGATCACAAATTAAAACAAGAGTTCTCGGAGCGCTTCCCTGCCGATATCCCACACAATGATACAATGCCAAGTGATGTACTCTTTCGTATCAACCTTAAGGACGCTAACAAAATAGTGCAACAACGCTCGTATGACTGCCCCAAGAAATATCGGGCCGCATGGAAGACTCTCCTGGACTCACATTTACAGAGCGGACGACTGCGACCCTCGGATAGTGAGTGGTCGTCACCATCATTCATCATACCGAAGGCGGACCCAACGGTTCTACCTCGCTGGGTCAACGATTTCCGTCATCTCAATCAAAATACCGTCCCGGACAACCACCCATTACCACGAATCGATGAAATTTTGAAAGACTGCGCAAGAGGGAAGTTTTTCGGTAAAATAGATATGACTAACGCATTCTTTCAGACTCGTGTACATCCCGAGGATATGAAATTTCTCGCGGTACACACACCGTTCGGCAAGTTCGAGTGGACCGTCATGCCAATGGGGGTACGAAACGCGCCCGCGGTGCATCAACGTCGCATGATGACTGCCTTACGACATCTAATTGGGAAGATCTGCCATGTGTATTTGGACGATATCATCATTTGGTCTCAATCACTCGAAGAACATGAAGCTAACGTGCGCTTGGTATTGCTTGCCCTGCAAGAAGCGCACCTCTACTGTTCTTCAATGAAGACTTCATTGTTCTGCACAGAAATTGACTTTTTAGGTCACCACATATCTTCTCGTGGTATCGAAGCGGATAACTCAGAGATTGAACATATTTTGGATTGGCCACGACCTCGCAAGGCTTCGGACGTGCGCGCCTTTCTGGGTATGGTAAGATATTTATCGGATCACCTTCCTGGAGTCGCGAAGCACACACGCATATTGTCCGCACTAACAACAAAGGAAGCGGAACTGCATTTCCCAGCATGGTCGGACACCCATCAGAAAGCGTTTAACGACATCAAGACCCTCGTAATAAGTCCTCAGTGCCTTACGTCTATCGACCATGACAACCCTGGCGACAATCGCATATTTCTCACGTGCGACGCTTCGGACTACGCGACAGGCTCAGTTCTATCTTGGGGGGTAACCCGCGAATCATCTCGTCCTGTAGCCTTTGACTCAACACAGCTGCGTGGGGCGGAACTCAACTATCCCGTCCACGAGAAGGAACTTCTAGCAATTATCAGAGGACTCAAGAAATGGCGGATGGAATTATTGGGTATGCCCATACAGGTTTACACTGACCATCGTACCCTAGAGAACTTCAACACACAACGAGATTTATCCCGACGACAAGCCCGCTGGGCCGAATACATGTCGCAATACGACCTCCAAATTCATTACCTCAAGGGAGAACTTAACACGGCAGCAGACGCACTATCTCGTCGTACAGACACCATATCACCTACGCAAATATGCGCCTCCATATTAACACTACAGAGCGACCCCACGCTGGTGCAGCGTGTCCTCGCCGGGTACGCACAGGATCCCTGGTGTAATAAACTAAACGATCTTCTACAGTCCCTGCCGGGCCTCACCAAAGACGAACGCGGCCTCTTCTACGTTTCGGGTCGACTGGTAATTCCAAGAGTCGACAACCTTCGCGAACTCCTGTTTCATGCCGCACACGACGTGTCGGGACATTTCGGCGCGGACAAATCATACGAACTCTTACGTGCATCATACTATTGGCCAAGGATGAGAAGAGACCTCGTGGACTCATATATACCGTCGTGCATGGACTGCATGCGAAACAAATCAAGAACGACCGCGACTTCAGGTCCTCTACATCCCTTACCAGTACCAGACGCGCGCGGTGACTCAGTTGCGATAGACTTTATCGGGCCACTACCCGAGGACTGTGGTTATAACATGCTGGTAACTATGACTGACCGTTTAAACTCTGACATTCGTTTAGTGCCATGCAAATCCAACATTACAGCCGAACACTTCGCCACATTGTTTTTCGACAACTGGTTTTGTGAAAACGGCCTCCCAAGAGAAATTGTCTCAGACCGCGATAAGATTTTCCTGTCGAAATTCTGGCGCTCTTTACATAAACTAACTGGGATCAAATTAAAGATGTCTTCAGCCTACCACCCGGAAACAGATGGATCTAGCGAGAGAACGAACAAGACGGTCAATCAGTGTCTTCGGTATTACGTGGATCGAAATCATAAAGGCTGGGTGAAATCCCTCCCTCGTGTGCGTTTCCAACTGATGAACACCATCAACGCAAGCACCGGATTTTCGCCATTCCAGTTACACCTAGGCAGATCACCACGAGTCTTGCCTCCACTCGTCGACGTTGGGAACGCATCCACAGAAGAACCAGAATACGAAGACGTACGCAAGATCTTAACGGACTTACAGCTCAACGTACTCGAAGCTCAAGACAACCTCCTTATGGCCAAGGCGGCACAAGCAACCAGCACCAACAAACATCGCTCTCCCGAACTCGTACTCAAGAAGGGCGACCGCGTTATGCTAGCAACTAAGCACTGTCGAAGAGAATACATACAAAAGGGGGACAACCGCGTTGCCAAATTCATGCCCAGGTTCGACGGGCCTTACACCATACTCGATGCACACCCTGAAACCTCCACGTACACGCTGGATCTTCCAAATTCACCCAACATTTTTCCAACCTTTCATTCAAGTCATCTACGACAATATCACGCTAATGACTCGTCACTCTTCCCTTCACGCGAACTACCT